AGCTGTCTCGTCCATGTTGTAAATGTCCTTTAACGCATATTTTTCTAGCATTCGTTGGATTTCAGGCAACTTGACTTCTGCGAGTGTGACATCAGCAGAGCTAGCTTCACCACTTATTTTTTGGACCTTGAGGTTATATTGTTTTTGGAAGCGGTTTTGCCAGCCATTGGAGAATGTCAAGTCCTCAGTTGAGATTTGCAGCTTAGTTGCAAAGTTTTCACCAGCTTTCTTAATAATATCCCAATTGATTGGGATCTTCTCATGGAATCTTTGTTCTATCCATGTATATAAAGCGTATTCTAGTTCCTATTGTATTATTTTGCTTTCTTATTAGTAAAGTGAATAGTAAGCAGTACTCAATAAGCTTAAACATATGGGAAACTTTGCTCGAGCTTTTTGTCTTTTATTTCTCTCGATGCCGTTTTCTTCTTCATGTTTTCTCTTAGCAATCATTCATGAAATTGTTGTTGTATTCGGAACACTCTCAAGGTTGTATGTTGTTTTTATCCAGTCGAGTAAATCCTTATATGTATACTTGCGCAGCGCTTTCTCTTTGGCGACGTAGTACTGATACGCTGCTTCACTTATTTCGTCAGTAAGCTTTTCATATTTTCCTTTCGTCATGATGTGTAGTTTGAGTAGTATGTATAAGACAATTGCAAAAATTCAAGTCTTTTTATATAGACATTGCAATGTGAAAGTAACCTCAACAAAGTACCGATATTCTTTAATTGGTTCACATAATTGACACTTAGTAAGCTAAGCTATACTCAGCCTGTGTAACACCCTTATACCCATCCTCACTTTTTGCAGTTCCCCACTTTTTGCAGTTTTTTTCATGAAAAACCGCTACTGCAAAAAGCGGGGGTCAACTGTAGTAATGATGAAAATAGCTGGGTCAAACAAAGTGATTTTAATACAAAAGATATTATTGATGATTATATGAAAGAGAAAAATATCTAGATAAAAAAAATGGCATACTCTACCCTATATTTAGTGAGGATGACTTCTTTTTGTATATTTAGAGTGAAATATTGCATTATTTTATTGATAACATCAGCAAAACTAAGAACTCCTCCATTACATATATATATATTTTTAATTTTCTTGATATTCTTTCTCTTATTTTCAAAATTTTTAGATTGTTTTCTCTCTTTTTTTTCCTTTTTTTTTAGGTACATGTAGTTTACTATGTTGAGAACATAAATAATCTGGTTTATTATTACCAATATTTATTCTTATTTTCCGATGACACATATATCCTTCTTTTTTTCCTCTTTTATAAACATATGAACATATATTATTACTGCTATTGATATACCAAAAATTGTTTGTTTTTGTTTCTCAATTTTTCCTTGATGATATTTTTCATTAGTTTTTGTTTTTCTTCTTTCAAATCACATAGAATTTCATCATCAAATATTTATGGTGCATGCCACCTTAAACCATACCTCCAGCAAAAATTACTGTCAATTTTTTAATTTAAATCCCCGCTATTTTTCAAATGCCGCATATGAAATGGATAGATATATTTACATGTTCTTTCGAACTCTTCTGTGAGATGTGTAGATTTTTACAGCATCAATAGCATCACGACCTTCTAAACCATCATGGTATGCCTTAATGTATCTCCATACTCTACGCTCGAAATTACAGATCATTGGCAGCGGAATACTATCAAGAACTTCGGGGACAGTTTTCTTGAGGCTTGCAAAAGTGTAGTTGCATCGCTTACGCACTTCTCGTTTAACAGCACCCCAATAGCGTTCAATGAAATTGCACTCACAATGAAACTTTGGGTAAAGCTGAAAAACGTGGCCGGCGCCTTGAACAGCATATGCTATAGCACTTTTTTCTGAGGTGAAGTCAAGCTGGGCACTTAAAACCTCTGTTGCTTCCTTTTTCTGCATCCCTTGTTTCCAAAGGCCTCTTTCTTCTAAAATCTACAAAAGAATGAAATAACAGTGAGTGCTATGTCTCGTGACTAATGGTACAAAAAATACTAACTTCATGCATGCCTCGCAGATGAATTTTTCCATCAATTCTTCTGTACATGAATTGAAACATCATTTCGTTCTTTTCATCAAAAAACCACCCATCCCGGATACGAGTTGATGGTTCGCGAAAGTATTGCTTTTGACTGATTTTTTTTGGATTAAGATTGAACTTTTGGGCCCGTAAGGCGTTCTCCCTGTAGGCATTGCGGTTGGAACTCTGGTCAAAGCAAAAGACAGCTGTTCGGGTAAGAGATTAATTACGCTGTATTAAATAATATGCAGTATATATGATATAATGATTAGAAAGACATACCTTTACAATTAGGATGCATTGCCTGGAATATAGGAATTGCTTTTTCCTTTAATTGTTTGACCATATCTTCACTTTTCCAATAGCCTTCACGGTTTGCACCACGTGAAATGATTTCTCGTGCTTCATATGGAATGTCTGCATGCTCAGGGAGACTACGAAGCTCTTCTGATAGCATGAGCCGGCCATGACATGGTCACAAGAAATCGCTTACCATCAACGATGCTCCTGGTCCTTTCTTCTTTAAGGGAGTTTCGCCTTGTGCAAGCCAATTGGTTTTCTTGTCATCGTTTGCATAAAATATGCATTCGTCGTGTGTCACCATCACCAGCTCAACGTCGTTTTCGTCCTCTAACACTGGCTTGACCAACTCACTATCTTCAGTGTACGTTTTCATCTTCTTGCGGTATCCCATCATTGCCCTGGCCCAGCGAACACGGTACTCCTTTACATCATCTCTTTCGTGACCATCAAAATAGATCTGTCGACAATTATAAAAGGAGTACGTTTAGCCATCTATCTAATGTGCTAATATATAGTTGATATTTTCCATCTACATACATCTTTTCCACTTTCTCTATACTCAAATCCCCAGTGAGCCATATATCGTGTGATGGTGCGCTCAGATACTGTTGCGTTGCTGATATTGGATACTTTCGGAAATATATTCGTTTCTAGTTCCACCTTGAGCTCTGGGATACTCCTTTCTGCTGGCTTTCGACTACGGATCCAAGTGCAAGCAGCCTCCTTGACATTTTCATCAGCCAAAAGTGACGCAGACTTAACATGAGCACCTTGGCGATTAACGCAAATCTTGCCGGTTTCAAGATACTCTTTGGTCCACCAACGGATTCTTGTCAGCAAATGTTTAGTGTGTTTCTCCCCAATGACATCTGCAACCAATCGTGTTGCCTCCATAATATGCATGTTATCGTCGATCCGGAGCTTGGAATATTTTTCGATGCTAAGGTATTTGTTGGCCTCAATAGTTGACATCATGCTCATTTCGGTTTTCTTATTTTTGATATCCTTGCGTAATTAGGTCAAAGCAGGCCGCACGACCTTTAACACCTCCAGCTCTTCATCGATTTCAACGTCGGCATCTTCATCATCACAGCTGCTGTTGCTCGTTTCCACAGGATCTTGAATCTTAGTAAATCCCATATCAGTGAGCCGTCTCATTTTTTCTACATAGGCAGCGAGTTCCTTAGCATCCCGTTTTCGTCGATAATAAGTACTTTCTGATTTGCCTACATTCACCCAACATTGTCAATTTTTTTCTTAGGATGCAATAGACCATTTGTATGTGTTTCATTGTGCTGCTATCATAATTATAGAGAATATATACCAGTATACGAGCTTCTTAGCTTATTGTCGGCACCTTGAAACCATTCAAGCAAACGAGTTCCTGAACGTTCCAGTACAGTATCATCCCTTTCATGTTCCAACCCATTAGTATCGTCGTATTCACAAGAATCATTGGAAGAATCATCGCTGCTATAGCTAGCGCGTGAGCTATCTGTAGGTTCAGGTAGTTTTTTGCCGAATTGGCCACTTTGCACACGTTGCTGGTTGTTTTTGACAAGGCGACTTCGTCTGTTGACGCTTCCTATAATGAATATTAGATTCTTTGTAAAAGAAAGAGGTGCATAAGACTACAATCTACTGACGAAATTTCTATACGCAGCAATATGTAACAGTATAATCGATAATCGGTGAAGATCTCATGTAGTACAAGTTCGGCATATATATTTGCCGAACAAACGAAAGCTCCTGATTGGTTTAAGCTGGATTCGAACTACTGTCAATTTTCCCCATCACTTATAAACTTGTTCCGACTTTGAGCGATGGTAACTCAAAACTTTATTAGAAAAATGAAAAATCCAAACTGATAACTTTGTTCTCCTGGTCAAAAGGAACATTTTTATCAGTTTAAAATTTTGATATAGGGTAGTGAGATGGTTTCACAGTACTTTAAAGTTACTCACTAAAGCGGTACGGTTTAAGGTGGCGTGCACCATATCCATAACTTGAGTCATGATATTTTTCATTGAGATTATCATAGATTGTTTACATACAAGAATATCTGTATTAAGGATAACCATTTTTATCAACTTATATTATTATGATTATATTTTATATTGTAAAAAAATTCAATTTTGTTTTTTTGATTTTCAAAATTCAGCCAATAATTAAAAATTTGTTGATAGCAAGTTATATGGTAATAACCCGATTAGTCCCCCAAGGAAGAGCACGATCTCTTAACCTTTGAGTTGCCAGGCAACGATTTGCCTGGTTCAGACCGGTTAAGCAAAGAGATTCTAAAACAGTAAAGCGTTATTGATCTGGTTACGGCTTCAATACTAGAAGTACCACATGGCACGTATATGACCGCTGGAACAGAGTGGAAAGACGGCAAAAAGAGCGATGTTGTCTACATCCCACGGCTATCCATTCAGAGTTCTCTGCCACTGTTCCTCATTGAAGTCTAGAATGTTGTGGACGAGGCCTTCATTCAGCGTGTCATGTCCTACTGTCTTCACATCATTCAGCTTTATTCGAACAAACCAGTGGTGTTAGTTTTTTGCATTGCAAAAGTAGCCCCCAAATCCTTCTCAAACGAGTTCACGCCAACGTGCTCAAAGCTGTGGCTGTTAGAATCTCCTTGCACTGCTTGGGCAAAATGTTGCTATATGGTCTCCCCTGAAAGCACTGCAGAAACTGCTTTGCAAGAAACATCGACATTGAACCCATTGCTGGCATTGTCACGTTTCCTTATTGAGCAACAAGCGTCTTTGTTTGCGCACACTCAACCTAGCGACCCCACCATTAAACACTTGTATCAGCTCGCCATGAACGAGCATGTTTCTGCTGTAGAATACAAATCAAACTATACCAACAACTTAGAAACAATCTGCACCAGTAATATCAAGCTTCTGGAACGAAGCAAAGCAAGATTGGTCACCAATATTCCCGACATGCAACGCACACTCCGAGATTTAAATCAAGGCATTACATACAACAAGAAACTCAAGCGCATATACTCATCCATGACGCAGCAATCGTCTCAATCAAGTCAATCATCATTGTTAGATAATCAATAACTAAAAACAATATATTTTTTTTAAATACTTTTTATTTTGTAAAATAAAGATTATCTATTTAATTATTTAAGGTTAAATTTTGTATATTATTTTTTTATCTTTAAAATATTCTCTAATTATATCTTTTTCTTTAAAATCAACTTCATTAACCCAAGTATTTTCTGATGAATCATAGTTTTTCCATTTAACCCAAAATACATATGAATTGTTATCATTAATTTTATGATCTATTATATCTTCTACTTCAAAAATATCATTATCTTTATTTAAATTTCTTATATTATATATATTAATAATTTTATTTTTTCTAAACCTTTTTTTTCTTTTTTTAGTAGGATTTTCATATTGTGGAAAATCAATATCATTTTTATTATTATCATTATCTTCTTCTTCTGTTTCATCAATATTCATATTATCATTTATTATATTAGTTTCATTAATATTTATATAAATCATCTTGAATTTTATTTATTTTTTTAAGTTTCTCTAATTGTTCCATTTCATTAATATAAACTATATCAATTAACTTAGTTTCTGTAGGAAATTCAAAATCATTATTTATCCATAACTTATGATGTTCTTGTGTAATAATATTACATTTATCACAAAATTTCTGGATATTTTTCAATAAGAATGAAACTTTTATTTGTAAATTTATATATTTAATATCATCAGCTTTTAACATGGAGTTATTATTATCAAATCTTTTATATTTTTGTTGTAAATCACAAAATTGTTGTTCAATTATAGAACGAAAACTGCTAAACACATCATTATAATGTTCTTCTTGTTTTGTTAATTTTATATTATTTTCTTTTCGTATTGGATAAAAAAAGTTATTATCCGATAATTCATAATTTTTTTCTTTACATAGATTTTCAAATTGTTTTATAAAAAGAGTATAACCACTATCAAGGGCTATACAATCCCCTTTATTTATATTATTATATAATTTCATATTGAGCATCATACCTCCATCACTACTATTTCCACATAAACTACTTTTAGAAATTAAAATAGCCATTTCATTTATATCACATAAAATTTGTGTTCTTATTCCTGATTTTTTTAATTTAAAAGATCATTTTTTTTGAAAAGATATATCAGGCTTACTATAATTTATAGAAGAATCATGACCATCTAATAATAATGTTATATTTTTAAAATGTTTTGGATTTTTAATTTTTGCTGATAAAATTCTTATCTTTATATTTGAAAACATATTTTTTAAACAATAATCAGTAAATTTATTTCATTTTTCATAATTTGTGATCCAAAATTCTTTATAAATAGTATAGAATGTTGAATATGGAATAAATTGTTTAGTTTCTTTTGAAGTAAAGCCAGTCACTAAATGATATAATATTAGTAATCCTTTTTCTATTTCATAGTAAGGTCCGGGATATTCTTTATTTGTATATAATACAGTTAGAAAGAAAAAAACTGATACATACAGTTGACCCCCGCTTTTTGCACCTCCGCTTTTTGCAGATCCTCAGTTTTGCAGCTTTTTTTGGAGGAATCCCGCTCATCACTTAGCAAAATTGCAGTTTCCTCACTTTTTGCATTTTGCAGCCCAAAACCAGGACCTGCAATTTCCTGCTAGTGGTTTTCATTCTCCCCAGAGAGCGGCGACACTGAGAATCGAACCACTGATACTTCCTAGTTTTCTATATAAAGCTTTATATTTATTACATAAAGGTTTTATCACTGAAAATAATTGGTGATTCTGGATTGTTTGTTCTGGCTTTTCTTGCAGAAATCATCCCAGACTTTTCTGAGCTCATTCTGGATGTTTTGATGTTCTGGGGCATCTAAAATAGCAATTGTTTTTTCTTGCAAACTTTATACCGGTGTAACAGGTTCAGATGAAACAACAGTCATGCTAGTATCTTCATTGCCGTTGTCAACAACATCATCAGCTACTTTTTCATTAAGAACAGCACTAACAATTTCTTCATCGGAAAGCAGTGGATGAACAGATGCAATTTCCTCAGGTGGATCTGCATCAAAAGTGAAATTTGCAAGGTTGTTGGCACCATAAATAAGACTGAGATGATCATCAATCTGGCCAAGTGCAACTTCGTCTGCATTGTCTGACCCACTATCAGTGCTGCTAGTCATGACTGCATCTATTACCCTCGTTTTTATGTAGCAGTTTACAATTGTCAGCACTGGACCACTTTACCATGCCTCATGACACCATTGTATTGCTGTCAAAACATCAATACGAAACGTATTTCCGTCATTAACAGGCAAGCCTTTTTCCAAGCGCTCCTGAATTCTGCTATATGCATGCTCATATTGCAAATTCCTAATACAACAGAGAAAATGGTTACTTTCAAATTTCCATATACATATAAAATAAGCCTATCTAATAATTATAACAACAACGTACTTGAAATGCACCTTGAAGCTGCGGATAATACCAGCATCTAAAGGCTGCATAAGCGATGTTGTATTTGGCGGCAAATATACTAGCTCGACATTCTTTGGCTCGTAATCGCAAAAATGGCCCGAAAAGTTGTCTAAGAGCAATGCAATTTTTCTTTGCTGATACACCATCGATTTATCCAACATAGTAAGGTACTTCTTGAAGATATCGCGCGTCATCCAAGCATTGGCATTTGCACGGTACTTCCAGATGTCAACCTTTCTCTGCTGTGCCTGTTGTTATATAGAAAATATAATAAGCAGTTGATCATCATCTTTTACTTTATCGTATAGCATACTTTGCTGAAACAGGTTGGGCGCTGTGCCTTGCCAATGAACCAGGGGTGCCACTTATCAGATCCATCAGCATTCGTCGTCAATACAAGTGTCATCCACGACTTGTCCTGCTTGACCCCTTTAAACGGTCCAGGTGCAATTGTAGACACAGGAGCACTGGAGTAGAAGACAGCTGTCTCGTCCATGTTGTAAATGTCCTTTAACGCATATTTTTCTAGCATTCGTTGGATTTCAGGCAACTTGACTTCTGCGAGTGTGACATCAGCAGAGCTAGCTTTACCACTTATTTTTTGGACCTTGAGGTTATATCGTTTTTGGAAGCGGTTTTGCCAGCCATTGGAGAATGTCAAGTCCTCAGTTGAGATTTGCAGCTTAGTTGCAAAGTTTTCACCAGCTTTCTTAATAATATCCCAATTGATTGGGGTCTTCTCATGGAATCTTTGTTCTATCCATGTATATAAAGCGTATTCTAGTTCCTATTGTATTATTTTGCTTTCTTATTAGTAAAGTGAATAGTAAGCAGTACTCAATAAGCTTAAACATATGGGAAACTTTGCTCGAGCTTTTTGTCTTTTATTTCTCTCGATGCCGTTTTCTTCTTCATGTTTTCTCTTAGCAATCATTCATGAAATTGTTGTTGTGTTCGCAACACTCTCAAGGTTGTATGTTGTTTTTATCCAGTCGAGTAAATCCTTATATGTATACTTGCGCAGCGCTTTCTCTTTGGCAACGTAGTACTGATACGCTGCTTCACTTATTTCGTCAGTAAGCTTTTCATATTTTCCTTTCGTCATGATGTGTAGTTTGAGTAGTGTGTATAAGACAATTGCAAAAATTCAAGTCTTTTTATATAGACATTGCAATGTGAAAGTAACCTCAACAAAGTACCGATATTCTTTAATTGGTTCACATAATTGACACTTAGTAAGCTAAGCTATACTCAGCCTGTGTAACACCCTTATACCCATCCTCACTTTTTGCAGTTCCCCGCTTTTTGCAGTTTTTTTTATGAAAAACCGCTACTGCAAAAAGTGGGGGTCAACTGTATCCTAATTTATTTAATGATTCTTTTTTGATTTCATCGATATATTTAATATTTTTAAGTTCTATCCTATGTTTAAATGAATTATTTATTTTCTTCAAATCTTCTGATAAAAATTGCCATTCATTTAATAATAACTTATTTATTTCTATTTTTAAATCATCTTTATAATTTTTAATATTTTCATCATTTTTATTTTTATAATCATCTATAATTTCCATACTTGTATCCATATTGTATATATTTATTCATATTTTTAATAATAGTAGAATTTAATTTTTTAATTTATGATATAAAACGAAATAAAATCTTATATTATTTTTATTATATTTGGATCAATTAAAAAAGTAAATTTTATTAACAAATCTTTAAATAATAAGTAATGTTTATCTCCCATTGGAAATGCCAGAAAACCTGCCCTTGAGCCATCCTTCGTCAGAAGCACCGATCACACCGGAAGAGCTGGAACAAGAAAAGGCATTGGTCAAGGAATGTTATGCGAGCCATACAACAAAAACCATGAAATGGAAAGATTGCTTGAAAAAAGGACAAGACATGAACCTGTTCAAATGGTATTCGACCGCCTAAAGTCTTCGCGCCAACCTAGGTTATCTTGTTCTCAAGAAAAAGGCAAAGTGAAACCATCAAACAACATAGCTTCTACATCACCCTACACTGCCCTTTCAATATATTCCAAATGCAGATGTATTATTTGTCCCCCTTTTTCCTCCTCCTCCTCCTCCTACTTCTCTCATCTTACCGTTTTTCTTCTCGTTCCTAATGTATTTATTCCATCTCGCAAACCCTCTCAACCTTTCATTTAATAATATATACACATAATTTCATTTTCATATAAAAATAAAACATATATGTAATTACAAACAAAGTGAAATGACATGGTCTTCTAGTGTGCTATATCAGATCAACTGGATCAACAGGAATTTATGGTTGCTAATACATATATGTATGCAATAGGCAAATGCTGTACTGTAAGAAAAAATTGGACGGCAACACAAACTTGCTTTCTGTATGTATCTTTGCCGTCGATTTATAGACGAGTGTTTTATGCATACATCCGCTATTTTCCCGGTCCTGATGTTATCAATGTAGTCAGATAGTAAACAAGAACATATCTTTACTAAGCAGTAGCCTTTACAGTCACCGTGCGACATACGCAATAAACAGAGAACAACAGTTGTCAAATGGAAACCCATACAGTAATATCACATCATTCAAAATAGAAGCAGGTAACATATTCAATGCATTCTAAAACCTTGTATGTAACAGTATAACAAGCAATTTATCTTCTTGGTTTCTTATTGTAGCAGCTCGACTGGTAATCCCTTTTTATTTATAGCTTTTACAACCTGGCAGTAGCAGCCGTCGAACCATTGGCCGCACCCAGTTCTTCATAAAGTTCAGCGATTTGTACTTCACAGTGCTTCCGTGCCTGCGGACGCTTAACTTTAAGAGTAGGAGTCAACAAGCCGTTATCAATGGAGAAGGGGCTCTGTCACCAAACGAATGGCCTTTGTAAACTCGAAACCACGCAGACCACCCTTCTTGCTAACTTGCGTCAGCAGGTCCAACACTGCCTTGGTTACTTGCTTGTTGTTGCAAAGCTCGTGGTAGCTTAAACCGGATAACGAAGGATGGAAGTTTGGATCGCACCAAATCAGCCAGTTCTTCTGGATCAGGGACTACAATGCCAACCAACGAGTGATGAAGCGAGTCGCCACGAAGATAAAATTGGGCGACGATAGGATGCTTGGCGTATATGTTTTCAATCTTTTCGAGTGCAATGTATTCACCGTAGACAAGCTTGAAAATATTCTTCTTCCTATCAATCCTATCGATGAAAACAAGACTTCCAACTCTCTCTGCATGTATCCAGCATGGCTAGTGTAATTGAACTCTCCCTGCTTTGGAGTATGAAAGGCGACGGCCATTGGAGTAGAATAATTACCACCAATCCTCTGCACCAAGGATACCAGAAGCTCAAGAACAAAAACAAGACCAATTCGGCGAACGACGCAGCTCATTTAAAACCATCCGATGTCTCCGGCCCTCCAGGATACTCTATCTGGCCGCTTTTCTCAGCGACCGCAGTCGCCTCATCAGACGAAGAATGCACTGCTACCATCCTATCCACTTTGGGATTGTCGTTGCGGAGCACCACGCGCGAAACGGTAGCATTACGTCAGCTGCACATCCCTGACACCACTACTAGCAGTTGTACACGGCCTTTCGCACAACACCAACAGATCAAGACAACGAGCTACATACCATCGACCATATCATGAACAAACTACCACGCTCCGATATAGGATGTCTCGCGGCAAAATGAATAACGACCTGACCGTCATTACTTCGTGTATCCAATCTTAAAAGCGTCTTAACTTTTACTTGCGAACAATACTGATTTTTGTGTTATTCTTCAACGACGATACTGAGCTAATGACAAAAACTGAAGTCCCAATAATTGAATAGAACCATTGGGTACCAATGTACATAGAGAAGCAATGCCAACCCTGGGACCCGCCGACGTCGATTCATACGACTACGTGGTCAACGATCTGCTCGCCACCACGTTTCCTTTAATTTGCATCCGCATTATACAGATTGCCGTTTGTAACCTTTATAGCCTTTAGAACACCTAGAACGATCCTCCAAGACCCTGCAAGGTCACAAAAGGCACAAACGATAATATGAAATTTTGGATGTGTATGTGCCTCTCTTTGTTCTAATGGTGTCTCTCCCACGTTCTCGTCTCTCGGAAAACGCTACCGATCATTCACAACAATAATGCATGACTCCCCCTTGTTTTTCCTTTTGTGAATTTAGCGTGCACGCATATAGCAATTCGCGCACGGAACATCTCCACCTTCTCTACAACCTACAATGGAAACGTCAAATTGTTATGTATAAAGAGTTTATTCGAATGGACATGATGATAGTGATGGATGGTGTTATGCTGCTGTTGATGATGATGACATACCATAAATAGACAGAAAAGAAGAAAAAAGGGGGGGAGTTGTTAATACATGGAATTCTATACATATACAGTGAATGATGATTTACAAGCTGATGCCTGCAACAAAGAAATAAGACAGGAGGGGGCCTAGGCTGATGGATGATGGAAAGAGTGAGAAAAAAATAAGGGAAACAATGCAGGTAAATGATGATTTCCACGGAAATTGCTTCTTAATGGCAATCATAAGCCCTCTTTTTGTTTTTGTTGTGATTGAAGGGGGTATGTGTTTGTGTGTGATAATTCCTGGTGTGGTTGTTGTTGTTTGTTGATCTCATTTATAGACTTTGTACACAAAAGCGAGATAATTGGCCTTTCGCTACTTTTCTACTCAAAGGGGTTCGTCTTGCCGTCCTGCGGTCGCTTTTCCCGTCGAGTGGCTCGTCGAAGTGCAAGCGATTGTCTGAAGTGATGGATCTTGTGGAAGATGCTGTTGCGTCTGCGGCAACGACACTCAGTAGCAACGTGAGCATAATGCTGGTGTCCTCGTTTCTCATCCACAGCATAGCTGTTGTTGTTGTTGTTATTCTGTGCTGGCTCACTGTACGGCGGAGGTGGTGCTTGTAGATGTAAGCGATCAAAGTCGTCGTCATCGTCGCCGTAATCGTTGAGATAGGTGTACGGTGCAACAGGGAAATCGTTATACATGGAGGGTCGATATGCAAGCATTGTGTCGTTTATCCGTTTGGTAGTGTCAAGTAGCAATAAGCGCGAAAAAAAAAAGAAAAGAGAAAGGCTAGAGAGAAGGGCAGCTGAAAATAAAAGAGTCTAGTCGATGCGATGCTCTTGTCTTTTATATACGTTTTTCTATTAGCTAGGGTGTACGTGACCCCTTAATCGGAGCTCTGGTCACAGGGTCGACCTAGTGGTGGCGGTAATACATAATAGGTAGTTTCGGGGGTGTATTGAAGTGTAGTATGCGTAAAGACATGTAAGAGGAAAGGGAATTTGGGGGAGGAGGATGGAGTGGTAAAAGGAGGCGAGGGTTAAGGACTAGTATCAATGTAATGGGTTTCCACGGGTGACTTATTGTCTCGCTCGAAGTTTTCTATAACAGTACGGATGAATACGTGTACACAGACATTTAAACTCAAAACAGATGAGGCACGATGGAACAACACAAACCTCCTCCGTCTTGGCGGGCGTACGGAGCGTTCGAACATACGCGTGAAGTCTTCCCCTTCGTTGTTGTTGTTGTTGTTGCTGTTATCATCATCGTCGTCATCCACAGGGTCGTCGTTGTCTTCGTCACTGTTGCTTGGCAACGGTAGTGCGGGAGCTGCCAAAATAGGACTGAATGCGGCAGATGACGACGCTAATCGCCTTGGAGAAGTCGAATGGTGTGCGTACTAAGATAAACAACAAACAGTTCAGGTCAGCAGAGAGGAACGACTAGGTTAGAGCCTATAATAATAATAACAATAATAATAATAATAATAATAATAATAATAATAACGCGAGCGGTGCTGCTTCCACCAGTCCATCACATATTCAATAGCGCACAAGTGCTTACATCTTCAGTGCTTTCGGAAGGCTCCGGATCTTGTGCCGACGCCGTATTGGGTTCAAAGTAATTCTCTTGTTGATGTTGATGATGATGAGGTTGAGCCACGCTTGACGCAATGGACACATCATTTTTGGTTTTTTCAAACGCCTGTTTTAACCGACGTTGACCCACATGCATAGCCTATTACACATATGCGTCATTGTGTTAGCCGAGTCATAGCGGGATACTGGGTGCAATGTGTGCTGACAGTGCGAGCTTTAAACTCTACCTTGACTCGGCTTTTCAATTTCATGTTCTCATGCTGCAGAGTTTCAAGCGCAACACGCATATCTGATATTAACTCTTCTTCCCTGCCGGCATCCACACTGACCATCACCGTGTGATTGTGTCTGTTGTTGTTTTTGTTGCTACGCGGTCCCTTGGCAGGTGCCAAGACATCAATTGAAAGTCGTGCAAACCGCTTAAACAACCGTGTAGCACGTTCTTGAATGTGTGCAGGGTCACTGGCGAATTTCCTTTGAGCAATGAGTTTCAAAAGGCGGCCCATGGTCGTTTCCTGCAACACAGACAAATAGGGTCAATTGGGGGTGTTTCCGATCACAGAGAACCAGAGAAGGACACTCCATGTTCCACCTTGCTCTGCAAACTCTTACCTTGATCAGCTCAAACGTGACTCCTTCAAATTCTTCCACTTGCTTCATGACATCCCCAGCGTCCTCGGCATACTGTACATACAAAAGATCTCACGTGTCAGTTCTTGACATGGCACTAAAAGAAAGCGGGAACTATCGAATTGAATAGTCCACTAACCTCTTTACCGTTCTTGAAAACGCTACGACGCAGTCGTTTTCGCAGCTCGAGCATTTCTTGGAATTTAGGATCCTTGTGCTCGCTGCTGTTGATGTTTGTGTCCACATCCATCTCGGATATTTGTCGCTTCAATGCAGCGGGTGCAGGACGCTGATCGTTCTCGCTGCCATCTTCATCCATAGGTTCATGTGTTAATGCTGATGCAGACGCGGAGGAACAAGATGAAACCTTGAGCTGCTCTTGTTCACGTTCACGAAGCTGCTGTGTCAACTGTCGATTCGTATCTTGTTCACGTCGCTTGTCACCTTCTAGCTCAGCGATCTAGCAGAATAGAGCCATGGTAAGCGATGTAAAGGAGGAAAAAGCGGGGGGAGTTAGCAAGGGGTTTTGCCGAAACTCTAATTCTCTTTTTTTTTTCCAGTAAACACACACATGCGATAGCACTATACCTTTTCCAACAGACTGTGTTTGGTAGCCTCGTGATCACGCATGATGGCACGTAGCCGGTCCATTTCGGCAGTCAGGGACTGTTGTCTATCGTGAAGCTGCAAAATTACAACCTTGATTATTAGGCTTTATGAACTTTGTAGCAGACAAAAAAAGAAAGTATATCGACTTACATCGGCCCATATTCGCTCGTGCACTTGATCTTAAATTTCATTTGTTATATGCACCATGTGCATGCGAGTTAGCCCGCTTTTTTCTCCTCCTCCTCTTATTATTCTTCATTGAGATGCTCACACATATTCACTTACCCGAAGCATCCTTATGCATCGACTCCATGTGTTCACGGATCTCAGACTGGTTCATATCATTCTGTCGTATTCGATTTGAGTGTTATCACCCCCTTCTTCTCTGCGGCAAAATATAAAAGAGAGAGTTACACTTACTTGACTCTTCAATGCAGACATGTAGATATCTTCCATTTTTCGCAGTTCGGTTTCGGTTTCCTTGGCAACCTGCTGACGTACTGTTGACTCAATGGTAGCGCAGCGTGTTTCGGCTTCGATCCACTATACAATTCACACACGTTTAGAAAGGCATGGCTTGTCGTCTTCTCTCTCTCTCTACTCCACATGATCATCTCTTTTACCTTTCCATGGAGATCTTCTAGTTGTATAATTAGATTGTCAACGAACGGGTCGTCGCTTTCATCTTCATCCTCTTCGTCGCTCAATCGTGAGAAATCGAACTCGCCCAGCGAAAAGTAATCATCTGAGCATTAACATTAGCGTTTCTTGAATTTTTGCTGTATGGTTCGCATATTTCCCACATCCATCTGATATTTACCATTGAACTGGTGATGCTGCTGCTGCTGTTGTTGTTGCTGTTGGTATTGCTGTAATTGCTGCTGCTGCTGCTGCTGTACTCTTTGTTTGTCGTAGGATTGTGTGCGAAGTCGCTTAGCTGCAAAACATAAAGTGACGATGACGATGAGCAGCAGCATTAAAAGTGTGTAACATCAACCTTGTTTTTGTTTGTTTATACCTGAGCCAGAAATGCCATGCAAGTCGAGTTTGGGATGAATCCGACGCCAAGTTGCTACATTCTTTGCAACAGCTGCGAATTTCATGACATGACTATTCTCGTCGAATCCAGTATCGAAAGGATTGACATTGACAACCATAACCTGTTTTTGTTGGCCGGTCAGTTGTTGCACACATCCCAATGATTGGTTAACCAACTTGTATTTTCTTGACCTCCTTATCCCTCCACAGTTATTTTGTGCATCCGAGCTTTCTTTTCCCGTTTAGCCAAGCTCCACTCGCCCACCCCCAAAACCTCTTCCTACTTACCGCTTTTCCGTCACCCTCAAACGAGCTCTTGAATAGCTCGGTTAATTTACTATGTCTAAACGGGACAATGGCTGCACGCTTTTGGAGCCATTATATTGTGTAAGCCAATCTTTTTCCTTTCTCTCTCAGTGCACACTTTTCTTACCTTCCCCATCTCTGTTTTGATCTGATTAAGTCTGAGCGTCTCCATACATTGGCCCAAGACCATCAATGACTTGTTGATATTGCCAGCTTCCTTTAATCGTTGGCCTACAGACATAGAAGCAATTTCCATTAGCGTTTTACGGTCAGACATACATTCAAGCAAAGTGAGCTTGTATCACTTATTTTCTTACCGGTATTAAATGTATTCCGATACCGTTCCGAGCCAGCCAGGTCCACGATTGACATTTTGGATACGGTTGCATAAGCGGGGTCCTATTTTCGAGCATGAGCTTTCCAGTTAATACTTGAATAACTGATTATGATAAAACCGTACAAAAGTAGGAGAGAAAGGTTGGAAAAGCTAATTGTTAAGCGATATTTCATGCTTTTGAAAGTATTACCTCAATGACATAGTCCTCGTCATCAATAGGAGTCCTAACAATCCGTACAGTAAAGATACTATGGCTTCGACTGCTGGTATGATTCAATAAAGTAGAATAAACAGCGCGATTTTTTTGGCTTTCGTGCAACAAGGCATATGCTTCCTAGAATACATAGGATTTCGAGCATGTATTTTGTTCGGTTAGCGTGTCTTTATCATCCATCTCGTTGATCCACCCAAACGCAGCACGTTTGTATCTTTAGAATAAATTTCTTGGGCGATTACCTCAATAGATTGAACACTGACTTCCGTTAGACCAGAGATGTACTTGTGTCCACTTCGAAACTCGTATTTGAGCGATAGTGATTGCCGTTTCAATTGCTTGTTAGGAGGCACCAGTAAGTCATAGATCTTTTCCGTATATATTTCTGCAAAAGAGACCCAGATCCCATACTCGAATTTTTGGCCAATGTCGAGTACTAACACATACGACACATGTAAGTTCCAACAACACAATTGCACCGCTATAATTATCTTTCTCTTCTTACTAGTTTGATCCCGTTCAGCTGGCAAGTGATATCCTTCCCATAAATTTGGGTTCTACAACATTATCATAATTAAGCGGGGTCAGGGGCATATTTGGTACATGCGAAAAAGAAAAGATAGATTCACTTACGGATGTTCCTGGGTGTGGATGCGGTGTATCGGCATTGCCTAACCCCTCTAATACATGTCTATTTTCTTCCGTTGGATTCTCATACGGTTGGACCAAGCTATGCATCGCAGGCTTGAGCTAGATTGTATATTTTAAAGTACGGCATGCGCGTGAGTGAGCGAATAAGCAAGCAACTTCCTCTAGATATACCGACAATCCAGCCTTTTTTTTCCTCATAAGCTGAATAATTGATGCTACCTTGGATTCGCTTATGTAACCATCAACACTATTAAATATAACATCCAGCGTTCGAGGCAATATGCCACGTTCCTTCTTTGTTCCCATCACCGAATACGTCTTGCCCGAGTTCGTGACTCCGTAGGCAAACACCAATGCATTTTCTCCAGTTAATACATCCCGAACTAGCGGCAATGTCGTTTTGTTGAAGAAATCTTGTTGAGTGACAGAATCAGTGAATATCTTTGTGAATTTGTATCGTTCGGGTGCTCGGTTGCGTGTTCTATAAGCATTCGAATCCTATATAATATACATATATACGTGGTTCATTTTGGGCCGCTACTCTGGATCGCATTTCCACATGAGCTATCCTTCCTGATTATCTGTACCTCTGGTGGCGTCATGGATACTTCAAGATCATCCACAACTTGTAGATACGGTGATTCTACCATTGCTTCATGGTTTACAGGTTGCGGTCGTATTCGTAGATAGGCCTAATTACACAGGAGAGTTAAATGTATATGTTACACACACGCAAAGAGATAATCAGCCCAGGCTTTTTCTGCGTAGAAAAACGGTAATATGATATAATTTTTACCTTGATAGGTTCTTTTTCAGGGTTGTATGGTACAAAACTATCGTCGCTTCGTTTCCCAAGAACTGATTTGCGTATTATAGAGTCATTTGCGGACATGGCAGTGAAATCGGGTGGTGTGGGTCGTACTATAGTTTTTGGATTGAAAAAGGATCGTTGTTGCGTTGGTGTTCGAGTGGGAGTGCGATTGGGAGTTGTTGCTGAACGTTGAGGTGTACGATTAGGAGTCTTTGGACCTGGAGTTGTAGTAATGGTGGTAGCAGTATTACCGCCACGGTCATTACGGGACATGATCGCTTTTAAAATAAAAAAGAAGGGTTCCTGGAAAGTAAAGTAAAAAAAGGTTTAAAATAAAATAGTTATGGGTTGCGCTGGTACGCGCCTTGTGAAACACACACACACACGTTACGCGCTTTTTTAATTTGAGGGCAAAAATCGATTACATGGTTTTCTGCTCGCGTTTTTTGCTGTCCAAGTTTAATACCATGGTGAAGAATCCCCTAGTTTGGATTGATTGTGAGGTATACAATGACTCTCTATGCCCAGATTTTGCGTACTTGCGCTAATGCCAAAAGCGATCCAGATGACAGGTCTCGACATTGCTAAAGATCGCTTGATCGAAATTGCCGTATTGATAACGGACGGCGATCTGAATATTGTTGCCGAGGTAGTAACTTGATGGGTTTGTGGCTAGTATGTAGCATAACTAATCTGTGCATAATACAAGGGACCAGAGCTTGTTATTAACCAGCCCCGTGAACTTATGGATAATATGAATGGTAAGGGGTAACGGCTTATCACCACGATTTAGTTTGCCGGTATTTACAATGATGACTTACGGACCTATCATCTATTTGTTGCCATGTAGACTGGTGCAAAGAACATCATGGCGCTGTAAAGTCTATTAGTATTAGTGGGTTATCAATTTTGCGTTTCAAAGCCGAATATTGACGAGAAAAACAAAAATCACAATAGTCTGGCCTAACCAAAGCGGTTCTGGAATCACAAGTGTCCACTGAAAATGCTAAAGACCAAGTGTTGGACTTTCTGAAGAAGCACATTAAAACCGGTGAAGCGCCACTCGCAGGCAATTCTGTTCATGCTGACAAACGATTCCTTGAGAAAGAGATGCCTGAACTTGTCGACTATTTGCATTACCGTATCGTTGGTAAAGTTTACCTGCCACTTGAATCCTCTTTCTCCTATATAGCAGAAGCAGCAATGTCATATTAACTTAATACGCAAACAAACGTACAATTATCTCTCTACAGATGTCAGCACGATCAAAGAACTGACGAGGCGATGGTACCCGGACATTGCCAAAGGTGTCCAAAAGAAGAACTGCCATCGCGCACTCGATGATATCAAGGAAAGCATTTCCGAACTTCAGTATTACCAAAAGCATGTATTCATCCCTCAACAACAATAAACCCTTAAGCACTTATCTTTACATGGTATACAAAAATTTTGTTATTGAACGTTTACTTGTTGTCGTTGACGCTGTCATCTAAACGAGGAGAAGGATTACGGCGATGACCACTGTTTATAGAAATAGCAGTAGTAGTGCTGTTCTTCTTGCCAACAGCTACGGTCTTCTCCTCCTCATCCTCATCTTGAACAGCAAACAAAGTCTCTATCTCTTCTAGGGATTTACCCCGAGTTTCCGGAAAATAAAGTACCACAGGCAACAAAAACAAGACATTTGCAAAACTAAAGATTAAAAAAGTCCAATAGCCGACGCTTTGAAACAAGATGGGTGTGATTTCAGCCACGATAAAGTTTCCAATCCAGTTGGCACCCGTACTAAGAGAATTTCCTTTGGCGCGCAGTAGAGTTGAGAAAACTTCTGATGGGTATAGCCATGCGAGACTAAGCCAGGTGGCACCGAAAACAAAATTATATATTATCATAAAGATGATGACCGCGGGCACTAGTGCATCGTGACCTCCTTGCTCTACAAGGGCTTGACAGGCACCCACTAGCGCAAGCGTTACCGCTTGACCAAGTAGACCAATATACATCAGTTTGCGCCGGCCCAAACGGTCGATGGTATAGATGGCGCTCGTGGCACCAATAATATATACGATTCCGTCAACTCCCGTCATGAGCATCGCCTTGTCTGTGGGCATAAAGTTCTCAAAAACAATAGTGATATAGTAGCTATTGTTATCATGGATGTTTGATCAGTACTTTTGTCATCTTCTGTCTGATTAACCCTCCAATTGTTGGTCATAGATAAAGATTCACCTGATGACATTAATGCCACTGAACTGTTGGATTAATTGGCCTCCAATGCTCAGCAAGACCCGATACCGGTTATTATGTTTGCCCTTGGAAAATAGCTCTCGATACGATGCAGACGAATGCCGTTCCACCTCTATACCATCTCGGATTTCCTCCCATTCACGCAAACACCGTGGATGCTTGATGTCACAGCCGCTCCACAGCCGTGCCAATACTTGCTTACATTCAGTCTCTCTCCCCTGTGCTTGCAACCAACGCGGTGATTCGGGCAAGAAATACGATGCAACGATCAAAAGCAAGCCAAAGACCATCTGGAATGCCAAAGGAAACCGCCAGGCAAAATCACCGTGGACAAAATACAGACCGTACTCGAGCCAGTATGCCAGCGCCACACCGACCACAAGCACTGTTGTTGAAAATGCAACACCCTTTCCACGCGAGCTCGGTGGCGATAGTTCAGATTGGTATACTGGAATAGTCGCCGTATTGATACCATTACCCACCCCGGTTACAGTCCTGGCAACGATCATCATGGCAATGTTGATAGAAGCTGTTTGCATCACTGCACCGAGCACAAGGATAGTACAGCCTAACCGGATAGTTTTGATTCGTCCCAAAATGTCTCCAATACGACCTGTACTAAGTGCACCTGCAAAGCATCCGATCTCGTATATGGCAACAATCGCGCCCATAAGTCCTGGGCTTGGATTACCCATCCATTCAATAAACCGGTCATTTGCCACAACACCAGACATGACACCCTAATGTTGTTGTTTTTGATTGTTCTGCATTAGTAACCAAACAATAAAGAAAAGCAAGTCATCTGTCTAGTTAACAAAGCAAGCCAAACCCAACCTGATCATATCCAAATAACAGGAAAGCGACAGCCGCCATCAGCGTTGAAGCAGCGAAAAGCCGTTCACCTTGTAAAACCATTGAATAATATATTAACCTTCAGCGCACTCGCTGTTGTCTTTACGGGGTGTGTAGATATCTATAAAGGGATGAACAAATAGAAAAGAGACTTGTTTAATTTATTTCATGCCTCAAACTGCCAAGTGGTTTTATATGTGCATGAAAAGTAAATGAAATTATAAAACGCAGTTCGGCGAAGAAAAGATTAAACGTGTAATTACCGAGAATGCCCGTTCCATTCGAAATAATTAAAAGCCTTCAATTCATTATCTACGTGAAGTGTGTCTAGCGTATCAGTGTTGATACTAACAGTGATAATCATCAATGGACGTAGTACACTAGTACATAACACATATAACATACCCCACATATTGAATACAAACATATACTAGTTGTTGTTCCTTGTGCTTCTTTCCTTTGTGTCGTCACTTACTAAAACACACTTATGACGATAGATGGCGATAAGATAATGATAAAAAGTGAAGTGTAATATAGCTGTAACTGCAAACTCTTCTATGTTATACAACTGTGGTAAAAATAACCCGCAACGATTGTATTACATGCGACTCTCTTCTTTCCGCGTATCTCATTAACGGTGTATTAGCGCAATTAGGCCTTACCACTATTCTCCGATCATGATATTGATCTGGGCTAAACAGTAGAGCGTGCCATCAGCTTTTGGTTTTCATGCTTTTCTATAACATATAAACTTTTCCTACATATCTCGCCAAATAAGCTCATCCGACAAAGTTGCATGAATTATCCAAGGCTGAAAATTTGATTCGTCAACCTCAAGATACATGACTCTATTGATTACAAAACTATTGTTTCTCTTATTAATATAGAGTGGTCAGTGCAAAGGTACAGGCAACCCGAACCGGAGTTTGATGTTGCACAGAGCGGCAGGGGTGGTGAAGAGCATAAACGTATTATACGTACACCATCGTCGTTATCAACACTACTTATTCAATGGGGTCACAAGGGACCAGCAGGCGAGCAAAAGAAAAAAAACCAGGATGTTTCTTATCTACACACTCTATGATGCATTGCATAAATCAACAGAATTCAAGCAGTTCTATATCTTATACTCAAGTTCTGGATAAAATTGGTTGGAGCAGATGATGAGAGGAAGGCCATGCGTCAATCACAAACGGCAGTAGCAGGCAGAGGAAAGAAGTAAAGAGACAGTGCTTTCTTTTGAAAAAAGGTATATGACGTAAGTTTTAATATGATTACTCTCTTGCAGCGCGGATATTTGGAGAGCTCGCATGATGGTTCCACACCCAACCTTCTCACTCACACACCCACACACCGGTTCATTTACTACGCAGCTAAGCACATACAAGCTGCACAAACAGTACTTTTTTTTCTCTACTTCTTCCTTGCTTTCATTTATTTTTTTTTCACCCCGTTCACTTTGGTGCGTAAACGTGTGAAGCGTTTGCTTTTCAATACCTGTCTCTAACTACTACTAGTAGAACGACCTACTACAACTGGTATTCACCTCTATGGGTTCAACGACTCCCAACGAAAACAGCAACAGCAACAACAATCAGTTTGATCTCCAACAACAGCAACCTCGATCGCGTATAACAAAAGCGACTGCTTCAACTACAGCTGTACAGCCACTAGAGATCATAACTACAGCTGTTGTCAACTGCAGCGGTGACGAAGAACAGAAACTTCAGCAGCAGCAGCTACCGTTTTCCGACGATCCGTCATCGCAGCGGACTGCCAACGATCACAAACCTGGTAGTAAATTCGAAAACGATCGCAGTGAATCCGATCAGCAACCACAGCAACAGCAACGACGTAACGATGCAAGACGCAAACAATCGCACCATCATCATCGTCATCGCATCAAGTCGCCTGTCTTTCAAGCTGACGGTTCCGTTTCTCCGTTGGCTTCACCGTTGAGCTCCGCTGGCGGTGGCGGCAACAGTACGGTGGTGACACCCTCTATCAATCATGATAGCGTTATCTTTAGTGAACTTCCACCACCCATCATTAAAGAAGGCCCATCTGAGGCAATTGTTGCGCTTCAGGATGCTGCAAATGGTTAGTACGGGTAATCTATTTATGAGCTTTTTTTTTTTGAGCAACAACAGCTCTCTGTGGTTCTCATCCTATTTTGTAGAGTCCAATGCGCCTTCATCATCATCACCCGGAGCAACAACACCTACGTCTCTGAATAATACGTCGTTTATCTATTCACCAACTGCCATATTGTCAGATGTAGCATCGCCTATCGGCATCGTAACAGAAAATGATGTCTTGACGAGCCAACAACGACAACATAACCATCGCCGTCGAGGTAGTAGCAGTAGTGGGCGACACAGTAACGGGAATAGTAGCAACACTAAATCCAGCAGTAAAACAACGCGAGCAGCAACAACAACAGCAATAGCACCAATAAAGACGACGGCAGCAGCGACAAAAAGGATCTCTAAAGAAGAATATTACAGCTACTACTATGACGGATCCATAGATCAATTGTTTGAATCCTGTTTCTTTTCGGCTGTGTTGTTGCTGCAATGGTCGAACGTGATGGGTCCCAAAATGGTAAAAGTTTGGTCGTCCGCTGACGATGAAGCAGCCATGGATGAAAAGCTACAGACATTGATAGGCCGACAAGTCTTGAATGGTGAGATGGGCCGATCCATATCCGAGGACGGAGGCGGCGTTGAGCTAAAGTGGATTACGTTGCATCGCCAAGGCATTCTTTGCGCTGCATTTCTGTACAATGACAGGAATAATGGTGGTAGTAGTGGCTCTTCTGCTTTATCTGCATTAGTGTTTATTCTGCCGCTTCGCTATCTGCGCAATTTCTCGCCTTATTTTCATGTGCTCAGAGACCGTGTGCCATTATTGTTGATTCAACCATTGAAGCAAATACGCAAATTGTCTCGGCGACGTAATATCGTAAGCTAAAAAAGATTTCCTTGTTTAATGCATCACCGTCATAATCCTCACCCCTGTAATTCGACAATAGAGTGGGTCCACTGCTTTGGACTTCTTTGCTCGTCGATGTTTGGCGCCGTTCATCCAGTCCATTATGGAGATCGAATCTGTGTCATTACCTTTGGAATGCAACAAGGTACAATATACTGACATATCACATACATGCCTTCTCTTTTTTTTTTCGCTGCTATACAAAATGAACTCACTCTTCAAGTGTTCAAACATAATTAACCTCTTTTTAAGATCAGCTACAATCTACTTGATCAGGAGTCAAGGCAATTGTTTGATTCGCCGTTCTTTGGGAGGTAAATATTGAGGGATATCATTATGGAACAACTTCAAAGGGGAATAAAACTAAGGATCCATACAATAGAGTGGTAACATCGCATCTACAAACATATGCTTCATCAGTATTGCTGGGCAATAGTTTGACCACAATGAATATGGTAAAAATCACTCAAAAACTGTTTTCTTCTCAAGTTTATGTTTGTGCTGAAACAAATACTGATAACCTAATTCTATACATTATGATCTTTTGCAACACACACGCATACAGATGATCAACACATTGAGTTTATTTTTATCACCTGACGAGCGAAATCGATCAAGCCATGCAAGGAAAAGCCGCAAGTATATGGCAGATCTGTACTTGCAGGGTCTATTGATCCAAGACGTTGAACGAATGCGGTTCAAATTGGAGGTCGCAGTATTAGAATCCAATGTACCCACGACCATCGTGGATATGTCAAGGTTATTAGTAAAGCAGACGCCTTTGCTACCAGCATATCGAAAACTGCAAAAGGAATATCGGGATTGGGTCAAGGTACAGCTCGAAGATGACCTCTCGAGATACCTTCAACCACCATCTGAACGATCGGCATCCTCAGCAGAATGGAAGTAAGTGAATTAGCATTTAATCATGTTGGCGCAAAGGGACATACCTGTGGAAATCAACAATAAACCATCCATACAATACACATGCTCATGTTACTGCTATTCTTCTACAGGAAACAGTCCACTGTCTTCCATAAAGTCGATAGGATTGCACCTATGGTGAAATCATTACTGGATGAAATACAGGCCATTCCTACTCGGTTACGGGAAGCCTATGTAAGGCAGTGGCGCCGATGGCTTGTTCGACTAGCAGTTGCATTTATTCAGTTCAGCAAAAATGAAGGGTTTGGACGGATCGACAAGTTAAAAGATGCTTTGCAGCTGCATGATCAAAATGATTTCCTGATCGTTTTAGCGCAAGCCGAGAAGCTCAAGCCGGGACTAGTCGAAAAACTCAACATTCACGTACCATAAATACGATTTTGTTTCTACATTTCATACAATCTACTATCTTCGTTGCATAGCATACTTATACATTAGTATCTTTCCATCATCACTTATAGCTACCACAACAGCCAACATCATTGTTGTTACCCACTTATTAAATCATTGTAAATATGTAAAGCAAGTCAAACAAACAATTTGTACAACCCTCTCCTTTAATCTTCTTTCTTCTCCGCACCTTTTATTATTAAAAAGCGTAAAAAATATATACCATGGAATAATCAACTTAAGCATTTTTCCAACTCCTTTTTCTGGGAGGGAGAATATCTCTTTTTTAATGCAATTCGGGACGAAGTTCCAGCACACGCGTATTAGGATCATCGGTAGTGTTATGTCTTGCAACCTTCTTCAAGAGACCAGTAATGATATCACGGTTACTAGCATTCTTCTTAATACGCTTGCGGAAATGCATCAAGAATTCCTTGGTAGTCATTCGCTTGCCACGGAGCGTTGCAATCACTTCTTCCTCAGTAATCAAATCATCTGCAGAACCACCGCCAGCCGTTGTTGAGGACGCTGGTCCACCAGGAGACGTTGCAGTGGGTCGGTGATGTTGATGACTACGATGATGTTTGCCATCAGGACTATTCGCACCATCCTCGAGCTTACGCTTCTTTGTGCTTGCTGCCGATGATGCCGCCGACACTGGACTTGCTTCTCGACTAGAATGAACCGCAGCTTTGGCACTAGGCGATGCTTGTCGAGGCGGTGGCGGTGAAGGTGATTTTGCATGTTGTTTGACCTGTTGCATAGACGGCGAGCCAGGTCGACCAATAGGTTTTGATAATCCTTCTTTCTTGACCTTGGCGGCCAGCCCTTTCTTGTGTAAACCAGCTTTGCTGCCAGGTACAGGTCCCTTTTTCTTTGCTGGTGTGGTTTTCTTTTGATCCTTTTGCTGTTGATCCTTTTGTGACCCTTCTGCGTCAGACTTGGATTCTTCCTTCTCGGCTTCAGAATCAACTTCGTCCTCCTAAAGAGAAAGATTTCATATGGCCATTTACATCGTCGCATACTTACTAGAATCCGTTCACGGCCATCTTTGGATAAATTTTATATAGGTTTTTGATACTTACGCTGCTAGCATACGGATCGCCTTCTTCATCACTATCGTATGCGCGGTTCTTTTCGAGATTTCGAACCAGTTTTTTCATTTGCTATAATAAACGAAAACAAGCTACTTAGCTTGATAATTCGATACGTATACAGAGCCACACATCGCGCTATCCAGGCTAATACGAACCTTTCCTTCCGAAGTAAGCTTGTTAAGATCCTCTGTATCTTGCTGATCATCGTCATCGTCTTCTCCACCTAATGTATATCCCTTTGTTTCGCGTTTCAGGCGTTCCTACATATGAATAGTCACAATGAAAGTGAACATGGGTTAGTATACACACTTGAAATAATTTGTAAATAAATATTAGAATGGCCGCTTTTATCTCTTTTTTTACCTTGCTATCTTTCACATCTTCGTCCTCTGCTTCATGTTCAGCACCTCCTTCTTCATCGTCCTGGAAGACATCGTCGAAATCGAGATCATCGATGTCTGAATCATGTCGACTTTTTTGTCGACCCGACTCGTCTTCGTCGTCAGATGCACGTCGTTTGACTTTGGTAGACACCTTGGCCTCGTCTTCATCATCAGCAATAGCTTTATTGCGCTTCAACATCATCCATCGGTTTTGTTCACGCTTTTGTTGACTTTTAAGCTAAAATACATGAATATGTTCACAAAGTAAATAAATTGTAGGATTTGCTCCTTAGCAAACATTGGGCTTCATTATCACCTGCTCTTCTGCCTCTTCTAGTGTGAATGTACGAAAGTTTCGCTTGGCCTGGAATTTGTACCAACGATCCACTGGAACGACTTTGAAGTCGTTACCCTAATCACATATAAAGAAAATAATTTAGCGCTTTTTAAACCCTTACAAAGGTAGTCCAGAAGTAAATAATAGAAGGAGGTTTGCATAGTTACCGACACAACAAAAAACACGTAATCGGATCGCTGACCACCTTCATATGTACCGGTGAAACTGTTCTGGCCATCATAATCCTCCAAAATCCATGGCTTGTGCTCCTCTTCCTTTAATTGTCTGGTATCTTCTTTTGCAAGGTAGATTTGCTTTGTACGTTTCTTGAACAACATTTGTTTGTTGCGGGTAGCGCCTCCAAGTGGAGCGATCAATGACGTGTCCGCACCAGTCTTAGGTCCGTGCTGATGCTGTTGTTGTTGGGGAGTTTGTGAACCACTTGCTTCCCCATTGGGTGTTCCATTACTGCTATTGACATTGCTGGTACTGGGACTCGCTGCATTTGAAGCATTTGCTCCTGCTGTCCCGCCTGTTGCTGCTTGTGCTGTTGCTGAATTACTTGGCGATCCTCTGTTTGCAAACCGGTTGTACATTTGATTGCCTTCTTTACGTTGTAATTTTACGGGACGTGCAAAGTTGTTGAAATCAACCTTTTTAGCTGTTTTGAAATCCATCACATGATTCTTTCCTCGACGTTTGCATGACATTAGTTGAAAATCATTGTATGGAATGTTGAGTGCAGCTGCTTGTTGTTGCTGTTGTTGTTGTGTCATGGGTCGTCGCATGGGAGGCCGTTGACCAGGCATGCCCATTGGGCCGTGTCGTTGTGGGGGTATACCGCGACCTCGTCCTTTGACTGGTGAATGTGAAGTATTATAAATGGAAGACATGGAAAAAGTGATTTGTCGAGCAGAGAGGTGTGTGAGCGAGAGAGAGAAAGCAGCTGCGAAACAGTCGTCCTTTTTAAGTCTCTGGCTCACTTTCCACCAATGAAATTCGACCTTGAACTTATTATTTCAGGTGCTGCTCTGCACACATTATCAAATGACTTGATAGTATGATGAACTAACATAGAAAGAGGTATGTTTATCCTAAAGGAGCTGCCGTTGCTAGTTTATTATACGCTTTTCGAAGCACTGTGTAGTATTTTGACTTAAATAAAAGTAGTGACAATTATATGTGTTGATAGAAACGACGATAGCATACGAGCCCCTGGGATATATACAAGGGAATATCGTCAAAACAAGTCCATTGATAGCAGCTTATGTATGTTTAGTCGTAGCTATTCTATGAAATAAAAAAAACAGCACTCTTTTCCTGTTATTTATGTTTATCGTCTTTATGATATGCAAGTACCTTACACTGGTTTTTCCGCTTATGTACAACATCAGGAGGAAGATTTCAAGAAGAGCGACTCAATAGGCACCGTTGATATTTTCCGGGCGTCAATGCGCGGGTAGCGCTATACTATGTTCTGACAATATAGCCAGAAGATTGTCCGTTGATAACAAGGGTATCTATTTGGCCGTAACCCATACTTGGCGAAATATATTCATCCACTGTTTTACTTGATGACGATGTATTATTCTTACAGATTACAAAAGCAGTTCTCTTTTTAATTCTTCTCGATACATTAATGATTTGGAGATGTATATCGAAAGGAATGCGGATAAAGCAGTGCTTGAAACGCTCATAACAGCAAATTTCCCAGGTATACGGGAGGATTACGAACAGTCGAATATGTTGTTCGAACAAGACCCCCGGTTCGTGGGATCCATACAAAAACGTGTGCATTACATACACTTTAAAATCATTTCATTCATTGACCAAGCTCTCAACAACTTTATATGACTGACAAGGTTCATCGTTGGCCACCGTTCTCTCTACATATCGACACCTCACATCCCTCAGATCAGACCTAAATATTATTGCTCCTCAACAGTTAATCACTAACTTGTCTTTTCCACATAGGTACAACTGCTCTGACGCGGGTCGATTTGAATGTTTGTTTGAAAAGAAACCGAACTAGCAGCACTATTGTGTTGCTCGCTAATTATACAGGTTTTGATGCTTGATGATTGTCTTTTCGAGGCTGTGTGCCGTAAATTGTTTATCAACAAGCTGGTGAGAATTACTCATAATCCCCAGAACTTATCAAAGAATATTTATATTATGCGACCTCGAGATGAGCAACAACGAAAACAAATGCCCCTCCAGAACCACGTACCTTTGTACTTGGTGGATCTATCTCGGTTAATGAGCCAGTTATTATTAATTCATGATAACCAGTCCACACTCAAGACACTGGACATCTTCTTTGCATCAAAAAGATAGTCTTATCGCTAGCAACTTCTTGGAGCGCCGTCTTCTCAAGCTTTTACGACATGGGGAAAAAAGCCTGGAGCCTAAGCTCAAGCAACTACCGTGATGATGTCGACATTGAGACTGAAAGTATCTCCTTTGAAACCTTTTACAAGAGAATTATATTTTCCTGGTATATATAGTATGCAGTTGACTGTCCAATAGCCCTGAGAAACTGGTCCGTGATAGTCTTTGCTATGAAAAATGTGTCCCGGACAAACGATTCGATACGATTGCCATCTGTTTCAAGACGCTTACTTGTTTGGGGTTGGCGGATATGAGTATATCGATGCTCTGCTTTGTTAAAATGTAGGTAAAAAATGCGCAGCCGCGTACCCTTCCGCTGTATGAGGGCTTTTACCTCGGCGGGCAAAGCACTGATTCTATCATCAAAGATCAATAGGTTGCGAAGGCCCCGGATTCCTCAAACCTTATTGCGCTGACGCTGATATCATACAGTACTACTATTTGTAATTTGCAACGTCTTGATCTTTATACTGCAATTCATATAGTTTACTGAAGCATCTATCCGTAATGTTTGCCAAAATTAAAAAAAGAAGTTTGAAGCATTTTGCACTTTCATCGCATTGGTAAATTGAGCGCAGGTAGGGTCAAGACTCCTTTTTCAGAGCATAATTCATTGCTAAAGTTCTATATGTTGAGTTGTTGTGATCTAGAAACTGTATACATATGTATTGTATGCACAGTAAATCACAAAGCATGTAATACAGTAATAAGTTGCCACATTTACTACATTTTTTTTACCGTTTTATTAAATTAGCAAATATAGCACGTTTACCGTACGTGTCGTTCAAGCAGAGGATGTTTGATGTAATCAACCTAGGTAACATGTTGACAATAATGCAAAAGGCTTGGTCTATTGTAAAAAAAGACCTTTTATTTGAACAGCTACATATTTATTCGCTGAAATAAATAATGTCTTCAGAATCTACCCTGCTTATGCGTCCCTTATCCTTTGGGAATTGTTTTATTGTTTTTAAAATATAAAATCATGATGATACCTCGCTGCCTGACATGAATACAGACGGAAAGAAGAAACATGATGATGAGGTTATTCTACAAACTCGGTCAATCTGAGAGAAATTAAGCCAGAATTATCTTATTGAAAGAACAACGTATGTTACTGTGTACATAATTCAAACCATGAGAACAGGTATCAATTTTATATTAAAGGTCTACAGCAACTGATGCTTTCGCTATATGAGGATGTCACCTACTGAGGAGTCAAGTAGCAATGCCTGGTGACAAAACTCCGAACACTGTGCGCTGCTTGGTTGGGACGAGCGGGCGAGCGGGCAAGTGAGTGAGCAGCCCGATCAATTGTACAGACTTCCTCTTTCTGCACCAACAAGCAATGGTAAAACATCCTAAAGACGAAAAGAGACAAGATGGATGAATGAGATAAATCAATGGATGGATACGTTGGATCGATGGATTAATAGATGGATGGATGATAGGATTCCCAAAAAACTCCCGTCAAGCTTGCTAGAGTCATCAAGGTTCTCGGCCGTACTGGTTCCCGTGGTGGTGTTACCCAGGTCCGCGTCGAATTCATGGACGACACCGCCCGTAGCATCATTCGTAACGTCAAGGGTCCCGTCCGCGAGAACGACATTCTGTGCTTGTTGGAATCCGAACGTGAAGCTCGCCGTCTCCGTTAAAAACAAACGTTAAAATCGATGCGATCGCAAACAACGATTCGACCTTATCATTCCGCAACGTTTTTTTCTCTCTTTTCCAGTACACCACATAACGCACTACACTAGCAACAACAACAGCAGCAGCAGCATACGCGCGCTCTCTCTCTCGCAGCAAAATCGCATGGAGTTTTTGTTTTTAATTTAAAAAACAATAAAAAAGAAACTTCCAACAATTGGCTGGCTCACGGGATTTTTTTATTGAAGATTGGTTCTTTCTATTATATTTTTGTATACACACATTTACACGTACAGAAGAACAGATACACACACACCGAGTGAAGGGGAGATATACACAGTTTTGAAAGTTTGGGAGGGAAAATATTATTTTTTTTTTATGAAAGGAAGGATTTCAAGTCAAATTCGGACTGACCGGGTTGTTTGACAGCAACACCCTTTTCAGTGACAATAGCGGAAACCAGGTCGCTAGGAGTAACGTCAAAGCTAGGGTTCCACACATGAATGCCCTGAGCGGCTGTGCGGACGGTGGCACTTTGGTTATCCTCGAGCAATCCGGTGGTGGTCACGAGTTCATTGGCAGGTCGTTCTTCAATGACAATTTCCTTGCCGCTTTGCATAGACAAGTCGATGGAAGTCGAAGGAGCAGCGACAATAAAGAGGATACCGTGATGTTTGGCAGTAATGGCGAGTTGATATGTACCGATTTTGTTGGCAGTGTCGCCGTTGGCAGCAACGCGATCTGCACCGACAATAATGGCTTGGACGTTAGGGTTTAGACGAAGCAGAGCAGAGGCCATTGAATCGCAGATCAAGGTGGATGGAATCGATTCATAGACCAATTCGTATGCTGTCAAACGGGAGCCTTGGTTGTAGGGTCTAGTTTCGGTGCAAAAAGCATGCTTAAGCTGGCCGTTGTGGTGCAGATCACGAATGATACCCAATGCAGTACCCCATCCTGCTGTAGCCAAGGAACTTTTTTCCCCATAACATATAAAAAAGAGAACAGTGATAAATGTAGATAAGAGTTAGTAAGCGTAGTATATAAACCAAAAGACCAATCTGTGACAAGAATAACAGTGACGACTTACCCAGTGTTGCAATGAGTCAAAACGCTAATGTTGCTCTTATCACGCACGTTGTTGACAATGTATTCAGCACCATACTTGCCAATGTTCTTGTTGTCCTGAACATCGTCCACCAGCATCTGCTCCGCAGCTTCGATACAGGCATTAACAACTTGGCTGGATTCCTTGGCATCCTGAGCGACATTGTTGATAAGTGTGGCAAGCTTAGCAGCAGCATCGAACAAATTGACAGCTGTAGGTCTAGAAGTTTTTAGATAATCCAGGGACGAGAGCAAAAATTCCTTGGCCTGGTCCACACTTCCGAATTCGTTCTTTTCAAGTCGGGCATGGGCATCGACGGCAAGGGAAAGAGCTGCTACAATGGCAATTGCAGGGGCGCCACGGGTCTTCATGGTCTTGATAGCGGCATGACCGTCCTGCACGTTCAGGACAGGTTCGAAAATAGTTTCATGGGGAAGTGCGAGCTGGTTCAGAATGCAAAGATTGCCTCGTGTGTATTGAATGGCTTCAAGTGTACGCGACACTATAGTAAGTGAGTCCCAGTTATATTCGATGGAAAGCACCAAAGAGTGAGTGACAACTCATATGGGTAATTGCAGAACTTTACAGCAAAAGAATAAATAAAAAAAAACTTTACTATTTTGTGGCGATTTGTGTGTGTGTGATGTGCGTGTATGTGCAAGTGAGGCCCGTACAGTCGTTTTGTTCGTCGGCTTTTTAAACCGACTAACGAAAATACGTCTTTAAAAATTCCCGCGTCACGCTGGTTTTGTTTGCTGCGGGTTCTGAACCGGTATAACATATTTTTTTACTTTTTATCTTTTCCCATGGACATTCACAGTAGCTTTGACGAGTTTCTCGATTTACGCGATCAGCACGAAGAAGGAGGTTTACTTCAGCAACAAGGAGAATCAATCAAGTCTCAGTCAGGACAACACCCAAATTCAACAGCAACCCTAATGACGAACGGTGAAAACGCTATTACAATAGCGGCGACAGCAGCAACAGAAGATAATAATAGCACTCTATCAGCACAAGAGAATGGTGCGGTTGCGACAGTATCTACCTGGAATATGACAGGTTCAGACGGTAGCTTGGCACCTGAGCATGCCCCCATCACCCACAATACCAATAACAACGACAATGGCGTCGTTAATGCAGCCACTGGCGCTACCACTTCTGCAGCAGCAGCAGCAGCCACAATGGGCGACCCCAATCAACCATTTTATTTTCCACTGGACAGCGCAAGTTGGGCATCTGTTTTTGCAGCTTCAGATATGAACACTGCAGCACTGACAGCATTCATGAATGAAAACCAACAAGAAGCAGCAGCAGCAGCAGCAGCAGCAGGTGCAGTTGTACCATTAGCCAACACTGATGCTTCGAGTGCACCTGCAAACGTATCGCAACAACAGCACTATATTCCACCACAACAGATGCTTTTACAACAGCCACCTTTGCTTCTTGCATCGTCAACAGCGTCACCCGTACCAACTATTACTGCTGCGGCTACTACTACTACTACTACTACTACCATCGCTACCGACAACGATACGATGAAAAATAATAATAATGAAGATAATAGCGATAAATCGGCCACAAATGTTGAATTACCAGAGGCGAAAGAACAAGAAGAAGTGGATACGGGAAGGATGAAGACACGGTCGTCTCTGAGACTGCGAACTACGGTCAGCAACAAGCCGGCTAACGAGGAGCCCTCCAGCAATCCTACAACAACAACTACTACTACAACGGAAACGCCAAAGAAGAAAACAAAGGGCAAAAGGCTTTATTGTATATGTCAACAACCTTACACGGGTGAGCCGATGGTTCAATGTGACCAATGCACGGATTGGTTAGTGACAAGGGAGGGAAAGTAGAAAGAAAAAGCTTGTTGAGTGCATGATGAAAGCCAGTAAACACTAACTGCATATATGTGTGTGTGGTTTTTTATTTTAAGGTTTCACTGTGCTTGCGTGGACCTCGATCCTGATGAGGCAGAGGATATCGAAACATGGGTTTGTAAGAATTGTGAAGATAAACAGGACAAGTCAGGTACGTCACTATCCTATTATTATATTCTTCCTTGTGTTGTCGTATTGCTGGTAGCCTTACATAGGCGTGCGTGCGTGCGTTCTCTATGTAAGGAAGGAAATGTGAATGGTGTCATAGCGCTATTGGGGTTTTTTTTCTCCATCTATTCGTCTTTTTTTCTTTTATTGCCATATTTGTTGGATTAGATTATTATTGCTATCAACAATCCCTTTTTTCTTTATTCTATCCTTCCCCCCCGCCCTACTCCCCTATCTCGCTTTCCAAAAATACAACAGAAAAGAGAACGTTTTCGCTACTAGTATCTCCTAAAGCCTGTGTGTGAAACAGAGAAAGCGAAGAGCAGTGGTCCATTTATATTGTTCGAGCAACTCTTACCGTACACTAGCGTGATTGCGTCAAGTGGCGGTAAAAGAAAAACATGGATTTACTCAGTTCACTTTCTCTCATTCACCTTTCTTATCTATTGACCATATATCATGTACTACTACTACTACTTTCTACCACTGCAAGGCTAAGAGGAGTATATGCTTGATTCTACAGCGTTTCCTTTTGCTTATCACTTGCATCTTTTTCTTTCTTCATTTATCCATTTTTATGATATCAAAAAGTTTTACATACAACCCCTCAAATGTCGTTCTTATTTCTCAAATGTTTTTCAGCATGGTAACAAAAGCGTCCGTTCCTGCCCTTATGAAAAGAAGGACTACCAGCAATATGACGATTGTTACTTTGTATATGATGATCTGATGTCTCATCATTCTCACATGCGCATGCTTATGCATATGTACATTTTCTTCTTGTTTACTTAGTTGCAGAAGACACGCCCAACGAGGAGCAATCGACGGTCAAGGATCAACAGTCGACTACGACCACAACCACAACCACAGGAAGGGTAAGTTTGCATCGTCTTCGTTATAAACAAGGAGCGAATGGACTGACAACATTTGTACATATATATAGCCATATGCTACACGACAAATACGAGCAAAAAAGTGTTTATTATCAACATGCAAAAACAGAACACGAGCCGATTCATATTGCAGCGATGTTTGTGCCGCACAAGATTCTATGAGAAAGCCTGGAGACAGTGATTATGTGCCGACCAAGTCTCCATCTCCTCCCAATGAACGACGCTCGCGCACCACATCAACGACCTCCTCCTCCTCCTCATCATCATCATCTTCCTCGACTTCAACGGATAACAAAAAGGCTATTATCAAACAACAACCAAAATCATCACCACCACCATCGTCCAAACAATCACAGAAACAACAAGGAACATCTGCTGTTGCTCCTGAAGATGATCCGATTCGTAAAAATGTAGTTAAAAATATGTCTACGATCCTCAAGACTATTATTGAAAGTGCATCAGATAAAGATCCAGGTCTCTTTGCTGCTTCTGAACACGTTACTTCCAGTGCCTCTTCTCCTTCTTCTGCTGCCACTACTGGTACAACAACTACTGCTGGTGGTCATGATGGTGCTGAGCAACAACAACAACAACAACAAGAAGAGCCGTCACCTCAAGTCATGGCCGATCAACTGGCTAACGCGATTGAACAAGTCATGTTCAAGGAACTCAAAGATCCCGCAACAAAACGCGCCGGCGTCCAATACAAGAACAAGTTTCGGTCATTGCTTTACAATCTCAAAGACAAAGCCAACAAAGTGTTTCAGCTCCGTGTCGTGACCGGCGAACTGACGCCCATTGAACTCATCAAAATGTCATCGGAAGACATGGCGAATCCCGAACTCAGATCCAAGTCTCTGTCCATGCGACAAGAGAGTATCAAGAACTCCATCATGAAACGCGCAAATGTGCCTATTATCAAAAAGACGCACAAGGGTGACATTGTCATGATTGGCACGCCTGACAAGGAGGAAAGTAACCAGCAACAGCAGCACCGCCACCATTATCACCATGGACAAGAAGGCCCGCGTTGGATCAATACTGCAAGCGCATCATCAAGTGTTGATGCATTGGGCGGAGGTGATGACTCCGAGAGCCGCAAGTCGAGCTTCAGCGAAACACCCACCACCCCTGTTGCCGTCAGCCGTGACCAGCGCGAGGATGATCAACGATTTGAAGATATCTTGTCGAAAATTGGCATTGGTAGCCGAGACGATAGTGGCGATAATGCAGGAGGCAGCAGTAAGCGCGGCACGAGCAATAGCCCCTTGGATGGCGCCGATCGACCCAAGAAGCGCAAGGTGGAAATTGATATGGAAAAGTTGCTAGGCGACGAGGATGACTACCAACCCGAGTTTGGTGATGATGACATGGAAGCAAAAACCACTACGCCTCCGAATCCGCCACCAGCATCGCCACCTGCTGTGCCAAGTGGACCACCCAAGCCGCCGACCATCTGGCAAGGCCGAGTCAATATGCCACAAGTCTCTGAATTTGAAGCAAGTGCACGACAAGTGGGAGGCCGGACTTTGGGCGAAGCCGAATGGGCTGAAGTGCTCTCACCGACCATGTGGATCGAAGGGCGGATACCTGTCGATCGCGTTACGCAGTATGTGACCCAAACACAATACGCCACCAGCCGTGAGATTGTCTTGCTGGAAATTGAGGCAACAACAACAACAGGCGACAACTACAAGAACGCACAGACGCTCATCAAATATTTTGACTCTCGCAAACGGTTCGGTGTTGTTGGACACAACAAGACCAAGGTCAAGGACTTTTATTTGATTCCGTTATACAAGACCCAGCAGTTGCCTGATTGTTTGTATGTGGTGCGCGTCGAAGAAACGCAGCGTGATGCTGACATGTTCCTTGGCGTATTGGTTATTCAGAAGCATCAGGAACGGCCACCAGCACCACCACCAGTAGTGCCGGCACCTGCATTAGTACCCGCAGCAGTACCCGCAGTTCCCTCACCATTGCCACGACCGCCGATAGTGTCGCAGCATCATCAACAACAACAACCAGCTCAGCAACATCAGTATCATTATCAGCAGCCACAACAACAACAACATTATCAAGTGCCAACGTATTCATTCGCGTCACAACAGCAGCAGCGACAACAACAACAACAATAGCGACATCGAATGCCCCAGTATCGATCCACCATGTACTATCAACCCCCTGCTCCATGAGGAAACAAAGAAAAGACAGTGTCTTCTTTTTTATCAAAGAATCTATCAGGTCAATGCTACGGACCCGCCCCTCTTTGTCCGTTACTTTGGCTCTTTGTTTTATACATCATCATCATCACCCCCTATAGTACATTACACTTTATTGTCATCAACGTCAATCGCTGGTACATGAGTACTACTGCTCGTCTAGTGCGTCGTATCTATGTATTATCACATGTATATCATCTTCATCTTCATTATTATTAAATGCGTAAATAACAAATGTTTCTCTTAGAAAAAGTTTGGGGAGTGGGGGTTGTTTGTAGATAATGGAACGGGCGTTAGTGTGTGTTTGTTGCAGTTGATGGTACATAGTAAGGACACGTTGTTTCCATTTTCCCCCCGTTTAAGGCTTGGCCCGGGGAACCAACCATTTCCTTGGTTATTATTATTATTATTGTTGTTGTTGTTGTCTTTCTTTGTGGCTACAAGTTAAAAGCATATGCTTTATAGAGATCCAGGATAAACATTCTTTAAAAGAAGACGATATATGTTTTTTTCTCATGCAGCAGCACAATCCACATGCAATCCTAATGAGGGGGAGCGTGAGTAGTATCTGTCATGCTGTGGCTGCTTTACATGGCATGTATGTAATTTATTACTGTCACCAGGATGCCATATATGGTGGGCGAGGCGTTATGTAACGGACGGACGTATGTGATAGTAGTGGTTGGGCTGGAGCGGCAGTAACCCTTGGCAGTAGAAACGGCAGATGTGTGGGTGGCACAAGAGAAAGGAGCCTGTGTGTGGGTGTACTAGAGACACACACACAGCTGTAGATGCGGCGGTGTGTGTGGGTGTGTGGGTGTGATCGACCCAGCATATGGTTCCTTAGGCGAGTAATAGGTTTACCTTAAATGGTTGTTGTCACAAACACAGTACAAATACTTTTATTTCTCCTTTCTATTTTGATTGCACTTCTTTTTCCCTTCTCGTCTTTCTCTTTTTCTCTGACTTTCTCGATACCCCTCCCTACTCCACCTTCTGCAACGCCAACATCCACAGGAAAATGCTAGTGGACACGCAACAGCCTACCGATACGACGAACAGCACTGCTGTTATACAACGCCGCACTCTAGGTTGGCACCACTAAGAGAGAGAGAGAATGAAAACCAGCAAGCTGGCACGAAAAAGAAAAAACAATAGTGTTGGGAACTGACTCTCTTATAATAAATATAGCAACGGCACTGGCTATACAGCAAAGCAAAGCGGAGCCACGATGGCCGCAGATTCTCGTAGGCAAACTACGACTCGTTAAATCAACCTGGTCGCTTTCATCCGCATGGTCATCCGATACACCCGAGCCGGAGTCAGAATGCCCTACTATCCGTGACACAGAGGGCCAACAACTATTACCATCACCGGAATCATCTACGATAACTTGTCCTCCTCCTCCTCCATCTTACAGTGACCCGAGCCACCCATGGGCCGTACGACCGTACTGTGAAGAAGAAGAAGACCGAGACGATGAAATCAAAGATAGCGACGAAGAAGAGGAAAACGAAGAATTACCGCCGTATGAATGCACCGTATCACGCGTCGGCCATGTCCATGTTAAAAAAGAACGCGAGAGTCAAGACAAAGTAGCTAAAAAAAGATCTTGGAAGTAAGTAGAAAGTTGGTTTTTATTTTCGGTTCTGCTACTGCTGAAAGCCCCACTCCAAGAAATATCCTCTCTGACGCTATAAACTATGATCTTAAATAGAAATCTCTATGTCATGTTGTGGGGAACATCCATAAGAGCTTATAAACGCGAGCCCAAGAAACAAGATGAAACGCCAGTTTGGAGTTATACGATGCAAGAGGCCGAGGCCGGCATGGCGACTGATTACCGCAAATACAGTCATGTTCTTCGTATTCGGATCCACAACGGCCCGCAGTTCCTAGTGCGATGCGATAGCGAACGAAGTGCCGTGTTGTGGATCGATGCGGTCCAGGCATCTGCGAACGTGAGCCCGGATCTGGACACACGCCCCATGCCAGAGTTCACATTTGGACGACGTCAACGACGAAACCGACGACGAACGTAATACCGCCCCCACCACCCCCCTTCATCCATATTCACTTACTCGAACCTTTTCGTTGTTACAACTGCTAGCGGGCCGAGCAGTTTCAGTGTTTTCTTCGATGAGTCGGTTATAGTTCATCTTTTGCATATAGATTAGCTTAGAAATCAAAAAGGGCAATGTATACCCCAAACAACAACAACAACAACCATTTCTGCATATCAGAAACTGCTGTTTGCTCTGTTCAAAAGTTTACCCCACATCAAAGCAACATCACACAGCAGTCCCCTCCCTTTACACACAACTCGAGCATCCAATTCATGTACACATATTAATCATATCTATATATTAAACAAGACCACACGTATAAGACAAAGAGACTCCTTGAGAGCACTTGCTTTCTTTGGCGAGCTGCAGGTACTTAATATTTTTAAGGGGGGGCTGGTTCTGGCACATTGATAAAGTATAGAAAGCAGGGTTAATTGTTACTGTACGCTACTTCTTTCATTTCTAACTGGCGATCATTAATATAATATGTTGGTAATAACAATACTTGTAGATCTTGAATATCATACCAATCTTTTTTTTCTCTCTTTACATACGCCGCGCATCGAGATTTCTCCCAGTCCCTTCAATTCACATATGGTTTGAAAGTATGTCATTGCTTTCATGTGTGCGAAGTTTTTTGTTTAAACTGAGATGCGATTTTAAGTTTTATGTACGACTGTAGATCCTACAGGCGAGCAACAAGCTTGTAGTGATTGGAATTATTGGGAGCGCAAACCTTTTTTTCTTTTTCTAACGGAAAAAGGGGATGGAAAGAAGGAGGAGGGGTGGGGCGAGTATTCCAAGAGTCAAATAACAACCATTGCACGTCATACTACGCCCACAGCAGTTATTGTCGAACACTTTTAAACAAGAGGTATGCAAGTGCATAACGGAATGTTGGCCCAATATGCAGCACATGTAGGAAGAAAATCTAGTCTATTCCAGATCGGTCCGTGGCGGCGTCTAGTGTGCTTCGTTGCTGTTATTGTTGAGGTTACAAGAATGCAGCATTTCTCTACAGTGCCAAGCACTATTAGCAGTTGTTTTTTTAAACATCCCAAGATATTTTCACTCAAGTGCCAACATGCAGGAAATTGGCTCGTATTACTACCGTGTATCATAACATATTTGCTGCTGGGCTACTACCCAGCTCTTTTTTTTCCCAGAACGACGAGAAGAAGGCCTGCCATAAAACGTTGCACAAATTTTCTTTTTTTCAACAGCCGGATGTCAATGCAGCTGCGCTGCAGCAATTTATAATGCACGTATTGAAAAAGGCAACCGTAATCTAAAAATAATTATGTTAAGAATAATAGCGATGTTTTTTTGAAAAGTATGAGGAAGCTATATGTAATCAAGGAGATCACTTGATTGTAAAAGGTATACAACTGCATACAAGTAGTGACCAAGACGCTTCTTCTTGTCTCGCTGTTGAAACGGATGGGGCGCGTTTCCCAACTTGATCATATAATCTTCATCGACAGGGCAGCCAACGTACGTCACCAGTAATACACTGCTCCTTTCAAATGCTTCTGTATTCTGGCTTTTGCCTGGAGGCATGTTGTGGCTGGTTAGCTCCACCAGAGTCGATCTGTGGTTATTATTCGGCTGTCACGATTCTAGTCCTTTCTACACCCCCAGCGAGACGAGCGTGATAACGGAAGACGTATCCAGCAGATCTGGTCGGAAACGAGTCTGCGGCGGGTGGTATATCAAGCCACCTTCCAAACAAAGTGGCACAAAGGATTCTCCCAGATGTCACCTGTATGTATTTGCTGAGGGAATTGTTACGATGGCCCCGCAAGGACGAATGTTGCATGTAATATTGTTTTAGCTTCAAGCTATCATTTAAAGGCATGGTTATCAATTTTTTAAAGAACGAACTAAATATTAGCTTCCATTAGGAAGAGTGCCTATCTAAAATTTGCTTAAAACGGATAAGCGAAATTTTTTATATGTATCCAAATTACCAATTCATACTTCTATCCTAATGAACGACCAATACTGTATACATGATGATCGCTTATAAATTGTATTGCCTACTAAATTATTGTCATTTATGCTGGTTCCTATGTAGGCTCGGTTCTCAAATGATTCGTGCGGCGGCCAATTTGTTTTGGATAAGTGGCGATCATCATTGCACTTAAAAAGCATGTATCATATAATCAGGGCATACAAGCAAGTGCTTCAGCATATACTGCTTTTATTAGAAGCCAGTATGTCGCACCTAATACAGTAACGTCATTTCACTTTAAGTTGCAGTTGACATGCGCAGTGTTGGAACGTATCTTTTTCTTTCTGACAGGATGCTATGATAGGGCGTTCCTTAAGCATAATAAGCGACAACATTACTACACTCGCTTAAGTGGAAATTTATGTTAGCGTCTCCTTGACTGTCATAAATCTGCTTGTACTTTTCTTCCATTCAAACGAGCCATTAATTATCCATGGTGACTGCTATGGAAGCCGATAGTGATCCTAGACAACGGCTAGCCATGATTTGTGTCGATATAAACTATTAGGTTTTTTCCTTCTCTTGTTCAAAACATATGACCTTTTTCTAATCTCTTTCTTAAGGATAATAATTATCATTCAAGCTTTGGCATTGTGGATTTTTGTCAAGCTACTCGGCAGTATGATATTTTCTGATTTCGTATGTTGTCGTTCTTTGGATGGACCATCCAGTAGGTGTATATGACATGGTTTTTTTAAAAAGCACAGCAACCTGTGGGATGCCTAGGTGTTTTAGAAGCTGCGTCTTGTGCTGACACTTAGAGCTCCTCGGACTGTGGGCGATGGTACATACGCCTGCCATTGACGCCACATTCATTGTTCATAAAAAATGCTTGCCCGTGGAAGACGTGACCAGTAATATACCCCATTCACTTTTGGTGTTAACGATTGTAGTTTGTGTTTAATGATCTCTGTCTTTTCTATCACAGTTAACTAAATGTATGCTACGCGATCTACTCTGGTTATACAATAGCTTAAACATACTAGGAACACATAACACGGAGTTCATATAACTGGAAGCTAAATCCCATATACACAGCATGTTATATCTGATCTGGGACATTTGAAATTTATGATACATGTGGGGTTGTCGTAAGATAATAGTCTTCTATAGTGACGGAAACTATGCAGGAGTCCACCGTATTGTCGTTGATATTGCTTGAGGGGCTTTCTTTTAGCAGTTGCTGCCATTGCCGCTGTTGTTGTTACTGGAGTTCTTTGTGTTTACTTGGCGCTAAAAAAATCTCTAATAACTATCTCCTTGTTCAAATGCAACCTTCTAACGATATGTATCTTTGTAATTTCGGTTGCATCAGATTATGTATACTTCTTCCGCTATAACACTTGCACTAGCAAATAAAGACTTAGATAACGACACCATTCTTAGCGCGCCGGATGCTTTATGTGATTGCCAGGAAAAAAAAATATGCAGTACCAATGGTAATGGGTGATATTTCAGAACAAAGAGGGGATTGCACGAGTGTTTCAATTTATTTCTGGTATAAGTTTACAGAGCTGTAATGTGCCTACAGTCAATTGAAAACAAAGATCTTTCCGCGCCTTACTGTAAATCTGGCTCAGGTCTTAGTTGATACTTAAAAAAGCTAATCAGATCAAGACAAGCGAATGTGTTCTTTATTTCTATATCATTTTCTGAAATCGATGCTGGGCTCGATTAGAATTTATACACATGGTCTTGTCCATAACCCAATCTAAAATCAGAATATCAGTGTGAGCAGCTTCTTTCTGATTGATATCCTATCCTAAACCCATCCACTTACTCTTTCAAAACACCACCCAGTTCGCCTTGGCTTTTATCAGGAGCCTTTGCACCAGCCACGGCAGCAAGCATTGGATCTGGACCGCATACGAAAATGACCGAGTCAGGCGTGCACGGCGCGGGCAGATTCTTCTTGATCAACTCCTTGCTGACAAAACCAGTGTGTCCTCCCCATTTGGCGGGTGGACGATCCAATCCATAAACAACCTTGAAACGGTTTGGATATTTCTTTGCGTATCCATCCAGCTCTTCTCGTAGCAAAATATCGTCTTCTGTTTGGTTGGTGAAAATCAAGGTCACCTTTGTCTTGTCATCTTTGGAATTTGTGTCAAAGATCTTGCGGATCACTTGAAGCTACAATAATTTGATATATCCCGGTTAGCATACTTACATTCCTCTTTTAATTCGTGTTTTACATATTTTCCTACCATGGGTGTGATTCCAGTACCACCTGCGATCATGCCCACATCTGAGACTGATAGTTTGAGATTGTTTAATTTAGTATACGTCAGTAGAATATGTTTGTCAATGTAAAGTACCTTTGCCTTGATCCCAGTTGTACTTTGGGATAGGTCCCTTGATCTCCAATGTGTCACCGGGATTCAAACTATGAATGTGCTTGCTCATTTTTCCTTGCGGGTAATCCTTGATGATAAATTCTACAAACCCTTGTTCCTATGTATCGTCATCCAGTACAACATGATTATGTCAATCGTTTTGTTCCTTCTAACGCGAAAAAGCGTATATACCCGCATTGATGCATACCTCTTCATGAGATGTTGGTGTATATGGCCGAATGATATATCCCGTACTTCCATCTTTCTTCTTGAAGGGATATCGCGTAATTACGCAAGAGGCAACGTGAAGACCTGTAACATGCTGATCGGATGGAAGCTTGAATCGAAACACGCTGGTGTTGTGATTATACGGGTGGGCTTCGGTGAGCTGTATGTACACACATAACAGATATAGTTTAGCGCCATGTGAATTCGCAGGCATTCGCACTTTTTTTTGTGGTCTACTCCCGAGTTTTCTTTTTCATCCCTTGATTATTACCGTGAATGAACGAAACTCTTCTGGACTAAAAGCTTTGGGAGCCTCTGCAGCATCCGCAAAAGCACGATTTTGGGTCTTGTTTAAATAGTTATTGGAGAAATAATAGTAAGCGCCGGCTGTCGTGGTTGCAAGCATGGATGCGGTTACAGTCCAGTTGCTGTTGCTACGTGAAACACCGGGGTTTGTAGTAGTCCCATACGAGCACACGCGAGTACCAGACTACGATTTTATAGTTATATATCAAAATTTACACGAGAGAGCCTTGAATTTTCAAGTATCACTTGCCATTCCCAGTGGTCTGAAGCGTAGTGAGCCAGAGGCAGCAGAGCGTGCAGCAAACATGTTGGAGGATGTGAAAGAGAAGGGAAAGTGAAAGAGATAGCGAGGGTTTGCATTACGTGTGTGACACATTTATTTTAGTGTCTTTTTACGTCAGTCCCCCGATCGGCATAAAAATGGACTGAGATAATCCATGCTTGAAACAGTAGATTGGATATTGATGATGAATGTTTGTTTATTAACAAGAGTGGAAGGAAGAAACGATCCACTAAAAGAAGATAATTACAAAGGAAAAGACGATTTCTATAGATAAGGATTAAGAATTTTACTACGATGTTATGCAACGAATAAAGTACTTTTTTTTATGCTGCGCTATTAAGTGGGATAGTATAAGAAACAGGCAGAAGCGCTGTTTGTTTTAACTGATTAATCGATTGTTTGTTCGTTTGGATTAATACAGCTTCCAACCACGAGCAATGGCAGAGCCACCAATGGCCAAGCCAATGGCGTACAAGATAGTGGAGAAACCGATGCGGATAAAACGGTGCTCAAAGATAAAGTCGGCAATAGCGTACAGGATGGTAAAGATGACAAAGATCCAGGCCAGAATGAGCACAGCGCGTGTAGAGCCGACACCAAGGGTGTTGAGGGCAACCACGCTCAGAAGCATGAGCAAGGAATCGCGCAGGACACTGTAAAAGTTGCGGAAACGACGGTTAAAACCAGAACGCGCCTTGAACAAAAAGCCTGATGACTTGTTGGCTGCTTCTGGATCTGCATTCGCTGCTGTCCCCGCCGCCGCAGGATCCGTTGCTGTAGGAGCAACCTCGTCATCTCTGAGGAAGGCGTGACGGAAGATGTAGGCTAAGCCCCAAAGGACCCATAAGGTAAAGAAGGCAATCCAGGTAGAGCGGACATAGGAGTCGCCGATAAAGGAGGAAACTGGGCTACCGTAGGAACTGTCCATGGTGATAAATTGATTTGATTGACTTTGTAGTTATGGATGTGATATGTGTGTATATGTGTTTTTTTAAATTGTATCTACTAAAGATGTAGTAGAGAGAGAATTCAACGAAGGATGGTCCTTGGAACAGTCCCATGGGTTGCTTATATACTTTTTCAAAGGATGGAGGGGAGTTAAATCAAATATCCATGATTTTGCTCTTCTTATCCGAAACACTGCCAGTGGATTACGAAAGTATGCGTGGTATAGACCCCGGGATGCGTACGCCCGGAGGAAACAAATTCCCATGTCGCATTTTGATGTATGTATCGGAAAATCCGAAAAGCAGGAGTGCCCCAGCCGTTTTAAATTTTTCACGGACACGTGACCTACAAAATAAAAACCTCATTCAGGAAATTGCTACATACAATCCTAGCAAATAAAAACTGACCCAAAGGTCACCTACAAATGGATTCAGTTGTGGGTTGAATTCTACTTTACGATACTCTCTATACTTTTTCAAGCCGCGCATCGTGGTACTATATGAACTTTGCAGACTTAAGCCAACTTACCAATGAAGAAATTGGGCAAATCATTCCACAGCAGCACGACGGATCCACCAGAGACAGATCCGCGACATATCCCCTTCCAACGACCATCGTTATGGGACTGGACAGAATTCGGAAGGGAGAAATCGAAAAGAATGTACGAAAGTCCCAACGCGACCTTATCGACTACACCGTGAAAAATACTTTCGACATTTTTGCATATCTAACTTGAAGAGATGAATTCGTCGCTATCGTTGCGTGGTTAGAGACTATTATTTAGAATATGTGTATACATTCGTTTATTTTCAGTGTTCTTACCTTTGTATTTCAATCCATTGAGATACAGTACCCGAAGTCTCGGTTCACCGTCTTTAAGGCATCATTACAAGCGTAACTGATACTATCCATAATCGGCTGGATACCATCCATTCGACGATTCATGTACACTTGCAAGACAATCTTGGCAATACGGTATAAGAATATGTATTGTGTCCATCCTGGCAGTTTACAAGCCTCCAGCTCGTCAGTTCTTGCGAAGTTACTTTGTAGGATCACCTGAACAATATATGCTGTCGACATCAACCAAATCGGGAGTGACTAGAGAAAGATAATAGGTTAGTATCCATCAGCTTATATACATAATATACATAGTGACATACATTCGGAAAAAAAGACAGGGAATAAGTTACCCAAGAACGTTACAAGAGGAGCTCTTTTGTAATAAGCAATGACCGTGTTGTATACGATCAAGCTATATGTACAATGAGGCTTCATTGCTTCTGCCGCAGCTTTACAGGGATAAGCACCGAGCATGTGTGTTTTCCAATGACCTTTGTTTGTTTCATCTTCGTCAAATTCATCCACGTCGAAATCCCTGCGATGAAACCCGAAAGGCCCTCCACCTTCATTGCTTGGATCGTCGTCATCGGGACCAACTGGCACGATCGGCTCTTCGCGTTCCGGTACGATATCAAAACGAGGCTCTGCTGAGCCTTCTGGCGGTACGGTGAGGTGCATATCGAACCATGTATTCCAATGTTCTTCGATCATGTCGACGTTATTGGAGTGGGTGACCACAAATCCGCTAGTGGGAGCATAAGGTATTAAATCATCGTACATAATTGTTCCATCGTTAACAGAGGCTACATGCTTAAGGATGAATGCCAGAACAAAGAAAGGAATCGCTGCTTTAGTACTGTAAATATAACACATCATTTCTGCAGTTGCTTTGTGTGTGCGTCGCCTTAATGTACGTTGTCAGTCTAGGTAGACTGCTATCTGCTTAAATCATTTTCCAGCTCTGTTGCCCAAAGGGGCCGGCCTTTTTGGTTCGCTCCTTTGTTTTTGTCAGGCTACTACTGGGAGCACAACGCCCGAGCAAAGGGCATTTATGTTGCTTGATTTCCAGTGATGTTATTATACGTCACGTTCAATAAAGCTTCGGCCGAGTCCGTGCAATGAGTATGGGATTGACGAGAGTCTTTCTCATACGTTGTGAGACGCACCGTTGACATGCCGGCGCAGGTTTCGGGAAGCTTTCTTTTTGGAGGGGCGAGCCCCGTTGCTTAAAAACGTGTAAGTTCTTTTCCTTCTTTTCTTATGAAAATACTCGACATGCGTATGTCGAACAGTGAAACTCATCCGTGAAATTTAGAAAACGCCCTACCCCGACCCCAGCTCAGGTGCAGGAAGTCATTTCGTTTGCTCTACATATTTCGCCCTAATTGTAGCACTTTCTGTGCTCAGAGCTAAAACACTACATTGCCAGTACGAGAAAACCTACTGCGGATGGCTTTGTCGCAGAGCACAGTCAAGTGATCGCTCAATTTTTTGCAGCAAGCAACATTACAAGTCCAGAGACACTGTATAGCTTATGGAGAAGCCGATTTCTTCATGAGTTACGAAAGTTGAGACCAACAGTATCACTCAGGTGAGGATCGCTTGCTGCTCGTCGCATGCGTATGCAAAGTTAACTCGCACAATGTTTGAATTTGCTGACTTTGCAATATGCCTTTGCCTCTCACTATAGAAGGTTTCTTAAACAAAGAGTGTCGATCCTTAAGAATTAATTTTACTGTAAACAGTAAATTAATTTTAGCTAAGAATAATACAACCAAGAACATTTCGTCCTTCGTCCTCATGTTAGGATGAGATGCTCTTTACCCGTCCGCTGATAGGCCCTGTAAAATATGCGAGAACGACTGGGAACAGGTGTACGAAGAAGTTGACGCAGTGGTACTGACGAGAGCGGTGTTAAGTCTAATATAAAATAGTTCGCTGTTGACATTATTGATATATCTTTCGTGTAGCGCACTACCGGCCAAAGGTTTCGTATCGACGCGTTGCGAACACTCACTTCAAGTAGTTCATCCGCAGCTGCAACCGTGTCAACGTTACTCCGTGGCACCGAACGCACCGGCTCCAGTCGCTCTGAGTCTTTTTTTCCACCAGCGAGTGGTCATAGCCACGATCTCAGAACGTTGAGTGGCGTGCACAGACAGTAAGTTACCCAGCTATGTCGATATATACTGGAACACCGTGATTGTCATTTTGGCATGAGTATTCACTCTAGGTTTTTGAATAATAGCGTCCATGAACAGTTTAACAAACATTTCTTTCATCGGGAAACGTTACTCACTCTTTTTTCTGCGCACAAAAATGCAGTGAAAAATCTTGCCAACAGAGTGATAGGGTTGGATCACCGTGACGATGTAAGTGTCTTTCTGTATTATCCCTTTTTAATTCTTTAACGAGTACTTTCTTGATAAGTCGCAAAAGCTAATATAGTTGCTTCAAGGAACCTCTCCCCTTTTCCAATAAGGCCGAGGAGCCGCCTGCTGCGCATATCAGTGATATACGTATTGAACCGGATTCTGAAAGCGACGCAGTCATTAAAATGTATATGAAATACGTAAGTACAGTGATATTCATCGTTTGCTCTTGGGTCGTTGATGCATTGTACCGACAACAAGGGAGTTAATGCACAATACGTCTAACACGTTCTAATTTTATAGAGGATCAATGGAACTGCACCGAATGCAGAAGAAAGAGTCGTTTTAAAAGGCATAAGCAACAAAGGTGACACAGTTTCCCACAAGCTGCTTGGGATCGCTGCGGGCAATTTGCTCAATGACGAAGGCTGGGACAACAATACGACATCGATACAAAGTATTGTCCTTCTTTAAACTAATCGAACTGACTCAGCTGCTGCATCACCGAATCATCACAAATCCTGCACCAAACACTCAAAAAAACGGAAATTGACGATCTGCGAAACTTTGAGACATCTGTCCTACACCTTTGAAGACAACCTTTTGGCTTGATGCGTTGCGGACCATACACGCCCCACCTTCGGTTACTTTGGACAATATATGGGATACTCTTCTTATGCGTTTTCCTTCAGCCGACAGCTTCTGTGCGCGCAACATGGCAAAAATAGGACTAATATTCCAAACGACTTGGGCCATACACTGGCATTCTGTCTTAGATCAGACACCTTGGAATCACACTATAGCTTTGAACCATCTTATCTCCCTATTAGCGCGATACACATTTCTATCATCATCTGTTAATGTTGACTCCACCAATAATATTAGGGCATAGAGCCCCTAATTTAAATAAACATCTTTCATACAAAAAATAAAGGACATCTGTCCTACATGGTTTATCCGATCCCCACCTTCTAGTATGCAGATCTATAGCCGAAAGGTAAGGGAAAAGGAGGAGAAAGCGAAGGCCATATCGAGTATGTAACTATTTGCGATCCTGTCATGATTAATCGCTATAGTAGTCCGGACGTTTGTATTATGCTGACCGAAATTCATAAGCTTCAAATCGAACATGTCATGGCCATTCTCGTCGGTGTCATGCCAGGCCCAACCGCATCGCATACGACAGAGCTAAACAAATACTTGTCATGCCTTGTTAATGAGTTAGCGTTGCTGTTTAGAGATGATATCGAAGTGTATGTCTCCTCGCTCGGCTGGAGCATCCTTACGAAAGCTGCGTTAATCATGGCTGCCTGTGATATACCCGCCGCTCGCAAGACATGTGGATTTACTGCTCCTACCAGCCGTCGAGCTTGTTACAAGTGCAACCGCACCTTTATCGTTGATGATAATAGGGATCGCGTTAACCTTGCTGGTGGATTCGACGTCGAAGAAGGGCGCTGGCAAAATGTCGGTAGCGTGAGCGATGTGGCAGTTCATGCAACAGAATGGAAGAATGCGACCTCAAAAAAGGATCGCGCCGATATTGAACACAAGTATGGCACGCGTTGGTCCAAGTTGTAACGCTTGGAGTACTTTGATGCAGTCCGTTTCACTGCCATCGATCCGATGCATAACCTGCTCCATGGTACGACCAAGAAAATGCTGGAGCTCTGGCAGGATGAGGGTTACCTAACTGCAGCTGATCTTCGGGATATGAAGAAATCAGTTGAAGGGTTCGTTTTGCCGGTGGATCTCGATGTGCTCTCAGCAGACAGGATAAGCGGGGGCCTTTCAGGGATGAAGGCAGCTGAATGGAAAAGCTGGTGTCTCGTTTATTCGCCATTTTTGTTGCAAGGGTGTTTGGAAAAACGCAAGTTCAATCACTGGATGAAGTTCGTTGATGCATGTCGCCTTTTGCTCAAGCCTGCGATAACGTTCGATGAAGTCGAGGCCGTCCGATCGAAGCTCTGACTTATATCATGCTTGGTATCATGCAAACTGTGTAAGTAGAGGCCCTACCAGTGCGGAAACATGTCAAATTAATGAGCACCTTATATCTGATTTTACTTTAGGATTGAACAATTTAATGACTGGCGCACAGATAAATAGGCACTTGTCAAAGCTATTTGCAAGTGCAAGTGCAAGTGCAAGAATTTTTTTGACCAATAAAACTTCATAAAACATCTGCAACTTTGAGTGTGCCGCACGTATATTTAAGTCTTTCACTGCTAGGTTTTCTAGTTTAGATCCAGTTCAAGACTTGTACAACTGGTCTCGTCTAACTGCTCCTTGGCGCTTTCTTCTTTCTTCATCGACTCACGTCAACTGCTTAGGGAATTCGTACAACGTATTGGTGTTACTTGTTGCCATGTTTGGATAGGAATGTTGCCGACCTGCACTTGCGAAAGTTATCTGCACCTGTTCCCAGGTGCAGATGCAGGTTCTTTATGCAGGAGCATTCTGACCAATCACATTACTAAATGAGCACAATTGAGTGGAAACATACTTCACTGCGTGTAGATATGTCAAACGTAAAAAAGTACTTTTTGACAGTGTCGTGTCAAAGTGGTTGTAGCAGCAGTAGCCCGAGTATTCATCCTGCACCAGGGTTCCCAGCAGCTATAACATATATATACCGCGGGACACACTCAAGCTTTGTATAATGCTGAATGTTATTCTTCATTCCTGATTGGACAAACTTTATTTCGCCTTTGTTATTGGCGTAAATAACAATGCCGCAGTTATTCTGTAAATTTTACTGGCTAGGTCTCTACGGGTACGGCCTGGCTGCCAGCAACTTCGGAGGAAGAAATAGACACACACGCGCACGCGCGTATTATTTTAGTGTGAATGAAAAATCCCACGCTCTGTCCTACGCTTCAAATTTAGTGTGTGCAGCTATTGTTGTCGCGCTTGTGTCTTTCTCTGTCAAACGATCTTTCATACAATTCAATCATGAGCCATCTTGCAGTTTATGGTGGTGCTGGTGCACTCGGAAGGGTTCTTGTAGACTACTTCAAAGCACGTGGTTGGGTATGTGTTCAGATCTCTCAAGGGCTTCATATTCTGTGAACAGGAAATCTCATTCAGTGGGTAATTCATAAATGGATACGCATGATAGGCCGTGACCAACATTGATCTCGTCGAGAATAAAGCAGCACAGTTCAACGCACTCGTAAACGCCAACGAGGAGCTTCAGGAACAAGCAGCAAAGCTGGATCAAAGCATGGAGGCGACACTCAAAGGAGAAAAGTTAAAGGCCCTGTTCTGTGTAGCCGGAGGATGGGCAGGTGGCAGTGCTGCGAGCAAGAGTAAGTGCTGGCAAAAAAAGTTTATTGCACTGATGGGTGGGGGGGCAGCATAGAACAAAAGAAGAAGAGGGTTTTCTAACAAAGTCCAATAGACTTTATCAAGAACAGTGATCTGATGTTGAAGCAGTCGGTCCATTCGTCTTTGATTGCTGCTCGTTTGGCTGCACGCCATTTGGATAAGTATGTCGTATCAATATGTTGATTACCATAGCCCTTTTTGCATAAAGGAACAAAAACACGCTCTCTGACCATTGTGCTGGCTTTTCTAGCAACGGACTTTTGGTTTTGACAGGTGCGCTGGCCGCTCTAAACCCAACACCAGGTAAAGTAATAAACTTCAAGCAATACAATGGCAAAATTTTAAACCCGGGATTTTTTTTGATGCATCAGGCATGATCGGCTATGGCATCTCCAAGGCTGCAATTCATCATCTTGTACAAGATCTGGCAGCTCCTAATGGTGGATTGCCCGAAGGTGCAAAAGTCACTGCTATTTGCCCGTAAGTTTGGTTCATCAAGTGAGATGTAAGATAGCAGTAATCGATGAGAGACATTCATCCTTTTTTTGCTCTCAGTGTTACATTAGATACCCCTGCCAACAGACAAGGCATGCCTGATGCTGATTTCTCGTCTTGGACACCCCTTGAGACAGTAGCAAAGTGAGTGTTTGACTTTGATCCCGAGAACAGAAAAAAAAGAGACTTAAAAATATATTTTTATCCGATAGACAATTGCACGGTTATTCAACGGGTGAAATCCCATTAACAAGCGGGAAAATAATCGAAATCTTGACGAAGGATGGCAAAACGGCATTCAATGAGATTTAGATTGGAAAAAAAAAATAAAAAAAAAGGTTTATTTCACTATTGCTTTTCATCTTTCCGTGGTACGGAGAAAGAGACATGATGACTGAAATTTTGTTCATTGTTGCTTTGAATTGGGGGCGGGTATAACGATGTGGGGAAAATCTTCTAAAGTTATAAACGATGAATTTGATGCTTGCTCTCCTTTAAACAATATCCTTGATCCGGATCTTCTGAAACAGTTCCTGTTGTTGGGTCTACTCGAACAACGTTACAAATGACGGCAGATTGAGGGTAGATGGCTACAAATGATATGGGATCGTACTTGAGCACACCACGCGTGACGAGTCCATATGGATAGCGGATCATCCTAGACCTAATTTTGTATTTCATGCATACATTCAATGAGTTGATGCCCAAGGGACCTGTCAATCTTTATAAAGATATTCTAATGACTTCTTGTACCATCTCTCACTACCGGTCCTATCTCCACCCGGGTTTTTGATTCGTATTTGCGAAATGGCTTTGGCTGGCTTGTCGATGATAAACGTAGATGGGAAAGATAACGGCTCGTCAAAATGATAAAAGTTTCCCAGGTATTCGGGAACTGGATCTGCTGCAGTTGTGATATTTGATGACAGTGGTGCCGAGAGCGGTACGATTTGGCTGAATGCAAACACACCGATATCGGCATCTGCGATATGTACAGTCCACCAGTTCCAGTTGTTCGCATGGACGTGTAGATCAAAGATGAGTTCTTTGTCACTGGCCAACACTCTGCCCAACTCGACCGACATATCGGTCAAGGGTGTAGCCCGATAAAGAGTTAGCAGGAATATGCAGATGAGTGCAGCAAATAGTCCCAGGGTGATATTGAAACACACTCGGCCGCTAATGACGATGACGAAGGACGACGATGGAATGATTCAGTATATGAGTCATTTCATGAAATACTTGATTAACCCCCTCTCTCTCTTTCCTTGAACAAGGTTTCATAATCATGTATATGACGTTACCATGATGCACTGTCTGGTGATTTTTGCTGCCTGCCCGCCATCGTCCTGCTGAGCAAAGGTGCAGCTGCTTCCTCGTCGTCACTCGTATATCCTCCACCACCGTCGCCGTAGTATTGCATGGGCCGATTTCGTCTATTTGACGAGTGCCGCAGCTTGTCTGGATAATTATCATAGTACTCTTTTTTGGAACGATGGGGATAATCCATCACATAACGAAGCTTGGGTCGATAATTCGACGACACATCCTCATCCCGACTTTGTTTATGAGAAGGACCATTTACAGCAGCAGCGACAGGACGAAACCAATCGCTTAGCCATCGACGGCTATTTTCCAAATCTTGCGCCTTTGGCAACCTATACACTCGATGCGAGTAAGGGTGATGGTTCAAATCCGAATTGTATCCATGCGACGTATGGTATACATAGCGTTCATTTTCGTCGGAATCTTATGAGAAGCATTTAACATAAATTAATTCTTTCGTCTCTTCTTGTTTTTTTTATTCAATACCTTCAACGTTTGATACAGCGTCAATAAGATTACGATGGAACACTTCTGCTGGACTTGCAGTACCATTCATTGGAATGGAAGGTCGCTTTCGCTTTTTGTTCGTTGTTCGTCGACTCCCTCGTTCAGTCTATAATGGTGGTAGTGAGAGAGCAAAGGGAAAAAGAACGCCTTCAGCAATCGCCAAAAAAGTATTCTCGTAAGGTGTTTTTTTTTCTTCTTTATATTTCTCTCCCATTACCTCATAACCGCGGTCTGTCAGAGTGGAGTATGGACTCAACGAAGAACTTGGCATCATGGGCGATCCAGAGCCACCACCATTGGTTGAAGTAGACGATGAAAAGACCGTTGGGTAGCGTCCCTCAGCCGAAGAAGACAACAGCGATTCGTCAGGAGGATAATTGGATAGTTGCGGTGGCACTTCATCAGAAGGAGTAATCAGCGTTTGTGGGGCATCGAAACGCGCCTTCTCGACGGTCAAGTTCCGGTCAAAGTTGTTATTGACAAACAAGTCGCGTCCGAGCTGATTGTCATTATGCAGCGTCGGGAACTTGTTCATTAGACGACGATTGTTACTACTGCCACCACTACCACCGCCGCCTACTCCTTGTTGTTGTTGTTGTTGTTGTTGCAGTAATGACACTTGTGGGGCTGTTGCTTTTGTTGTGGTTGCTTGTGGTGCACTTGTTTGCTTGGCACTCGTTGTTGTTGTGGTGGTGGTGATAGGCGGGGGTTGTTGACTGGGCGACAGATCCTCGGCTGCTGCTGACTTATCGTCCGTTATGCTGCCGGTGACAGAAGAAAGTGGAGGTTGTTGTTGTTGCAATGGCGAATGTGAATCCTCCATTGCAGTTACTAAGGAGCACTTCTCCAAAATACTATGGAGAGATAAGGGAAAATGCGATTAATCCTTTTTTTGGATTGATATTATTTGTATGCAAAACGGTAAAGAGGAATTGCCAAAGGAGGTGTACACATTGAAAAAGAAAAATAACCATTAGAGGAGCGCTATCTGTAACTGGCAAAAAAAATAAAATCGCAATAGAAATAAAAATGGAGTCGCGTGCTTGTTTACAATATAAGATAAGAGAGATCGAATGCCTTCTTTCCCTTCCTGCTGTATGTGTGGGTGTGTGTGGTGTGATTGATGTGCGTTGCATTAGCGTATATATGTATATATGTGTAATATGTGCTTGTGTATAATTACTGCTGTTGTGGTGGGATGTTGAGAGGTGGTGGTTAATAAGTGATGTGGGGTGTCTGAGGAGATCCAATGCTTGGTTAGTTTCTTAAGACTTCTTCATTATTGCTTCCGTTGTTGTTGTTGTCGTCGTCGTCATTATCATCATCATCAATCGTCTGCTCGGTGTTCTGGGCGTCTGCGGTGGCGTGCTGTGGATCGGGTGTAGCTTCCGCATCGACAAATACGGTAACGACCCGGGTTGCAAAATCAGGAACGGGATCATCTTCTGATGTGACTGGAACGGCAACCAGCTTTGCAGATGGACATAGCAGATCACTTGGATCATGTAGATGATCCTTCAGCCCCAAAGGTGTGCATGATGACACACTGCGCTGCAGTGCCATGCCACGCTCCCGCAGGATACTCATAGGTTCGACATTGCCCCAGAGATCGAGCACAGGCAGACTGTACCACGTTGGCAATTGGTGGCCAGGAAGCTGGCGCTGCAATGGCTCCTGGTCGCCCGTCAACAAGGGCACTCGGAGCAATGCTGCAGCTTGTGAGTAGTCGCCCATCACATGGCTGCCTAGCTCAAGATGGCTTGTCGACAGACTGACGTAGTTTTCAAAGTTTGGATACAGCATGACATACGCCCGCATAAAGATAAGCTCGTCCATGAAGCGCTTCCAGGAGTTTACCCACTGGCTTGAGCGAGCATTAGGCACCGTAACGTTCTGGAGCTGTTTCTTGTTTATATCGGTGACACGTGCAGTGATGAAGTCGTGGAATTCGCGCCAGTGCTCTGGAAAATACACAGCGCCTCCAAAGCTATTGCTCGCTTGCATCAGATAAGGTGATCCTGCGTCATACTCATTGCTAACCAGAGCCGATGATGGCTCAAACAGTCGACGGCCGTTCGGATCACTTTCCAGCATATGCGGCGAGTATAAGCTGATACCAAACATGGCCTTGGCGTCGTCGGGCAGGTCATGTCCATAGCGGTACCGAAGGATCGCGTACTTGGTCCATACATAGAACATTTCAGAAAGTTCAACACTGTCGTCGAGAATAATGCCGTACTCGTGATCGTCTGCAGGATACCACGATTCCACATAAACAGGCATACGATTCACCTTGGTTATTCGGTGCCGCAGATCTTTGTTGCCATGTGGCCAAGGCAAGTTATTGACAAAGGCCTGTGTGACACGGTCACTGGACTGTTCCATCACTATTGCCATGTCAACAGTGTCCCCAAAATAATGTGCACGGGCCGCTGAGCGAATTAATCGGGCGAGCGATTGCGGCTTCCGGTCTGTAATGATCACCAATTTGACAGTAAAATCATTCCATTCTATATAGTTCAAAAGTCAATATGCAAACGCGAGAGAGTTAGTTATAACGTATAAGGTTTAAGCGAGGTAAGACATTATAAAGAGAGACTTACTGGATAGTGATTCTGCAGGCAAATTAGCCATCCACAATGCATGCAAGATATCCCGAGGAGGCAACCCGATGGCGACGGTTTTGGTAAGCTCGGCAGCGGCTTGTATGCTTCTCTTTGCAGGACCATTGTGATCGACATAGATAGTAACCCGTGGCTCAATGAGTGAAAACAAGTGGGCAAATGCATGCGTAGCTTGATTTAGGAAAATGGAGGTGTCGGCAGAAGAGAACCCAATATCCAAATCATGCACAGTAACACCTGCTGCACATGCCGGATTCTTCTCCTGCAGGGATTCGAGTAACGCGGCTGCTGACAATCCTCGCTGCTTGCCCGTTGCAATAATTTGGATATCCGTCAACCCGGTTCGATCGAATTCACATACAAGGGGTATGAATTGGGCCACATGCTGAGCCCCATCGAAGATAAAGGTGACGGGCGACTTGGTGGATGCAGCGTAGGATTTAATTCCAGGAGCTGCTATGGACTCGCGCCACGTAGTTCCTACTGCCCATGTTTCTTTCAAATACCCTTCAATTGCACTGCACATATTTTTTCTCGCCACCTCCGCCGTGCCAGTTGCTGAGAGTCGTTTGATCTGATAATCATGGCCCAAAGATTCGGTAGGTATGACGACCGAGGGTATATCTGCATGAATGCGAAGGCTGCGGCTGACAGAATGCCCGAACAAATGTGGATCCGGTTGTTGCTGCTGTTGGTGTTGGATTATGCTCGAGTCCTCTGAAACGGCTGAAAGCCAGGATCGCCGTAATAACCATAAATCCGATATCATATCCACACTTTGACTCACGCTTGGTAAGCTTCCGTCCTCAACAATATCTGCAATGCATTCCAAAGGAGCATTCCGGTGTTGTTGCTTGAAGACCACGGCCTGTGTGCCCAAAAAAGTAGATCGATACTCTTCTGTGTTGGATAATCGTAATAACCGTTCGAGGTAGCGTTTTCCAGGCGCAATGTCTTGATCGACAATCCACAGATATTCGGACGACACGCGTAATGCGACTTGTAGCCATTCGACCGGCTCCCAAATCATGATCTTGACACGCTTGTTGTTTTTGAATGCCACAGTCTTGCTCTTAACATCCGCTTGAACGTCTGGTGTGCACACGATCCATAATGCCTCAGGCACAACGCTTTGTGCGAGAATGGATCCAATTTGAGTGTGAAGTTGTCCGTTACTGGTGTAGTAAATGATGGCTGTCACAGGGACCGTGCGCGCATGTTCGTCTTTGAAATGCAGTGGAGCTGACTCGCCCAGCTTTTCCAATTCGTATGACGAGTGTCCCCGGACTTTGTGTTGCAATAGTTGTTTTGAAAACGATCCGGATGCTCGATCTTTGCCGTTAGCAATCCAATTAGGCGTACGTTCGTGGCGGTTAAATTGAACATGCCATTGGGTATTTTCACGTCGTTCTGCAAATTAATTTACAAACACATAAAAGGATATGCCGTATGTAAGCATGGCGTATATGCGTTTTTATTGCTCCCCGACCAAACACCAAATTCAATTAATTAAGTGTTGCCCTTTATATTCCAAAGCTATACCTACCTTGATCACTTTTAAGAAGTTTATCAAGAAGAGCGTAATCTGTCATTTGACTAGTGTCTTGGTATTCAACAAGGTCGTGGGTGAAAAGGATTTCGTACCGCCGTTTTTGCGATGGTGGCGGCGACGATGGTAACCGTAGTAAAAGGAATAGCAGGAAACAGCAAGCAATGCCCCACCACAGGAACGCTGGCCGATGGCTTAATAATCGTCGTATCCGATGAAGTGAAAGCGAGGGCATATTGGCAGTAGCGTTGTGCGATCCGTTGGTCATGAACGGGTTGCGGTGTTGTTGTTGTTGCTGCTGGCCACTTTTGTTATACGAGGTTGGAAAGGTATGGCTCCGTAAAGCTTCCATTGAGCTCCTGCTGGTTTGTCTCCGAGAGAGGGTGAGCTCTTCATCGCTCGTTGGTCGTTTTGAACCAAACATGAGCGAGATCCTGCAGGAGTATGTTAAAAAGTAGCGGACTGGAAAAAGGCGGGCTACAGGGACGAGAAAGAGAAGAGGAAAGGTGCACGAAGAGAATAAACCAGCCTTCCTAAGTTTAGCTCTCATGGTTACACTCCGCTGTTGTGTATGTGTCACACGTTATCCGTGGGGGAAAAAGCGTTTTTTTACAATATTTGTATTAGCAGAAACCATTATCCTTGGTACAACCTCGAGAAGAAGTGGGTCTCACATTACTGGAATCTATATTTTTAGAGCGTGGACTTTGCTGTCTTGTCTGCTCCATGGTTAATGCGAAGAGGTCCGATCTTGTAGCGGGCATATGTGAATCTCATGCTTATAGCATGTTGATGGATCTGTGTTTGTCACGTTTCAGTTGTATATGTGAGCCCCTTTACACATCAATTTCAAGGATAGACCGAGCTAATCTATATGAAAAACGGCAGGGCAGAAATGTCAGATTTATGGGTATTTCTTTCTAAAAGTACCTGCTATGAGAAGATCGCGAAAAAGCAAAAAAAAAGCGGTGCATACATAGGAGAAACATCATCGACTTCTTTAGAATGAGTTTTCCAAATAGTGCCAAAGCGATACTTTTATCCTATAGCTAATTGATGACGATAGATATATAGGATATTGTTGATTACATAATTGTTGATATCTGGCATTCATATTTGATGTAGAAAAATGGAGCTAGCTATATTAAATGAATAAGGCTACTTATCTGCGAAATGTCGTTTCATATGGGCTGATATCGCTGCTATTTACTCATATTATTGCCTTTGCTGCTGCTACCGGCCTACTAATCATATGAAGCTCCTTCAAGTAATGTAACACTGTTGCCTGTTAAATTAGCTTTTTGAAAATCAGTTTATAAAGCTACATATAGATGATCCCATATACGTGGCTAAGGCCGCACATTTCTACTATGTGTGCACTTGTCAGGTTGTTGTAAAATAGTGCGACGTATTACACAGTTGTCATCTTTAGTCCCTTTTTCTATTTAAACCAGTCTTATTTTCCTTTGCCATAATAGTTAGCCATTCCGCCTTTTCTTTAAAGCACTTTGGAGCTTAATTTCATAATTTGTAAAGTGAGTGGTGGTAGTGCACATGCGCACGGTGCCGCCACCAAACAGCACAAACTTTGATCCTGCAGCAGCAGCTCATACTGCATGCATATCATGCCACATATTGTAACTTTGAATCGTATTCTCCAGTGTTCCTCACGGTTTCCTCCTAATGTACTGTTGTACTTAGCATAGATGGTCCATACCATCCACAATGCCATATACTCTTCGTTGGTGACATCTCTTTGTATCATGTGTATCGGCAAGAGAGATTTACATACGTCATTTTGACACCCAAGTTCTTACTTTTTGTGTGTATGTAGCAGTAAGCTTGTTCTGTTTTCGAAAAAGATCAAGCCAATGACTTTTTATCCGTATCACATGATGAGGGTTTCTTTGAGAGTTGGTAGTATACTAAAAATAATACCAGAGAGGTGGAGGTGTGTATGCAAAAGAAAGAAGAAGTTACCTCATAGTAATTGCTACGCACAAATCTAGAGAGTGACAGATTGTTCTGTGCAAGCACGGTAATACTATTGTTGTCTGGTATAGATTCAATGCTTGTGTCTCCATGTGCTGCTACAAGCCCCGAAGATGTCCATCAATCACCTATGTTTAGCCCGCGCTGCTCCTGCCAAGTCTCTTTTAAAAGATACCCATGGGCGGGGAAGAAAAAAAGTAGTATCTAGTACGAACAGAACGCTATTTATGCAGTATGTACAACTATGCCAGCTGCGTTACTGTTCGTTTACATTAGACTATTCATCTCTAGATCCTTTTATATCACTTGATAGAAAGATTCTTGTAGCCCAAATTAATGCCGTCTTTTATATTAAGCAATGGGAATGACACATTCTTTGCGCTGTTGTTGAAAAACACTCACCCTTGCTATCTCTTTGTTCATGTTTGTTACAAGTGTTCCAGTTTCGGTTCTTTTCGCCCAGGCTTTGTTTGCACAAGGGCATCGTAGTCCACCTCCACGCCATACATCATTGCTTGTATACATATTGAGGGTCTCCTTGTTTTGGTTATGCGTCCAGATTGGTCGTTTGTACAGATTCTATTGAATTGTTATACACTTTACTGTATTGCACATAAACGTTATTGTAGTTTCGGTAATGTCTCTCTTGCAGACTATCTAACAAGGTGTTTCATCAATTGTTCGATAACATAATGGGGAAACGGCACGCCTCGCTTGAGCGTCGATTGATACCGCAAGGCGTAATTATAAGCGTGTCCAGCCACGTACAGGATGAAATTGAACTTCCACCTACAGTAACAACATTGAGCGGCGTGTATAATCGATGAGATGATGGTGCAAAGACGGGAAGCACCGCATTTAAAAATGTAGATGATAGTTGCCATGGTTTTCTTGCCCAAATATACGACGTTTCTTTTCCAGTGGTTGTTGGAGAAATTTCATGATTATCCTCATTATATTTAAAAACGATTCAACGCAAGTTTAAAATGTTGACCAACGTCGGCAGATCACGTTGTGATTTTTTTATTCCCACCGCCCATCTTGTTCCTTAGATTATGTATTTGATATATGCTACTGTCCACACAGTTATATGACCAAACGATTCCCCCAAACATCATAATCCACTGTTGGGAAAACTTCCATTGAAAAGTATTTCTGTCAAGCGACGATCCCTATTGGGGGGAACAGATAGTCATTTCGACGCTCATTATCAGTCGTCGCTCACAATATACAGTGCCTGTGAAAGCGATCCAGAGACTAAGTCCTTCTTGACCTATTGGTAAAGTTGACATCAGCTTGGTGAACATTTCCGTACACTGACCGAATCAGTGGCTCAGATTTTGGTGAAATAGAATTACCAAAAAACGTAGCCTTGAAGCGTCCATTTTACGGCAAGCCCTACATAAGACGCATGTAGTCCAAGAGCAAACACATATTACTATCATATCCCTGCCAACTTTAATTGATATGCCACCTTGCCACCAGTCAACACACCAGTCGTGAATAGAATTACTGCTGAGGGAAGTCTTGTAGCGAAGAAGCTGCTCGTCCCCAGCGCACTTTCTGTGGCATCTAAAGACAAGACATAATAAAATATTAAGCGGATCTTAATTATACCAAAAGGGACTATATGTTAAGCTAAGTGGGACGTAATGCACAGTAAACGGTGCTCATTAATTCGGAAACGACAAGCAGTCTGCAAAGAGACGATCAGAGGCACAATGTGTATTTTGCTGTGGAAATAGTAGGTAACAATAGGGGAAAATTCGCTACGTCTCTCTTTTTTATTATTATCACATAACGAAGGCTATGAACGCGTACGCACAACCCCACACTAACGCCAAGCATAACGGACGTAAATCAGCAGGAAGCAAAGGTAGTCTAGTAATGAGGAATTCAGGAAGAGTGCAACACAGATCTTTCTTTTTTGGATAGTGACGAAGTTACGCGTGTGTCAAATCTTTGAACGTTCCAACAGCTTTCCCCTGAAACGGAAACTATGCGCATTGTGACACAACGATTTGGCCAATTGACTTCGCACTCGAAATGCACAAAGGGATGGCGAGTGAACAAGGTGATCACTGGAGCAACGAATTACGCGCAAAAGTGTCAAAAGCTGAAGTCATCGTTTGTAGTGTTATTCTTCTGATCGTCCCAATGGATCTTGAACGCTGCTTTAAAAGAACGTAGAACCGCACAAAAACAAACGAACCGATTTACTATGTTAGGAGCAATGTAAAACACTGAAGGATGAGTCGATTTCAGTAGCGGCAGCGGATACTTATTAATGAGCGGGCTAACTGATCTGCAGCAGCACATACTTGGGATGGAGGATAGAACTTTAACAGTAGCATAAACTGGGATGGAAGATGGAGGAGAGAACTGTTGGCGTATAGCGACAATGGTAAAGCAACAGTTGACGAGCACGGTTAAACATAGAAGATAACGGGTCTTTATTATAAACTGCAGCGATGGAAGTATCTTTTTCCGCGCACACATAACATTACGTGCCACAAACACAGTCAAAAGATAATATTAAAGTACTGTGGATTTGTCTGTGAAGTACGCTATATACACACGCTGTTTGCCTTGTTGGCTGAAGGAATGTAAACTGGCTGCTGGGTGGATTGTGTTCTCACTGTTCACTGATGGTAAATTGTCTACTTTGTCAGTCACTCCTATTTCCGTCATTTACTGCTCACAGAAAAGCATTTCTTCCGTGAATCTACATGCTCATTCGCATTCGTGTTTTTGTTTTTGCTTGACACGGTGCCGTGCACGGCCCCACTCACAAACAAGCGCCGATACCATCGGAGGGTACAGCTGCCCATGGTGAGAGACACGTACCACTACCGCCGCAGCACATTTGTTTAGATGACCACCAAGCACACCCCTTTTCTTTTCCTTTCGTGATAGTCCCTTTGAGCCATATCATATGCTGAAAGCCATACTATTAAGCAAAAGCCAATGAAAATCCATGGAACTTGGTGGAACTTTTTGAAGTCCCGAGCGTGACAGTCAAAAAACGTCTATATAAAGCAAGCAATTTCGCCTTTCTTTTTCTCTTCTCTTCAGTTCGTTTTGGTACAGCTTTGGTCTGTAGTACAGATGCACTGCTCTGTGCCATGATCGGGTCATATGCTTGTGCTGGCGATTGTCAAGAGGATTCTGAGGATTGGCTGGAGTTAGTGGTCCGCTCGGAGGAAATCTTTTGCAATGTACCAGTGGGAATGTGGACACGTACCTTCGGGTATGTGGTGGGATAATTAAAACGAACTTTTTATTTTTTATTAGACACAAATAAAAAAAATGATAAACAAAATAAAACAATCTTTTTCTTTTCGCACTCTTCTCATAAACGTTTTACCGCTTTATATTTTTTGCTTTGCCTTTTTTTCATGTGCTTGACAAGTTCCTTATTTTTTTGCCCACCCACAGCTCTGTGCTAAACAAAGCGGAGAACAATCTGTATCGTAGCCGACAGTAACACGATCACAACGCGCTTTATCACACTTTGACACGCCTTTTCACCTTCTGTGATCGCCTAAATTGCTTGTTACCGCGGATATGGTGCGATCCTCCTTGTGGTAAGGGGTTATTTTTCTAAGAGGCAACACCAGAGCGTACGCCAACAGACATGTATAACTGCCAGATCTTCAAGTTGGAAAGTCTGTTTACAGCTGCTCGTCCTTTCTTTCTTCCTGCACGTAGCTTATCACAACAGGGTTTTCTTGTCATTTTGGGTTTTACCTGATTCAGATGCAGAAAATTGCGCCTTTTTTTAAAGCGTGATTCTTGAACCAAACGTCGCTTCCAAGAGGCGACAAGAAGGCGATAAAGCTTGCGCATTGACCGTGCAAATAGCTCTTATGCATGTTGACCGCGTTGTAAACTCTGTGGTCTGCTCGAATTTGTATCCTTTGGGTAGATCGATGATGACGTCTGTATTATAAATGTAGTTTGATGTTAGTGAGTGGTTCTTATGTCAGTGCGCTAAGAAAACATTAAACGGAAACAAAGAATCGACAGTGCTAAGGTCAATAGTAAAGAGTAGATCTCGCTTGCATACTTTGATTTATGTATAGATACTGCTTGATGAATTTTCTGAAGTTTGAAGGGCGCAAATGGACGCCTTCAATTCAACAAGCCATCTACGAAAGGAGCCATCTTGCTCGCCTTTTCCTCAAATGAACTTGCACCTGATGAATATGAGTGATTCCATTACTGCAGTGGTATTACTGTATCATTGCTTTCTGGCTTCTTCCTGTTGCTTTGCTTCTTGATTGAGCTATCATCGCTACCACCTGATAATATATAAATTCTAGCATATATAAGATCGACACATCATTAACCATCATCAGGACAAATATGACACGTCTTAAGAATTCCCACTGGTAATACATAATGCTATAGAGTATGCAGACTGCGTGTGAGCAATGATAACGTTACCTTGCTGCGATTTCATAATGATGCACCCGATAGGGTCTCTTACTAAATGTTCATACGCGCGAAACATTTTCTGCGCCATCTAACTACAGCATCTATAATACAAGTTGGGTTGAAAGAAAAAAGTATTGTGTACATGTGTCGTTTAGCCATTTTACCGTCCAGTTTGACAGGAACAACAGCCTGCACAACTTTGACAACAATGTCGGTACCGTATGGATCGGGTGCTAATAAACTCACTGTAATGGTGCGTGCTATACGCCGGAACGAAAGAAGAGAAAAGACTAACCTGCTGGCATTTATTACTATAAAAGGTACATTGGAAAGTGTGCGTGTGGTGTGGCAGCGAAAAATCAAGTATATACGTGCCTGGATTCAAAATGTGCATTATCACCAATTTCGTGATTTAGGTTTATTTCCTGAGAACTCTGTGCTAGAGTGGAAAATCTGTCCTACTACACTACATATAATACTACAACCACGCCTATAGTGCTAGCAGCAGCAGCAGCAACGGATGGTATCACGGTAACAAAACGATACCTCGCTGATTAAGCAATGTATAATTTAGATGAGGCTCTTGTCGTTTGCCTTGTACATCGATAACTGGACAATGGCCCAAACTATACTTTAAAGTATTGTAAAAGGTCCTCAGCTTATGACCAGGCTCTTTGTCGACTCAAGATGTCCCCATTGGTATCGTATTGCATAGCAAGAGCTGCAACTTACGATACATGTAGCAACCCATCTTTGGCAACAATGCCAAGAATGGCCATTTGGAAAAAAAGCTTTGCCTCACCCCTACACCCCCTTGCTTGGCTCATCTGGTGCCATTCAACACCTCTGAAAGTTATGATGTCAACGGGACTTGTTGCAAAATATTATACATGCAAGCACGGGCCTGTATGATACAGGTAATAATATGCACCGTGTTTTTAAAATAGCTCACATCCGTACACAGGATAAAACGCCGACGACCCCGTGTACCACGAAGCTGCTGCTGTTTCGTAGATCAAGTACGAAAAGGTTGATAGACCGCCTCTCTTCTTGTGTCTATGAGAGAGCGCTCAAAAATCGTTTACTATATGTGCTGGATAGATTTAGTACAAGATGATTTGTTTCCTTGGGTTGAGCATCCAAATAGGCTCCAAAAAATAGTTTCCTTTTCTTGCAAACTAGAAAACATCATCATACTTTGAAAAGTCTGAATGAACCTCTGAGTTGTCAATGAGCTTAACATCATAGCATTATTAAACAACAGAAGACGAAACGAAACGCTATTGCACGTCATTTTCTGTGTACAGCAAATTAAAATGATATCGTATGGTAATCAGTTGAGTATTTGCAAGTTTCTTGTATGGCTTCTCGCCGGCTATATCTGAGGTGAAATATTATCGACGACAATCTATATTCAAGATTTTCCCTTCTTTCTTTCTTGCAAAAATACGCTCAACAACATACCGGAATAATACTTTAAGCGAGTGCCAAGTTGTTGGAATCATGCGGGCGGGGCGTTATTATTAGTAGGTCGTACCGAGTTAGGGGGTAAAGAAATGACAACAACGCCGCCACATCCCATTGTTATTGTCCATCCCAACTAAGGCAATGAAAGGATCGATTTTAATCAATACAACTTGATCTTTTTGCCTTCTGCAGTACAATGCTATAATAGCGCCATTACACAGCATGTATACAGAAATAGAATGAGCACACAAAGCTCTTCCACTGCGGCATAAACAACCAGTGGATATCCCTTTATATAGGATTCTGTTATTGTTGTTGTTTGTCCGGAGATATTACAGATCTTCTTTCTTGTATACACTTTAGTTTTTGAAATGATGTCCACGTACCAGCATTATTATCGAGGTATGTATATTTGTGGAAAAAAGAACAAGCTCGCCGTTGCGAATCTACATTGCTAACGGTTGCCCATTGTGTTGTTGCGACCAAGATCAACATGACGATCGTGAGATGCCCATGAGCTACCCGCTCAACTACTACGACCCTTATCACCAAATGGTAATTTTTTTCGGGAAGAATATATTTTTATTTTGCAAAGCGTGTAACCATGGCTAATTAACTTGTATCTCTACATAAAAAATCCATAGCAGCGGATCCCAACAATGGTAGTAGATCATAACAATATGTCTACTGCTGTTGACGGTGGTGCTCATCCATCTCCCGTATTTGCCGAAGAGTGGAAAATTGGTGGTCAACATCAGCAGCAACAACAGCAGCCCGAGGGATGGCGAGTATCCTGTCCTTCCAAACCATTGCCGCAAGAGCCCCCGCCACCACCACCTCGTCGATCATTTATGAGTAATGCAATAGCGGATGCTGGATCCTGGTATCAACCTGAACCGCCTGGCTGGGCTTTTCCTCCGACGACAGGAGAGGTAGCACCTACTACTAATACTAGTACAGTTGCTGCCATGGAACCACCGACATATATGATGGAGCAGCAGCCAATATCACCATCTCAATATCCGGAGAAGGATCATCCCCCGGCACACTATGAACAACCAATTCTATATGAACAACCGCTACAGCAACAACAACAACAACCGGCGCCTCCTTTTGTTCCAGAGCAGGAGATAGACTATCATACATCAAAACAACAACAAATATTGCGCGAAAAAGAGCGGCCTAAAAGCGATCCTGCGCCAAACAAGCGAAAGACGACAGATAACAGCAAGTATAGCAAATGCAGCATGCCTTGGAAGCACGAAAAAAATCAGACTACTTATTATGCTCTTTTACCCGCCTAAATTTCTTGTGTTGAATAGCAGTTCGTCAAATTACAGTACAATCAATCAACAAGGAGTACAGAGTATGGATCAAGATTGACACGACGGAGACGGGTCTTACACTAGCGCACAAGATCCATACCATCGCAACGTTTAGTACACGAAAAATATTATCAATCACTACGGCTTCCGGTCGAACGATACCACTAGATAACCGACCTGTATTTGGAAGCTGGATGGACATGGACAACTTTGAAGACGGTGAACAGTGGAAGGTCGAATGGTGCGAGTTAGATAAGGGCATCATGGACAAGCTCGTGTCTCGCTTCATACAAGTAAGTGGCGTAAATGTTTATGTTTATATGTAACTTGAAAAGAAAGTAAATCAGATGGAAGTCTCACGTGGTATGCGTACTTTAGATTAGCGGAAGCAGACGCAAGTAAAAATTCAAGACCCAAAATTTATGCACAAGCACATCATTTCTTATATGCACAAACACGTTTAGCATGTTTCTTTTCTATATGGACATGTGTATACCACACACATCAATAAATTTGTTTTCTATCCCGTTTCCTAAGTCATTAATGTCTATTTCTTGAGGCTTAAAATATGGGTTCTCTCATTTGAGTTCGTGCTACTACAATGCTCTAAATATGTTTTAGACATGATCCACCGTACGAAAGCTTTGTTCCTCTCTATCTACACCGAGATCACAGCATTACTCATCATTGGCCAACTTCAGGTGCGATTCTACGGATAAGAACATATATAAATAAGATCTTTTAATGCATAATAAAATCAGCAGTTTTTCGGTCTCGTTGACTTGATTAGTTTCTTTTCTATTGCTGATATTTTACTTGTCTCAATGGCAAGAGTGATGAATAGCTCGGAAAGGGGAATAGTTAATTGCGTCTATAATCATGCTTTCTGTAATCTGTATTAACAAACGTATAACAAAGTAAGTCAACGAGACAAAAGCTATCCTTTTCTTTGGCATGATTGGGGCCGGATAATAGAGGAAAGTCCAAGAAGTACATCACTGGACCAGTCGTACATTAGACCGTACCTGAGTTAATCTGTTTCCATTCATATCATAATGGAACCAGAGTAAAGCCAGACTTGATAAATGAAGAACGGGCGGAAGATTTGTATTGCATGAACTTGAATTGCCCGAGTTGGTTGTTTCAGGTGTTGTTTCAGTCAAATTGACATATTTGAGATATCAAGCAAATAAAAGTATCAAGGAGACAGAATAAGTCAACGAGACCCCAAAAAGACTGAAGATCGCTTTATTGCAAAAACACATGTTCTTTCTATTGTTAACAATCGCTTATCTACGACGGCAGCTTGAACAGACTAATATTACGTGAGTCCAGGTGAGAGCAAACCTCACCATGCGATGAGACTGATAGTGATATGGATAAAAAAGACAGTGTTAAGTGATATTGCAGATAACACCTGTCTTGTCTTGAACGATGGGGAAGTCCATTTCCGAGTCGGGCATATAAGTCAGTGCAGGACATAGCAACCCCAATGAGGTCGATTGTGTCCTTGGAGAGTGTGACTATAGGTGACATATCATTGTTGTGCTGGATCACTGTGCTATAAGTTAAAAATCATAAGAGTTGCTTAGGCAACACTTGGCAGTGCTCTTTATGATTGAAAATTAAGCTAATAATCTGTCATCTCGTCACCATGATAGTTTCGACTTCACGCCATGTTGAAAAAGCAAGCCGTCATCTTATGATTCGTCATACGCCACGTTAATACTGTAGTGACGCCAAATCAAAACTTTTCCAGTGCCAAATCCAAAAAATACATCGCGCCATCATGATATTCCCCCAACTGCCATGTTAAAAGAACTCAGCGCCATTATGAAATAAATCATCCGCCATTTCTAAGAAAAAACCTATATACTAAATGGTCTAACGTGGCGTGCATGTTTTCATTGTAAGTTGTTCTAGGTCGGCGGAAGCAGGCACCCGAAATTTGTGCATAAAAACATTTAGCGTGTCCCTCTTTCTTACGGACGTATGTATGCGCTTCCGAGCTTATTAATGTGTGCGAAGGAAAAAGAAAAATGTAACTTGAACCTTGTTTGTTATGAAGTGATTCTTCATCTCGGAGCTAAAGGGGCTTTGTTAGGTACCCGGGCCGAACAATGAATGTGTACCAGTAGTGATGCACGGACATCTAGTATCACAGGTTATTAAGTATCCCTAGGCTAGCATATTCAGAAAAAATAAGAGCGTGTGAACACGCGGAGACAAATCACGCCATATAATTTTGCTGTTGTTGACATGTACTATCAGCAAGGCGAAAAAAAAAACTAGTTTTATAAATTAGAAGTTTCAAACACATGTCGCGGAGCATTTTCCGAAGTCCCCAAAATATGTACCAGCATAATACATGTTACAAAACGAATCAAAACACAACGTACAACAAGCAAAGAAGCGAGATTCAACAACGATGCAAATCACAAAGGCGATCCTGTGAGACAATAAATTCGCCCGATGTAAAGAATTATCTCTTTCAAATACCCAGCCCGCGTTTCTTTCTTTCACATAATGCTTTTATTCTGGACTAAGGGCACACAAAGTCAGCTATGCAGGTCGTCACTTTGACGCTCAAAGAAATATAGCAGATAGTAGCACATTGTATCTCAGCAGCACTATATACTCACGGACTCCTCAGCATCACACCATTAGCAAGAGCTACCAAGTGATAAGCTTCTCGCTATTGCTTCACTCCCTAAAAGAAGGGCGGTTATTATTAATTAATATATCATTAACAGAAGTGTAGCGGCGCCAGTAATCTGTTCAGCTGTCTGGGATAAATCATAGCACAATGATGCAAAGGGCGCCGCGGAGACACTGCGGAAATGAGAAGCGTTGGAGGGATTGAGCGCAAAAGAAGGGATCAAGGAACTACTTGAGCTAAGCGACGAATGATCGATGGAACCTCTAGACCGTTTGGGGTGTTCTGGGTAAGTATTTTTTCATCATCGGGCGGATGTTTGTCGGCCATATCGCGATTTGAATGAACTAAAATGGCTATTGAGAGAACAGACAGTTGGGCACAAAGCTGGATTTTAGGTTTTTTAAAAGACCCCCCATAATTCTCGTTTGCTCATGATGCTATTAACAAAATGCCCATCGCACCCGCTCTATGCACTCTTGCTCTCTCGCTTGTGAAAACGTGGTGCAAGGTTGACGGCCAATAGCAGCTAGTGGGAAGCAAGCACCGTGGAGCCACGTGCAACAATGCTAAAGTTCTTGGTCTGTTGCTTTGCGAAACTTCGAATCGATCATCTTTAACTCGTTTTAGTATCCTTCTTCTTTTTCTCTCTTCTCGCCAGCTTACTTGCTGTATAAAAGAAACATCGCCTTTCTGGCCCTTGTTCCTCCCCCCCTTTCTGCCCAATTCATCCTCTACCTCCCCCAAAAAAAGAGCCAGCCTTTCTGGGTCGTAGTTGGGCTGCGATAACTTTTTCTTCTTCACCAACTTATTAGGCTTGCTAAAACACGACCTCTTTTTTTCCTTTTCCTTTTCTTTTTTCCTTAAACCTATTTCTTTATATCCTTAAAACAAACTTCTTTCCTTTTTTTTTTTTGCATACACCGCTTTTCCCCTCCATCATCATCACCGCCACCATCCATTATGCCCAATAGCCACCTATCCACATACACGTCTATGATGCGCGTCACCTCCACAGGTCGACCTTATGTTAGAGTTAGTAGTTGTCATAGCAATCATCGCCTAGCAACTGATGGACAAAGAAAATTAGTAGATGGAGACAGGAAATATTGACAGCTTTGTCTATGCAGGATTTGTTCGATCTCTTTTCAGCCTTACTAATACAGATGCCTCTCACCGAACACCGCTCTTTCTTTCGCACCTACCCCGGCACGTTCACAACCGAAGAAGCAATAAAGTCGCTCGCAGACCTGAAATTCACTCATGTCGTTCGAACCCCTGATCCAGCAGATCCCTCGCGACAGATTTCCACGCGCACCACAACCACCTTCAGCATGACACCAACCATGGCAAAGACGCTAGGCACACACGTCCTTAACGCACGACTAGCAGAAGATGCAACGAATCCACAGAATCGCACAATGAAAGACAAGGGCATATGGCGACCAACACCAAAAGCCAAATATATGATTCAGCAATTCTCCAAACGAGCGCATGTCTCTGTCAGTCATATGCAGGACTCTTTAACGCGAATAGATACGTTCAAGATCTTCACGTTTGAACGGTTAAACAACGACGATAGGTTGGCGTTCAACCGGACTAATATGACGAACTGCTTTCGGGTAAGATATTGTGATAGTAATGCAACTGCGCCCCTCCCCTTCAATCGGACGATTCTTCCGTAAACTGCTGCTGTGCATGGAGGCTAAATTACAGCGCGCTTTTTAGACAATGATGGCGTGGCTACCGACAGAAAAGCTATTAGCGGATGATGTGGGCGGTGTCAAGGAGCGGAATCTGGGTGACTTCCGGTTCTCGTTCTACGGATATCAGTGTTTTGAGTGGATTTCCGAGTACACGACTGCAGTGACGCCGCAAGAGGCCGAAATAGCGGCTTCAGAGTTTGTACTGTACGGATGGATCGAGCAAATCCTTGACAAGGCTGACAGAGTCAATTATATCAAAGAAGACAGCACGACGAGTTTCAAAATGACGAGGAGCACGCTTTACTATGTGACACAGCGAGGGCAAAAGGTGCTTGGATGGGAAAAAGTGGATGACCAAGCAAGTTCCGTCGAGTCCACCAGCGACCAATCTAACGGTGATAAGACAGAACTGGTACAGAAACAACAGAAACACGCCAATCGATTGCTTGCTACAGAGGAGAATGTCGTCATCATGGGTGTTCCTCAGGCCACCATTAACGAACGCAAGCAACAGCCACAATCGATCAGTAAAGGAACTGCTGGAAAGGAGCTAATCATTGAGTCGGAAGGCAGCAAAAAGTATGATTTTGGATTTACGAAACAGCAACTGCAGCAGCAACTACAAAAGCAACAACACGATGCGGCATCTTTACCGGACGATCAATCCAGCGTCAAGAGCTCAGAAGAAGAACTCGACGAGATAACTCAAAAGTTACTCAAGCTGCGGTCGACGGGTGGTGGCAGTAGCAGCATTGAAGGAAGATCTGTAAGGCGTTCAGAAACGTCGTCTTCGTCGTCGTCTTCACAAGATAGTGGGTTGGATGTAGGCGACGATAGTGTGCAAAGCAGCGACAATGTGCCAATATCCAGCAACAATCTACCCAAGGACTCGCAATGGATGCGACTAAAACAGATTCTTGAGGAACCCTTACTACGCATGTACTTTCGCAACTTTATGAAAAACAGCTACTGCGATGAGAACATTGACTTTTGGGTTGAATACCTCGCACTACGGAAGCTGCGCCGCGACAGCGCTAACCAGAAAGACGTCTTGTCCGCTTCATACAAAATCTACGAGAAATTTCTCGGTCCGAATGCTGCTTCGGAGGTCAACATTGACCATGCCCTACGCCAAGAAATCACCCAGTTGGTTACCTCGACCTTCTCAGTTGCTGCCGGTGCGACCAGAGATCTCCCCTTCTCATCTGGCACCATCCAGGTTGTTACTGCCCAAAGGACCGTTGTGGTGCATGGACCCAGTGGTGATACACTCAATGAACTTATCGCGCTGTACGACCGCGTTAATGACCACGTCTGCCGTATCATGGCGCAAGATTCTGTTCCGCGTTTTACACGTACCGAGCAGTATCGTAGATTGATTGCCAACCGCGATTCAAATCGAGCCGACTAAAGCAAACCAAGCAAACAAACAAACAAAAAACATATAACATTTACACTCAATATATAGCATATATACCTCCAGTTCCTTTTTCTCATAGTAGTACCCACATTTCATATAGGTTCGCTCACTCATTCATTCTAATCAACATATTCTGTACTTATTCAAACGACATACACGCACGCCATCATTCCTACTATATGTACCATATGCCCCTTCTCGCTCACATTCCCCCTTTCTGTTTATCGCTCAATGATACATTTCCAATATGCATTCTCATTTTTGTCACTTAGATTTCTTTACATGCTCCTATACAATAATATTAATAATAATAAAGAAATGTGTCTGAACAGTGCGGCCGACTCTGTATATCCCTATACTTTCCTTTCCAGTCTCTAATTCCGTGTATGTGTAGCGAAACGCTGGGCCCTTGGGTACAACAGTTGTACAATGTGCGTCAGCGATCATTTTTATCCCCTACATTAGGCTAGCGAAAGTAAGTAGAGCCTGCAGTCCCGAAGATTCCACCGTTGTACAACAAGCCAGGGTCTCTTCGAAGAAATGTACGAGCACTTCAACTTTCCGCGATATAATGTGTAACAAATTTAACGTACAGGTTTATATAAACGATTTACAAGTGTGATTTTGGCAGAGAACAAGAAACTTGCTTCTTTTGTATCACTCTTCCATGTTACTTTCAAATTCCTTGTTGTAAAGACTCATAGCATGGTGCCTATATAGCATTAGTGTATATCGGCAACTACTGATCTTGTGTCGCTTATCTGCTTGTAATGGGGTTGCAGCTGGTTTGCTTTTAAGTTAAACCTTATAGACAACTTTTTCATTTACTTGCAGAAGTTACATCTCTCTCTCCGCTCGTTAAGAAAGCTTCCAGCACACCCCCCTGTAAGGCAATTAAGAAGTAACAGCATATCAATGATTGGCTACTTGCTGAGTGTAACCCGTAAACCCGATAATCACTTTGCGATATAAGCGGGAATTCATGTTGAGACTAAGCAGCATTTCCATATATTTAATATTGAAGGTCTCGTAGAAGAAGATAACCCAGAAAGGAGAAAGGAAGCTATTGTAGGTACTGTATGACTTCATTCTGGTTAACACTAATAATAGCAAAGAGGGCGCTTATAGAAAGAAGGAAAAAGAGGATGGTTAGCGGAAGATGATATGCATGATATATTATCAAGAAATACAATTGTCGTCACTGCGCTGCTGGAAATCCGATTTACGACCGCAATCTCGATTTCGCGATATCGCGTGGTACACACACCCCAGTCTGTGTAACTGTATTGCTATATAGCTTATAAATACAACCTCTGTTACAGTGCATTACTAATATGATAGGCTGAAAAAATCTCTCTTGTTTTTTTGGGGGAGAAGGGAAAAAAAAGAAGACACGGAAAGTCAAAGAGCGCGACACCACGAATATTCAGTTACCAGACTTGCCTTTTGTCTGTGTGTGAGTGTGTGAGTGCATGCGGACCTGCTTATATAATAGTTGGAAAGTGCACCAGATGTAAGAATGTTCTTTATCAACTGAAATCTTGCCATTCTCATACCATGTCGCATTTTTTTTCAACATCATCATCAGCATCGTCTATACGGAAAAGATAAGTATGCTTAACCACGCGTAAAGGTCTGAAGCTTAAAACAAATTTTTTTGTATAAAAGAAGCTTAAAACAAGAACAGCGTGTGACAGGAGAATGCACGGAGATCAAAAAGTCGCATTTCATCCGCGGACCCAAGGGTTGGTAAAAAGAATCGCCAACAACCCCCATGCTACTAAACCACCGAAAGAGATTCTTCCGGATGTGCCATACACTTAGGCCCGCTTTTTGCAACATTGCTTTTTATTATATCTCGAGCTATGCGACATATTCTCGAGCTTTAGGATGTTAATCTAGTGCTACATTGATCCTGCAGTCTGACTATATCTGTGGCAGCGGCTGAAGTGGAGGGCGTAACAGGAGGGATCGTAATTATAAGTTGTTGAGTGTGTATGTGCCACAAGTCTTTTATGATAAAGTTCCAATATCTTAATGCATGCACGGAAACAGCAATTTCTCTTTCTTAAATATCGTTTTCGATACACTGCAGTGTTAAACAGTCTATCGTACGATGATTACTAATAATATGTCAAAGGCGCAAAAGCTTCTAACCAAATGGCATGGACTCATTAGTAATACAAACAGGCGGGATTCAGGGAGCCATCATCGCGGTTGTTCTATTCTGTTAAAATCACATGTACATAGTTTATGAGAGCAACACGAATGATTATCATAGCTCCAATAGCATTAAGTTAACCAGTACAGAGACTTACAATTTCTCGCCGTGGATACGGTGATGTAAGACTTGGTTTGAGTTCCTTTAAAGGTATCAGCATTCATTGGGAAGAAGCGCAAGAAAGCTGAACTTACAGCAGCTCACTTACTTGGTCCGCAGCATCCGGGATACCAGATATTTTTGCACCTTTTATTGATCTTCAATCCCTCTTCTTATGTCACTTCCCTTATTATCTATTGACCTAGTAGTACTGGTGTTTTGAAAGCTCCACTTCGGCGTTTTTGTTTTCAATAAAGCAAAGCAAATAGACACGAAACAAGAAATTTATACATAACATTCATTGCCTTCCACGGAACTTTGTATTTCCAATGATTTAAAGAGCTATACTCTATCATCACCTGTCGAGATATACACTATAGCAGTATACCTCTTTTGAAATCATTGTCCCATACAGAAGATTGATAGAAGGGTCCACGACAAAAAATGGTAGTATTCAAGTGGCACATAACAATATGTACAGTATACAGTATTATTGATCCGTAATACGCGGATGTGTGACGAAGAGTTATCAAAGAGGCGAGGAGAGCATACGAGAGAAGAAAGCAGAATGGTATGAAAAGAGGGGTAATGCAAGCTGATCCGTCAGCATCGCTGTCAAATAGTTCTCTATCGTAACATTCGGCGTCTTAAACTTATAAGGAGACCGCGCGTGTACCGAATCGCTTTACAGCCCCATTCCCTTGGATTCAAAGCAGCAAAATAACGTATATAACATTATAATAAATGATCTTCGCAACATCCTTTACTATGACGATTGCGCCGCTGTCAGTCTTGTTCGACTCGACAACAAACGCGTATCAGCTGTTCTATCAATGACCCACTCTTTTCGAAAGGATCCTGCATCATAATATAGCCACACGTAACCACCAGGTTTGTTTATACACAATAGCATGGTCTGTACATTTAATTCTGAAACGGAGCCATGGTATACTTCTAGAGCTCACAGTGCATGCGCAAGCAAGCAAGATATTGCAAAGACCCAGGCACACAGCTTTTTTTCTATAATTATCTTTCTCTTATTATTTTTTGATTGAGGACAGAGGTACCAGGAAGGTACATGTCCAGTAACGGGAACAAAAGGCGGCTTGCAAAACAGACAATTTATGCGACAGTCACTGTCAAGCGTCAAGATTCCGTGTGTGGAAAGTCATGTGTTAGCCAACGCACCTGAACTTTCAAGCACGTAGGCTGGCAACCCGAAGGAAGTGAAATTAGCAGGAAGGGGGGCTCCTTTATATAGAAAATTTGTTTTGCGGAAAACCAATTATGTAATCACTTTTACGACTTTTCATAATTTCTGGCTGGCTCGTTTTAGTTTGTAAAGAGCGCCATTATATTGAACTTAGGCGTCTGAAGTGAAAAAAGCATGTGGTGACAATCGTCAAGAAGACGTATATGCAGTGATCAGCGTGTGTGTCACTATCACATTGAAAATGTTTCACTATTATATGCTGAGTGTATCCTCCGATACCGTCGCCGCTTGTTTTAAAAAAAGTGATCGTCCGTGCACACGTCAAAAAAACCAAGAAGTTTGAAAGCCAACACGTTCCAATGAGCACGTCAATTACAAGACGATTCCGAGATGATAAAAATTTACAGTCCAATGCGAATTAAGCACTCAGGAACGACGGAGGATAAAGGCAGGGCACTGCTCCTGGTGAGATCGATAAAATCGCTGCGTGTTTTGGGAAACGCTATAACGAACACAGGCACCAACAATAGGCTTTGTCTAGAGCATGATAACATTGAGAAAGAATAATACAGCGAATGGGTTGCCGAGGTTGCCTTGGCAGCATAAAATTTATAAGTAATGATTCCTGCTTGATCCAAAAAATACCCATCCATTTCATTTCATATTCCACAATCATAATAACTACCAACACGGTTATGATATATTACTTCACTTGTAACGTACTATACACTTGTCGCACTTTCCCCAGTGCCAGTATACATTTTCTTTCGCGTCGATCCTGCGTAATCCTTGCTCCTCCGGCGATTTTGTACTACATAGCCGCCCACTGTTCGAGCATTATAACATTGTATGGATTGCTGCGCCATTTGCGAAGGATCACATAGATTCAGAGCACTTTACAATAAGTCTATAACAACATTCAAACTGGGTCAAAGAATCTCTTAATTTTGGCCATCATACTATCAATTAAGAGTTCTGTAAAAGAGCTTGTGCGTTTCATATACACTTGTGTGTATGAGATCATTTCACATCCTTCGCGACAATATAACTTTGTAGGATTTCTGTAAAGCCACGTTGATATGTTAACAGCACGAGTCGACCAAATAAGCACTAAGCTGAACTGTTGTCGAATCTGGTGTGAAGGAACTACCTGAATGCATAGACATGGCCATTGGTGGTGCTGCTGCTGTTGTAAAGAGTCCGGCGACGTTAAGACTGGGCTGCACAAGCAGGATTGAGTGTAAATGCTGCTCTTTTTAGTACCCTTTTCTTGTCCATGGCCTTTACAACAGGTAAGAGAAGGGAAAAAAAGCAACATACAAGCTCGTAGGCAGGGTGTCTTAAAAAAATTCCGCCAGCATTTTGAAACGCTTGTGTAACAACACATCAGCCGATGCGTGCTTACAATTCCGGGGATCTTCGGCTTGAAAAGCCAGATGGAGAAAGGAACGCGGTTTGAGCTTTGAGGTTGTAACTGCCGTGTAGTCGGAGAAGGCCCTTTGTTTCAGCAACAAAACAGAAATAGAGAGAGAGGGAAGTGGAAGACCCGAGGAAAAGAGTACAAGTCCGGGCATCTTCGGCCATCACAACCATGAAGTTGGTTTGATCCCAGTAGTATTTGAGCATTGTATAGGCATATGATATGTCAGGTCGTACCATGGATTGTGAGGAATATATGAATGAGCATTTCACGTTATCAGATTAACTTTTTTCTTAGGTATTTGACGCCGAAAAGGTCGTTACATAGCATCATCTCCTGGCATGAATCAGGCGAGAGCTCACTGACGAGATCAAGGTATAGAAGACGATTTTCGTATGGTAACATGGGGTACGTTCCTATCGAAAGTGATGGCAACAGCACGTGTTTATAAGACTCTGTAGCCGGCGTGGTAGAACAGGCGAATGAGCCATCCAAGAATGGATTTGCCGGCTCTTGTGGACGGATTGTCTGTAAATCAAAAGTTCGGTATATAATGGAGGCCGCTTGAATTTACACACGCGGATTGTGCGCAACAGAGAACCGTTTCCTTTTTTTCTCCTTCTTTTTTTCTTTATCTAATTGTTATTGCTCCGGGTTGTCTTGTTACTCTCTCATACCAAGCAATAATCGGATGCCCGAAAAAACCAACCATCAACATGATACGGTCATCAATGAAAAGATTGAAGCACCAGATACAGCTGAAAAGAACAACAGTAATATAAAACTCATTGGCTCTAAAATGCAACAAGCCAAGAATCTGATGAATCAGGAAAACGAACCCAAAAACGACGCTTTCATCAAGGATGATGGTAGTCCTGGTGATGACAATTCCAAGCAGCAACAACAACACACACCGCAGGATGATTCAAAAAAGAAGAATGAAAAATCTTCGGTACCAATTTACAAGTTATTTCGATTTGCCAGCAAAACCGATTTTTTGATGATCGCCGTGGCCATGACTGGCTCTATCGGGATCGGTGTGATCCATCCGGTGAGGTAACTTTGGCCCATACAAACATCGACCAGTGGTGATGCTTTTTGCTAATGTATAACTGTAACTTAGCATTATCATTTTCGGTCAATTCCTCGAGAACCTCGCAGGCACGCTGTATACTTCGGATGAACTATTAGCAGCAACGCTAGATATGATCTTAATATTTGTTTATATGGGTGTCGCGGTTTTTGTTGCCGGCTATGTTGCTCACGCTTTTTGGGTTCTATCTGGCGAAAGCCAAGCAAGACGGATACGTCAATTCTATGTTCATTCCATCTTGGCACAAGATATGTCATGTAATGTCCTCTTTCAATGTTGTTCTTGCTTTTGTTCATCTTAAACAACTAGTAGCAGTAATATCTTAACAACTTTTTTTTGGCTGTTCTTAGGGTTCGACAAGTCAGAAGAAGGATCGCTGACCACAAGGCTCGCCACAGATACTCAGATGATCCAAGACGGTATTTCCGAGAAGCTTGGACTACTCGTTCAAATGGTAGCTGCGGTTATCACAGGTGTCGTAGTTGCATTTGTCAAAGGTTGGCAATTGGCAGTCGTTATGCTGGCACCAATCCCTCTTTTGGCCGGTGTCAGCACTGCCATGACTTATTTCTACTCAAAATACACCAAAAGTACCCAAGACATTTATGCCGATGCTGGCGCTATCGCCGAGCAAGTCTTTGCTGGTATTCGTACGGTTTATGCTTTCTCGCTCCAGCGCCGCTTTTCTGCACGATACGACAAGGAACTCGAAAAGGCCTGTGTAACAGGCAGCAAGCGTGGTGTGCTGCTGGGTTGTCAATTTGGTGTATTTTTATGCATCTTGTTTTGGAGCTATGGTCTGGCATTTTGGTATGGTTCCAAGTTAGCGGACGAAGAAAAACTATCTGGCCCGTTGGTCTTGATTGCCTTTTATGCCATGCTCATTGGTACAATGTCGCTCTTGTCATTGCCACTCAATTTGGCTGCCGTGTCGAGTGCATGCGGTGCTGCGTATCGTATTTTTGCTGTGATTGATCGCGTACCTGATATTGATCCCGACACGACCGATGGCATTGCCAATGTCAAACTTCAAGGCCATATTCAGTTCCGCGATATCGACTTTTCGTACCCGACACGGTCTGACATTCAGGTACTACAAAAGTTCAATGCTCAAGTCCATGCTGGCAAAACGATCGCGTTGGTTGGAGCAAGCGGTTCTGGCAAATCCACGGTTGTACAGATGCTGCAACGTTTCTACGATCCATTATCCGGCTCAATTCTGTTGGACGGGAAGGACATCAAGGAATACAATGTCAGTTGGCTACGTCGACAAATTGGCGTTGTATCGCAGGAGCCCGTATTGTTCAATATGACGATCCGACAAAACTTGTTGATGGGCACGACCCGCGATGATGTTACCGACGAAGATATAATCGAAGCATGTAAAAAGGCAAACTGTCACGGCTTTATCAAACAGTTACCCGAAGCGTATGATACTCCAGTGGGAGAACATGGTGGTATGCTCTCTGGTGGTCAAAAACAACGGATTGCAATCGCTCGTGCCATTATCAAGAATCCGACCATCTTGTTACTTGATGAGGTAATCTTATTTTAACTAGTATACTTTGTTCTTTAAGTGTATATTGGTCAAAAATTACCCATGTTAAAAAATCATCCAATTAGGCGACGTCTGCGCTGGATACACAGTCTGAACGACTAGTACAAAATGCTTTGGATGCGGCAGCAGAAAATCGTACAACAATCGTCATCGCCCATCGGTTATCAACCATCCGCAACGCCGACACAATTATTGTCCTTAAGCAAGGTGTTATGGTCGAGCAAGGCAATCATCAAGAGCTTATTGAGATGAATGGTGCATATGCAGACTTGGTACGGAAGCAAGAAATTGCAATGAAGGAAGAAGAAGAAAAGGAGGATCTACATCAACAAAAACTACACGACGACGAACCATTGGATATTTCGCAATCGACTGAAGCGCTAAATAATAACGCTGTCATTGCGAATAAACAAGACATATTGGATCTTAAACGAACAAATAGCACAGCATCATCCAAACACGAAGTCAAAATGGAAATTCAACGGGAGATACAAGAAAAAGAATGTGGCAAACCAAAGTTGCCATTTTTCAAAGTTTTGATGGAGATGCGACCCGAATGGCTGCTCATTATCACTGGCACGTTTGGCGCTATGATCTCAGGCGCCGTTTTTCCCGTGTGTTCTCTACTACTGGCGCGTGTTATTACCATTATCATTGACCCGCACATGGAGATTAACCCAGGACCGATGCAGGGTGCGAACCTGTACGCATTTCTCTTTTTAATCGTCGGACTTGCAGCTCTGCTAGGATTTGTTATTCAGATGGCTTCATTCGAAGTGGCAGGCGAACGATATACGAAACGGTTACGAAGCAGAATTTTCTGGGCCTACATGAAGCAAGAAGTTGCATTTTACGATGAGGAAAAGAACAATGTCGGGGCTCTAACATCGATGCTTGCGGTGGATGCAAAGCATGTAAACGAACTCATGTCCAAGATTTGCGGTGAAGTTGCCAGTCTCATGTTTACCGGCGTCACAGGTATGTATATTGGAGACATCTGCATATATATTATCTTGTATTTCATAATTTCAGTCTAACTAAGCTTTTTAAAAATAACCCTTTTCTTTCTTTGTTTCTGAAAAAAGGCTTTGTTATTGCCTTTGCACATAGTTGGGCATTGACATTGATTGTATTGGGATGTGTTCCGTTTATGGTCGCTGCTACCGCCTACGAATCCAAGGTTGAGATGGGCTATGCTAACGATGTGCAAAAAGCGAGTGCTCAAAGCGGCGAGGTTGCCGGTGAAGCCATCAAAGCCATTCGCACTGTCGCATCATTGACAAAGCAATATTATTTTGAAGCCAAGTATGAAGAAGCAATAGAACGACCTCACAAACTCGCACAACGGAAAGCCTACCTTGCATCGATTGGCTATGCATTGGGTCAAGCCATCAGCTTGTTCACTCACGCAGTTGCATTCTATGGAGGCGTACGCTTGATTGAAATTGAAATGATTACACTCCAAGATATGATGGTGGTGCTACTCGCTGTCATGATAACATCGCAAAATATCGGACGTGTCACTACTTACATGTCGGGTATTGCCAAGGCCAAGTATGCAGCATTGTCTGCTTATGAGATCATTGAGCGGCGGTCTAAAATCGATCCAGAGCTGGAAGGGGTGGAACCTGATACTGTGCGAGGCGATATCACATGTGACAAGGTGGGTTTCCAGTATCCTACCCGAAGTGTACCCATTTTCCGTGGTGAATTTGCTTTGCAAGGCATGGCAGGCAAGACGATTGCGTTGGTGGGCAGCTCAGGATGCGGAAAGTCAACTACTATAGGAATGCTCGAGCGTTGGTATGATCCTACAGCTGGCACGGTACGCCTGGACGAGCATAGCACACAATCCTTTTCGTTACATAATCTCAGAAGTCACATGGCTTTAGTTAGCCAAGAGCCAGTGTTGTTCGATTTGACTATTGGCGAAAACATTCGATTTGGTGCCTTGTCTGAAAAAGGTGTTTCTCAAGAACAAGTGGAACACGCATGTCGAGCCGCCAACATACATCATTTTATTACCAGTTTACCGAATGGTTATGAAACGCGTGTGGGCGACAAGGGCTCTCAGCTGTCTGGCGGTCAAAAGCAGCGCATTGCCATAGCGCGTGCATTGATCCGAAAGCCACGAGTATTGCTGCTAGACGAGGCTACTAGTGCGCTTGATTCCGAATCTGAAAAGCTTGTTCAAGATGCTATCGACAACGTTATTAGCGAAGGCGGTCGTACAACAATCACAATCGCTCATCGGTTATCAACAATACAAGTAAATTAATTCGATGTTTTTTAAGTCATCTAGTTGTTGCTATAGGTATACTAACTTCTCATATTATTTAGGGTGCTGATCAAATCTGCGTTATTGAGGGCGGAAGGATAGTGGAACAAGGAACTCACTGGGACTTGCTGAAGCTAAATGGAATATATACCGAGTTGGTTCAACAACAATCATTGAGCACCATTTAACGATTAGAAGCTCGCAATTAATTCATTGTCAATACTCCAAACTGTTTAATACACTGTAACCGTATTACAATGTAATATCATATCATTTAATATGAAAAATCCAAACTTTCTAAAAGATGATGTCGTTTTAATGCTGCTGATTCGCCCTCAGAAAAAGAAATTCGCTGATTACGACATCCAACGACCACAATAGTATGTAGCTACTATTAAAAAATCATTAACACGAATAGTAAGGTAAATTAATGTAGCAAACGGACTTTTGTGGTATAATGGATGGGCATAAGCATGTATATCCATAAAATCTTCTTAAACTTAAAGCCCTTCACACTAGCGTATTTTTATTAAACTAACGATATTGAAGTGTAATCCATACATCGGGTCAGCTTCGTTATTAAGAATATGATAAAACTGATATAAAGAAGCTATTACCATTAGTATGGTGTTAGATGCTCGGACTGTCGATACCCAAAAATCGGTTGGCGTATCATACATGCCTACATAAAATGCGCCATGTAACGTTGTTTTACTGCACATCATCAGCCATCCATCACTTGAGCTTTCTTTCATCCACGCTATAAGTACAGTGCGACATCACTGTTGCAGTTCAATCATTGTTTCAAAAGATATAAAGATAACTAAAATCTTATAGTCGCGATGAGCAAAATACCATAATCAAGCAAGGCGTGCATAGTACATTACTACTATTTAGAAGTCTACTCTTTTCGAGTAGCATAATGTTAGATGAAATATTCACTGGAATTTGAGCATCTCATTTGTAGAATACAACTTGTCTGTATGGCGCCTCTGCATTGATGGGAGCAAGCATTGGTACATTTTGTGTATCCATATACGGATCGTAGTATATTTTTAAGATTTTTCATCGTCGGTCTTTTTTAAGCACGCAGTCCTACAACCAACGGCCAACCACACGTGAAGATATCCCGAACCCCTCCCAAAACTTAAAAAATGTAAACACGGACAAAGATTTACTTTGTACAGTACATGAGAAAAAGTCTAATGACGTGTATTTATAACAATCGCATCTATAAGAGTGATTTTGGTCTATCCGGATGGTAGTAGTTTTATAGGTGTGTATAAAAGGAATTGTTGTTTTGGTTGTTGTTGTTGTTGCTGCTGTTGTTGTTGCTGTTGCTGTTGCTGTGGTTGTTGCTGTTGCTGTTGCTGTTGTTGATATGAGTGTGATACGCTTATTTGGCGATTTCGACACCGCCAGTGGCACCCAAGGCGCGCTTGATGTCACCGTAGATGGCGAACTGACCAGCAGTAAGGGTAGCAACCATGACAATACGGGGACCTAAAGGAATTGAAAATAGTTAGCATCTTTGTTTTTGATCATTTTATACTAGGAGTACTTACCCAAGCCAAGGAAGAGACCCTTAACACCAAGCTGACCAGCCATCTGGACAAGACGCGAGGCAACGGACTGACCCTCACCACCAGGAGCCTTGTTGATCTTGGACAACAAGGTATCGGCGGGCTGCGAGATGATGGCAGCAGCGGTACCAGCAATGATACCAGCACCAAGGTTGACAGTGGTGACGGTGCTAGGAGCCAATTGGTCCTTGGGGGTGGAGAGCGAAGCGTAGATCTTCTCAGCGGCGGTTTCGAAGACAACGAACTTGGCCATGGTGTAAGGGACCTGCTTGAACAAGATAGGACCGAAGCCAGAGTAGAAACCGCGAGCGACACCTAATAATCACCGATTAACGAATTGTTAGTCTTCTGTCTCACTGAGGGCCTTTTTTTCAATGGTAACCACGTTTTTCAACTATACACATTACCTTCTTCCTTCAAAATACGGGCGAAACCGCTGCCAAGACCAGAGGCAAAGCCAGGCTGCGAGACAAGACGGATACGGGTAGCCTCCAAGGGGCAGAGGGCAACGTCAGCGAAGAATTCGGCGATGGCGGACGAACCGAGGTAGATGGCAGTACGGTTCTCACGGGCCTTGTCGACACCGATGACATCGATGAAGGTCTTCTTCCAGAATTCGTAACCACCGAACTTGAAGGCACCCTGCAAGAAGTAACCAGCAGCAGTGGGGCCGAAACCAGTGAGAAGGGCACCAGCACCTTCGGCCTTGACGACCTGACGGAAACCAGCGATCATACCCTAAAATAATTCGGCAGGCAATAACGTCAATATCTTATTTCGCCTTAAAGTATCATCTTTTCAAAGGTGATGGAATGTTATATGGAAGGGGGGCTTTTACTTACACGGTTGTAGACCTCAGGCTCCAACTGGATTCTGGTCTTGACGACATCGACGGGGGTCATGGCACCGTGGGTGATAGCACAGCAGACAGCACCGGCGAAGGCGAAACGAGCGTACAAGTTAGCGCCAGTAGGGGCAGCGGCATCAGCACCGGCCGAGGGGACGAAAAAGTTCTTCTTCAAGGTCTGCTGGGAGGGGAACATGGCTTATATGAAGGGAAGATATGCGGAAAAGGAAGCAAGAATATACCGCCCGTTCTTGTTTTCTTTTTTCAATCTCGGCTCCCTGTCGATTGAGGGTCAGCGACTTTACTGGCGCAAAAAAAAAAAAGTTTTCGTCAGGGGGGAAAAGAGGTGCTCAGCCAATGAAAAGCATGCTTTGTTCGTCTCTTTGACAACCGGAGTTCAGCGGACCCTGGCAAAATAGTTCAACCCAGCCGCTAATCTTGCCTACGTAAACAAAACAACTTCAGCGCTGCCTGCCAGCTGTTTGGCTTGGTGGTACATAAAAACGCGCCGCGATAAGATGCTCCTTATTACTTTTATTTATATCGAAAGCTTCCTGTCGATCATTCGAGGCATGACGCATTTGTTTATTTGGTTGCCATAGTAATTCTCAATAATAGTTCCCATGGCCACAAACAAAGAAGGCACCATGCCAATGGTACCTGAAAAACTGAAAATCAATAAAAGCTGCAATAGTAAACCATGGCAACGCGGTTGCCCCGAGTAAGTCCTCGCAAACAATATGGGAAATTACGGGTGTCCCGGAATTTATTCGGATTAAGCGTCCCCCTCAATTTCTTTTTCTATTACAGCCGCTCTCTTTTGTCATTATTAGCCCCACACAACACCCAAGCGTAAGGTGCGTTTCCACGTCCCTGTGTGCGTGTGCGTATGTGTGCGTTGGCTTGCAACAAATGATCCTGAAACCGAGGATGATCATTCTACTGCTAGAAATTTCTTCCTCAGATACATAATAGCAGCAGTAAAGGACCCAATGTTAAAAAGATTTACCGGCATATCCACGCCCACATGCACCGTAACCCGAAAATTACCGCAGCCGGATAAACGTACGTCACTTAAAAAAGTGGGAAACAAAAAGAACTTGCCAAAACAACACACTTGAAGGGCCGCGTAAATAATAAAGGCACACCACCTCCTCCGCCTAAGAATCCCGGCGATCCCCACTTTCTTCTTCTTTTTTTCGATCTTTTTTTTTTGAACAATGTACAGATTGACGGCGCTCTCGCGTGCCGCTAGACCCCTCTCCTCGAGAATTGCTCAACAGGTACCCAAGCGCGCACCTGTTCTTGCCAGCTCTTCATTCCACACCAGCCAATCTCGCTTCGCCAAGACAGCTCCCGAGACGAACGATGCATTCCTTCAGGGCAATGCCGCAAACTACATTGAGGAAATGTACGAAGCTTGGTTGAAGGACCCTTCGTCTGTCCACTTGTCGTGGCAAGTGTACTTTAAAAACATGGCCAACGGTGTCTCACCCGGCCAGGCCTATGCACCTCCTCCTACTTTGGTGCCCTCGGGCAGCGCTCGCCTCCCTAGCTTGCCCGACGCAGTCATCCCTAACGCCATGAACGGTTCGTCGTCAGAAATCGTCGACCATATGAAGATCCAACTTCTCGTGAGAGCATATCAGGTGCGCGGTCACCATCTCGCCAACTTGGATCCCCTTGGAATCCAGCACGCCGATATCCTCAACTCCAGCCCACCTGAGCTGTCGCATTCGTACTATGGTTTCAGCGAAAAGGACCTCGACCGCACCTTCTCGCTCGGTCCCGGTATCCTGCCTGCCTTTATGGACAACGGCAAGTCCTTGACTCTCCGTGAAATTATCGACAACCTGAGCAAGACCTACTGTAAGCTTTCTTGTGTTATCTGTTGAGATTGGAGCCATTACAAATAGATTGAGTGATTGTCTGAGAGAAAACTAAATAAGGAAACTATATACAACGCTAGGCGGTTCGATCGGTATTGAATATATCCACATTCCTGACCGTGCTCAGTGCGACTGGATCCGTAGCCGTATCGAGACTCCTCAGCCGTTCAAATATAGCGTCGACGAGAAGCGTGTGATTTTTGACCGTTTAACTTGGTCTGACAGCTTTGAGCGCTTCGTCGCCTCCAAGTACCCCTCCGAAAAGCGTTTCGGTTTGGAAGGTGGTGAAACTCTTATTCCCGGTATGAAGGCCCTGGTAAGTAACAAAAACGGGCTGTAACGTCACGTTACACCGAAGCGGGGTTCTGTTGGTACTGGTAATATTCCTTGCTATCTATGATTAACACACATACTTGGATGTTTTAGATTGATCGCTCTGTCGATCTGGGTGTCGAGTCCATTGTCATTGGTATGCCCCATCGTGGTCGTCTGAACGTCCTCAGCAACGTCGTTCGCAAGCCCAACGAGTCCATCTTTTGCGAATTCAGCGGCTCTCTCGAGCCCTCTGAGGAAGGTAGCGGTGATGTCAAGTACCATTTGGGTATGAACTATGTCCGTCCTACTCCCTCGGGCAAGCGCGTCCATTTGTCGCTGGTTGCCAACCCCTCTCATTTGGAGGCTGTCAACCCCGTCGTTTTGGGTAAGACCCGCGCCCTTCAATACTACAGCAAGGACAGCCAGCACCAGCACTCGATGGCTATTTTGATGCACGGTGATGCTGCCTTTGCTGGTCAGGGTATCGTCTACGAAACCATGGGCTTCCACGACTTGCCCGCCTACAGCACCGGTGGTACCATCCACATTGTCGTCAACAACCAGATCGGTTTCACCACCGATCCCCGCTTCGGCCGCTCGACCTCGTACTGTACCGATATCGCCAAGGCCATCAACGCCCCTGTGTTCCACGTCAACGGTGACGATGCTGAGGCCGTGACCTATGTGATGCAGCTCGCAGCTGACTGGCGCCAGACCTTCCACAAGGACGTCGTTATTGATTTGGTCTGCTACCGTAAGCACGGTCACAACGAAACCGATCAGCCCAGCTTCACCCAGCCCATCATGTATCAGGCCATCAGCAAGCAGTCGCCTGTTGCCGAAATGTACGCTGGCCAGTTGGTCAAGGAAGGCAGCTTGACTGCCGATGAGATCGATACCAACAAGAAGCGTGTCTGGGGTATTTTGGAGGAGAGCTACTCGCGTAGCAAGGACTACAAGCCTACTTCGCGTGAATGGTTGTCCAGCTCGTGGCCAGGTAAATTAAGAGGAAGAATAGTTTCACAGTGAGTGTCGTAGTTGAAAAATTAGCGGGTAACCTGACCTCAAATTGGAATGGCCATTGGTTGTATAGGCTTCAAGTCGCCCAAGGAGTGCGCTGAAGAGATCTTGCCCCACAACCCTACTGGCGTCTCAATGGAAACCCTCCAGCAAGTTGGTGCCTCGTTGACCGCCTTGCCCCAGAACTTCAATGTCCACCGCAACTTGAACCGTATCCTCCAGAATCGCGGCAAGGCCATCAACGCCGGCAAGGACATCGACTGGTCTACCGCCGAAGCTTTGGCATGGGGTTCGCTTTTGTTGGAAGGCAAGCACGTCCGCTGCACTGGTCAGGATGTTGAGCGTGGTACCTTCTCGCAGCGTCACGCTGTGCTGCACGACCAAAAGACGGACGAACACTACACTTCGTTGAACCACATTTCGCCCGAGCAAGGCCAGCTGACCATCAGCAACTCGTCGCTGTCCGAATACGGTATCCTCGGTTTCGAGCTTGGCTACTCGCTTGTCGACCCCAATGCTTTGGTTGTTTGGGAAGGACAGTTTGGTGATTTTGCCAACACTGCCCAGTGTATCATTGATCAGTTCTTGGCTGCCGGTGAGCAAAAGTGGTTGCAGCGCACTGGCTTGGTCATGACCTTGCCCCACGGTTATGACGGTCAGGGCCCTGAGCACTCTTCTTCCAGAATCGAACGTTACTTGCAGCTGTGCGACGACAACCCATACGTCTTCCCTTCGCCCGAAAAACTGCAGCGCCAGCACCAGGACTGCAACATGCAGGTCGTTTACGCCTCGACGCCTGCCCAGTACTTCCACGTCCTCCGTCGTCAAATCAACCGTGAGTTCCGCAAGCCTTTGATCCTTCCTTTCTCCAAGGCTTTGCTCCGCCATCCTCTTGCTCGCTCTTCTTTGGAAGAAATGTCTGCTGGCACCAGCTTCCAGCTCTACCTCCCTGAACCTCATCCCGAGACCCTCGCTGAGCCCGAACAGATCACCAAGCACATTCTCTGCAGCGGTCAGGTCTACTACAACTTGCTTAAGGCCCGTGAGCAGCACGGTCTCCAGAACGTCGCCATCTCGCGTGTTGAGCAACTCAACCCCTTCCCTTACCAGCAGGTCAAGGAACACGCTGACAAGTACCCCAACGCCGAGATCGTCTGGTGCCAAGAGGAACCCTTGAACATGGGTGCTTGGGCTCACGTCCAGCCTAGAATCACCACCGCTCTTTCCGAAACCACCCACCATGCCGGCAAGTCGCCCAAGTATGCTGGCCGTGAGCCTTCCGCTTCCGTCGCTACTGGTAACAAGAAGAAGCATTACCAGGAAGAGCAGAATCTGCTCAACCAAGCCCTTTTGACTGAAGCCTAAAAAAACAACCCGTATATTCTCTTTCACATCTATTTTTTCTTGCACCTACTGTTTTTTTTATTTTAATTGTACATCATTTTTTTTCACCAATCAAGCAATGGTCTTCTTCCCTTCACCTCCTCCATAAAAGATTTTCCTCCTCTCAATCCTATGTGCATATCTTGCTCATAAGATAATATGCGAAACAACAAAAAAACAGCAGATAAAAAGAATAAAATTTATCCACACAATCCTCTTTTGCATCGTGAAGAACATCCATTCCTCATATATTGTGCACCAGCTTCCTTTCTTTTATAAACATGCTTACTGTTATTTACATTGCGAATCATCACGACCAAGTAGTACCTTGGTTCTTATTGATTCGCCATTGCTGCTATCGCTACTGCTTGTCGTTGTAGGGCTGGGTGTGCATTCAGCAACGCCTAGTTGTGCACTGAGCTGGCGTTCTAACTCGTCGACTCTTCGCTGCATTGCATCCATATCCCGCTTATTTTGCTGCTCAATCTGCTCCAGCCTTTTACGCAGTGCTGCCATTTCTTGGTCCTTTGTATCTAGCGCCACCGACTTTGCTTGGAGTTGTGCTTGTATGGTGCTGTACATGTTCTCTTCCTATGCAGTTAAATATTGGTCATCAGTAGTTATATATTTTATCCGAGTTGAGGTCTAGATTCAAATAGCAAACACACGTACAACAACTGCCAGTTGGGGTACAAATAGCTCAAACTCCAACAGCTGCTCAGCACTCGGTCGATGAGCTGGCTCTTCATCCATCATCCACAAGATAAGTGCAGACTTGGGATAAAGAAAAAATTGGGTGAATACTTCGAACGTTGAACGAATAGATGAGCAAAATGATATTAAGAGGGCTTACCTCTTTTGGATACTTTTCTACAAATCCGTCTGGAAAAACACCCTTTTTAAGCCGTTGGATTGCGCATGCTCTTTCCATGACTGTTGTAAAAGGCTGGAATAGCTCGAAAAATATAATTCCAAGCGAGTAAATATCAGCCTTATCATCGTATGGTCGTGGCGGGTCAGCCAATTGTTCCGGTGCTGCATACTAAGGAAGCAAAGTCTCAATAAGTATATTGCCATCCAGAGGGAGGCCAACCAACATTATACAAGTCGACTTACAGTTCGCGTGCCAACAGCACTCGTCAGTTTTTGCATTACAAACCGGCTATCCTCCTCCTCCTCGCTGCTACTACTATTGCTTCCACGGCGACAGTAGGATGAAGACAAGGTCATCAAGCTATGCTGTGATCCAGTATGACAATCCATAAACGACAGATGATCCGTGATAGTAGTAGGCGATGACGCCGACAGCAACGAAGGTGGAGCCTGCTTACAATGCGTTGTCATGACAGCAGCAGCCAAACCGAAATCACCTAGCTTTGGTATCCATACTTCATTCCACATACAGTCGCGCAGCGTACCGTCTTCGCCGCGGACTGAATCGTACGAGAAGCTATGTTGATGGTGCATTCTTGTGTTGTTGAGTGATGATGATGACGACCGCCAGTGTCGTCTGCCATTGCTGTTGTGATATTCATTGGTCGTCGTCATGGTCAAAAAGATGTTGCTTGGTTTCAAATCTCGGTGGATCAATCCGCTTGCGTGAATGTACGCTGCACCTTCGAGTATCTGCGTGAAAAGCTCAATATTGCGTTCCTTGTCAACAGACGTGCCCGTGTCGTTTCGATGCTTGATATAATCATAGAGTGTTGCTATTATGGCAAGAGATTATGTCAAAAAAAAGGGAGGAAATGAAACATTGACAGCAAAAGCGACAAGACCGGAGGAGGAAAAAATGGTTTGCAATAGTATACCAGGGCATAGATACATTTGGATATACAATGTCCATCCGCAACGAGAGCCGCTCCTTGTTCTTGCTCGTTTTCGGACGCGTCGTTCGTATTCCTTGCGTGTGGATCGTTTCGCTTCAAAATTCGGAATGCAGACAGCTGCGTCTTTTTTGCTGCTGCTGTTTATTTCGCTCGTTACATAGTCTGTTGCTGCGTTGATGGACTCTCCAGCAACGACATCTTTGCTTGCTCCATCATCCACAAAGTCGATGCGACTCATGTCTTCTTCTGATAGCTTGACGGGAGAGAAGGATGGTTCACCACTGTTGTCGTCATCATCAAAGGTTGGATCTCGTCCACCAAATACGCTGTCCATATCGCTGCTATTGCCGTCGTTGTAAACTTCACCTTGAGTCGATGATTTGCCGCCATTCTCGGGAATATGGTTTGTATACTCCAACCACGACGAGTAGTACCGCACAACATTTTTGTGCTCTAAACGTGCTAAATGTTTGATTTCCCGGAATATCTTGTCATATGGACCTTGTCCATCATCACAGCGAGCATCATCCGACAGGTCAGGACCCAAATGAATCTGCTTGACTGCATAGTCAATATTGTCCAGTTTGTTGTGTGCACGCCATACACTTGCGAACCCACCACGACCCAACAAGCTGACTTGAACAAAATCATTGCGATAACGCGAGTTTTGTATATTCAGATCAAATATCGGTGGTTGTTCTGGCTGAGGCGTCGATGACGATGAGGGTGGTTGCTGGTTTTGGACGCGCTGTTGTTGTTGCTGTTGCTGCTGTTGCTGATGAAATTCGGTCGAAGCAATCATCATGGGCTTGCGAAAACCCGGGTCGTTTACAGTTTCTACAGCAGTGTAAAATAATGTCTGGAAAGCAGATTGGAAGGTCGACCGCACGCTCGCCATTTCATCGACAAACTCAGAATCAATAAAGCCAAGTGAACTGAGCGTTTGACAGATAAGGAAAAAGACACGTCGATTGGCCTCGGGCGTGTCGCCATGAACACGACAAAAAGATTCAATCAGTGATACTAAGAGCATTTTTGTCTGGCGACGTTTTGAAATGCCCCGATCGTCGTCCATGCCATTCTTGGCTTTCCCCGTTAAAACACCACCAAATGCCTTGGTTCCTAACAGCATTAATGGTACGTGGCGTGTCAAAATTAGGGGCATGATCGGAAGAAAGATTTAGGCGAAAGTACGATGATAACAAAAAAGAAAAAGATAAAGTATGGTATATATGTACCCAGCGATTCTGAGGAATCGTTGTTCACGGTGGCTTCTGGGCTTTGTTCAGGAGGACGATGCCAAAACTTGTTTGAACAGTCGGACGAGTCATCGGCACAATCAGAATCTGACTTGTCGGCCGACATTGTGGTATGGGCAAGAAAGAGTATATTGAGAACAGTTTAAGTTTAAGAAGAAGGAAAGGAGCCGAGAATACTAAAAAATGACAAGGGAAAAGACAAAGAGTATAAAGGACGGCTTAAATGTAGCTCATGGCACAAGTCTTTCTTGGTATTTTTGCTGCTGTGTGAATAAAAGGAGGAGAAAGGGCGAGCGACGAAGGGCAAGACGTTAAAGCAAAATGCAGGCAGATGACATTTGGTGTAGTACGAGCGCCATTTCAAAAGCAGGATTCTGGCATTTTCTAGGATGATCGTCTTTTCTTAGCTTTGTTTGTCCGTGGCCTTTTTTGATGGCAACAGAATTTATTCCAGTCGTTGTCATGACAGAACCCAGGAGAGAAGCTGATGCTTCCTTGTGACGACCACTGTCATGTGTGCAGTAACTAGGAAGAATGGAAACGGAAAAGTTGTACGTTAGGTCCAACGGCACGCTGCTTGACACTTGATTGGAAGTATTCGGTATAATAGACACACATCGAGGCAAAAGGAAGCCTTCCTGTCCAGAAGATGTTATCCGTGGATTACCTGTCTTACCGTTCAATGACTAGGCCATACATATCAGCATGTTGGTCTGTGCATCGTCCCAATAATGACGTTCGCAGATCATTATTAAGATACCCTTAACTCGTACTTGGCCGCCAACACCTTGCCTTGTTTTATCTTCTACATCCTGGAAAACAGCTAGTTAAGTTTGATATTTCGTGCCGTGTTTTGGCCTCCTCTTTGTGTTAGTTTCATTAATTAAGCAAGTTATATGCATCATCGTTACCCCTTAAAGCTACAAGGACGCTATTAAAGTCGCCCCAGCAGATGTTCTTAGATACCATAGTGCTGACATTTCATAAAGACAAAGAAACCACTAGTAGATTCGTATATTTCATTTTTCTGCGAGCTCCTTTGGATATGCTTAGACTTTAAGCGTGTTGCTTTATAAGATATAAATGGCTTTTTGAAACAATACCAGCAACAAACAGAAATCTGTGTAACACCAGACTAGCAAAAAGCCTGTGGAAACCCGCACCCCTTCAAAGCTTCTTTTTTTTTCCCACTAAGCATACAAACACGAAACACGCGAGAATGACTAAAGAGCTTGTAACTGCTGAAGAGCGCAAAACCTTTGTCGACAAGTTTGACAATTTTCTGTTCGATTGTGATGGCAAGTTGGTCTAATCCCTTTTTGTTTTGCTCCTGGTCAATTTCGCCGATATGGATACAGTTGGCTTATCAGTATACTACAACCCTATTTAGGTGTATTATGGGAGGGCACAAAACTCATTCCCGGTGTTGAAAAAGCCATGGAAGAGCTGCGTAGCAAAGGTACATAATTTGAAAGAGCATTTGTTAAAGCATCGATCAGCATCCTCCGTGTCAATGCTAATGACGCAAGCTTGAATATAGGCAAAAATATTTATTTTGTCACAAACAACAGCACCAAGTCGCGTAGCTCGTTTTTGAAGAAACTACAGGGATTTGGGATCAAAGCTTCTTTGGTATGTAAGACTTTGAGAAAGTGTGCTGACTGGTGGGACGAGTATATATAAAGTGTTCGCTGTTCAGGTCTGGATATTAAGTCTCATGCATCTTTTTTTTTGTATGGACGCGTGGGTAGACTGAGATTTTCAGCTCTGCCTTTGCCACTGCGGCTTATTTGAAGCAGGTGCTTCACTTCCCGGCTGATAAGAAGGTCTACATCATTGGTATGGAGGGTATTCGAGATGAACTTAATTCAGAGGGCATCCGCACATGTGGAGGAGAAGTAAGTTGCTGGTTATATGTGAGACGGGTTTTCTTGCTTCGATAAAACTAATGGGCCGAAACATTTGTAGGAGGATGCTAGTGCAGTGTATGACGACAAGCCTATTCCTGATGATCCAGAGGCAAGTAATTTGATCATCTCATTCCTACAGATATGACTCAACAATTAACGGAGGATCTGTATCTCCATTTCAAATAGGTTGGCGCTGTGGTGATTGGTTTGGATCTCCACGTTAATTACACAAAATATGCAAAAGCATTCACGTACCTTAAGCGTAACCCTGGATGTCATTTTATCTTGACCAACGGCGACACCACGTTCCCCACACATGGCAGCATTGTTCCTGGTAAGTACATAACATATACAGTGCGGTATAATCGGTTCGAAAGAGTCAGGATCACTGAATTGTTTCACATGTTAGGCGCCGGTTCGATTGCTGCTCCCATCACGAAGGCATTGAATAGAGGACCAGATGCTGTTCTTGGAAAGCCAGCACAGAACATGATGGAAGCTATTTTTGCCGAGTAAGGATGGCGGGTTGTTTTTTTCGTGTATTTGAATAGGAATAGGTAGCAAACGGAATACTGATTCGCGAAATTATGCATATAGGTATGATCTCAAGCCCTGCAAGACCGTGATGATCGGTGATCGTTTGGACACCGATATTGACTTTGGAAACCAAGGTGGAATCGAGACACTCTGTGTGCTGACAGGTAACGTTAGGCATGGTAGCCATGTACACCTTGGCTTTGCTAACCACTTGTTGTTTACAGGTATCACGAGCAAGGAAGAAATGCTGTCACCCAGCAACAAGATCAAACCTACCTACTACATTCCCAGCTTTGCCGATCTTGCTAGCCAGTGAAAGAAGAGGCAGTAGACCGTGTAACACCAGAGCGATAAACAAGCGTAGGAAAGTCGTTTATTATAGCAAACTAGACCAAAAGAGTCATTATAGAAATAATAGATTGCTGTTGTCGATTATTACATGTTATCTGATTTTAGGTACGTTATGTTGGTACATAAATATTTGTCTATACACAATATGCAGTATCAAGTCGTCTATTGTGCGCGCTAGCGCATTTTTTTCTAGCATCGCTCGGGAATCGTCATCATCATCTTTTTTTTGTACTTTGTTTGATAAAGAGCGAAATGAGATTGAGTCAGTAAAGCCGCACAGTGAAAAACAATTTGCGCAGTATCCACAGCTCCACTTCTAGGAACTTTTCCTTTGAGTGTAACAGTGTCACTATTATTTGCAAACGATACATGTATGATAGGGGGCTAGCTGACGTCTATGTAAAGTATTGATCTACATCATACTTCTATCTAGTAGAGTATCGGGGCCCTGGGTGTGCGTTTGGGTTGCTGATGCACGTCATGCCCATCTTGTATTTTTTTTTTGGAACTTTGAGCTTGAGCTTGGTGAGGCCAATTGCGCGCGCGACTGTCTTTGGCTCCTCCTTTAGTTCAAAATCTCCAGTTGATCCAAGTGGATATTCGTCAACTTTGTGCCACCTGTCAAGTCCGGTAAGTGTTTTCCTGCGCAAGTAGTCGAGTCCTGGTTCATTGGCATCGTTTTCGAAAAGTATGTCGTGGAAAAAGCATGTCTGTGGCCCATAACCATGGTATTCGACCCATGTTCCGTCAAATTTAATGGGAGGTCGGAGAGGGACGGTTCCAATTTTCCGGCCAGGGAAAAATTTGTCATTTTCTTTCGGCACACGGCGTGTCGTTCTTGCACGAGTGCCGCACAAACCTCCCAAGCTACCTTTCTTTTATTGTGGCACTCCTCCTGCCCGAGGTTGCTCTGAAGAGCTTGGCTGACTGGGTCCTTCGTTGCGAAAGTCCATGAATTCGTCGTACATAGTTGGCAGCTTGGCAAGCGCTCTTGATTCCCTAATCTGAAGTCAGTTCTTGTGCAGCTTCTCAGTTTCCTCGTCATCCATACCGTCGATCACAGCTTAATTTGTTCCTGCCTTCTTCGTCAGGAACTTGGATACTCTTGCGCGCAGCCCTCCTGGCAACCTCAAATTCGTACAAAGGTCCAAACTGCTCGACGCTTGGCTCGATTGCCTTGTTCAATTCGTTGATGGCAGCTCTGTAGATTTCTCTAGCTTTATCAACTTCTTTTTGGGATACAGCAATTCTTTGTTTTCTCTTTTGCCTGGCTTGTATCCACGCTTCGTACATAGTCTTGTTCATATTGAACTCCTTGAGTATATTGTCTTCATGCTTCTTGGCAGTAGCTTGGCGGGCAAAATTGTCATGGGCGGCTTTCCATATATGTTCCGTTCTGACCAGTTGCTCAAAGTTGGCCTTGCGCTTGATTTGCCTTTTTTGCAGTATTGACACTGCAAGCCACAATGGTAGACACTCGTCATTGACCAAGTCGATCAGTTCAACCTCGCTTCTGTCGTTGTACTTTCTCCAGAGTTCATCGTTCATCTTTACTTTCGCTACCAGATGCAAAAATGTCGACCCAGGAGATAATTACAATCGGAAACGTAAAGGAGTAGACAATGTGAATCACAAACAAAACAGCGTGAGACTCGAATGTATTAAAGGATAAAACGATGGGTATCCATATAGCTCAGGATCCCGTCATTATATATACGCTGAGTAATAGAGGGCTAGCTAACGTCTATGTATTGATCAACATCATACATTCTATCTAGAGTATCCACCCCTACTGCTCCTTATTCAACCATGCGTTGTCGATCGTCAACCATGCAGGTTGGATACTTACCATCGTAACGGTATACACCGTTACAGTACGTATACCGGTTAAGTCCTATTAACTACAAAATATATA